TGTCTACTGTACACAGGCCTTGAATCCCGATGGCCCCGCGCACACCGCCCTCCGGACACGATTGCTCAAGGACAAGCATATCACGTCGAAGGACTTCACAGGCGAAGCTATATCTCGAGAGCTCCCGGATGATAAATGTGTGTGGTTTCACGGGTCAATTGACACATCCTCATACCCACCAAGCAGGTTTGCCATCGCGAGAGTCAAAGACGTACAATCGGCTGTTGAGCAACAAGTCCCTGGCTGCTGCTGTCACGACCGCCGTGACACATCTCCGCGATGTCGTCCTACCTAAGAAAGAGATCGCGGTTGAAGAAGCGGAAGAGAATGACGACGAGGAGGCAAACGAGGAGGTAGACGGGGAGGATGAGGGTGACAATGCGGAAGCAATCGACGATGGCAATGAGGATGGTGGCGGCTGGGAGTCCGGGAGCGTAGACGGAGATGGATGGGAATCTGGAACGGTGCATTCCGAGAACTCGGACGAGGAAGCACCACCGCTCAAGAAGACCAAGGCTACCGCTGCACTAAAAGCTACCGTTCCTTCAGCTACATCACAATTTCTGCCGTCTCTTTCTGTTGGCTTCATACGCGGCGACTCAGATTCTGATGCTGACGATGGGGCTGAGGTAGCTCCCGAAAGAAAGAATCGACGCGGACAGCGTGCTCGACGAGCGTGAGTCGAGTTACCCTTGAACTGACGCCGATCTGATCAGACTCGCACAGAATTTGGGAGAAGAAGTACGGCCGTGGCGCAAATCACAAGAAGAAAGAAGCGGAGGACGCTGCGAACGAATTCAAAGCCAGGGTCGAAAGAAGGGCGGCGCGGGCTGCCAAGGAGGCGGAACGACAAGCGCAATTGGCCCAGTCCGCCGATCGTGGATGGGCCGGAAGAATCAAGCCAAGCAGTGCGACAGCGAAATCGGGCGAACCCAGTCTGCATCCATCATGGGCGGCGAAACGAGCACAGAAGGAAAAAGGCGGAAGTGGGGGCATCATGCCCAGCCAGGGAAAGAAGATTGTTTTCGACTAAGGGACCGGAATGTTTGATACAGTATGTGCATACAGATACATGGTATACTGGGCGGGTAGGTAGCTATATTGGTTGCCCGGACACGGGCGCACAGGAGTGTCGCACGCCGCCTGGTAGCCGACAGGCGCGCGAGCACCAAGACTGCCCGCATCGACCACATGACGGAAACTTGGATCCGCTGGTGCCACACGTGGCACAATGGACGAACGTGGTGCATAACCGAGAGCTACGCTCCAATGACGCAAGACCTGGCGGTGTGCCGCACGGCGTGGTCGTCTGTGAATGTTCTGTCGCCCGCGGAGTCGGCATTTTGGTAGGATGGTAGTAGTTGCGATCGTAGTCCGACAGGGAGGTCGCAGCTGTGGTCGTGGGTGAGCTGACGGGCGAGGACGACGCGGTCCGACTAATGGAGGGGATGGCAGTTAAAAGCTTCGGGGGAGATGGGGTGACAGAAGGTCCAGATATCCATGCAAGCTAAGATGAAAGTTTAACACCACCAGACCAGGACTCATTGATGTGCACTCACAACAGGATGCCGAGCAGGCTTAGCAAGCACCCGTAGAGCGCTCTGTGCGTCCGGAATAGGTGAGAAGGATCCAACGGAGGTTTTACCTCCGCGCACGGTGAGATAGACCGAGGGATCTGTTTTTGTGGGCAGCTCGAGGGAGACTTTTGCGGCAAACAACGAAGATGACGTCTTGCATCTGCGCAGGCGCATTTTGCGCGAAGAAAGGTCTGGGAAGTCAGATAGTGATTTCTGCGGCGAACATAGCGGACTGGCAGGGACGCTGTCCAGCATGAGTGTTGAGGGTTGGAGTGGGTATCGTGGATTGCTTAGCGAAGTACACAGCCATCTGTCGTTCCGATCAATCGAATATTGATCGGCTTCCATCGCCGTCTTCCACGCCGATCGCGCAGTATGTAACACTGAACGCCAAGTAAGTACCGTTTGAATTTCAATTTGACTTCGAAAGCCGGAGGATGTAACAAATGCGATCACGTATCTAATGTACAAGTATGCGATTGATTTCTAAGCATGCGATGCTGGCTGGCCTAGTTGGTCGTGGCCATGGTGTGCTGGGTCGTGGCGAATCCGAGCCGGGCGTTGGTCGTGTCATAGACCGAATAGAAGCGCTGGAGGAACGTCATCCCATCTGGAAGCGCATCAGCACGATATATGCGTGGTGGTAGAGACACTGCGTACTAATAAAGCAAAGGCCATTGCCCTGCTGAATTTTGCCCATGCTGGCAAAGACAAGGGAAATCTGGTCGTCGGGAACGCCCAACGTCGAGTTCATGCTGCGCGGCCAAATCTGAGCGTTCTTGGTGAATTCGTACTTGGTCTGCGGCGCTGCGTCAGTCTGGGAATAGCAAAGTCCACGGCGTAACACACATCACCGATGGTGATGAACATGCTCTGCATCTTATTGTATTGCGCATCGGTGACGGTCATCAATCCGGTCGACGGGTCCATTTTTGCTCCCGTTTTCGCCATGTACTTCTGCAATACGGCGTCTGGAAGCATGAACAGAGTAGTGCCGCTGATGCTCGTCAGCGATGGAACTATGCTCTGGCACGAGTAACGTACGTGTCGGCGATGCCGGGACATTGGGACATGATCTCCTCGCCGTCGTATGTAATGGACTGTTCCATGCCCCAGTATTTCTTTGCGGGATCCTGCTGAGTGATTGGGTTGTACTTAATTTCGCTCGTGCATTTGGAGGTGTCGGGACCGCCAAAGGTGAGGCAGCCAGTGGGTGCATTGTCGGTCGTGGTGGGTTCGTAGTAGATCCCAATGACTTCCTGACGGGGCAATGAGTATGAGGTGATGGAATGCAGACCGATCTGAACGCACCTGCTGGATCAGACCCTGCTTGAGCATATTGTCAGGCAGAGTAGGAATGGGCGTCCCGTCAACGGTGCCTACGCGCCACAAGGTGAGTATATGCAGCCAGGTGCCTTGGGCGACAAACCCTCAGTAAGGTCGACAGGACCGATGCCGAGAATACCATCGCTGCCGACACCGTCCATGTCTTGTATCTGGGTAGCGACGCCCACCGACTGATTCTTGACCACCAACTTGTCGCTGAGCGAGATTATGTCGGTATCTATCCGATGAACATCAGCACGGAACGTAGATGAATAAGCCGCATACATTCTTGGCCACTGCAGGCTCCCTTTCCATAAGAGATCTGGAAAGGTTTACGGGTATCCTACAGGATGGATGAGGGAAAGTAAGGAAACGAGAAGAGGTAGCATACGACTGAACTCGCGCTAGGATGGTAGCGACCGTTTGCGCCATTAATCCAGCAGTTCGAAGAGCCTGTGGATGATGTCAGGCTTTGCTCCTGCCGAGAGTCACATTGACCGGCCTGTGTCGATGAGGAGCTTCCACTTCTCAGGGGGAGAGCCGACTCCCACATCAACGAGATATGTCACAGCTGTAGCATACGATTCAGTAGACGGTCCAGACGTAACCAGCCTTTTAACATACCAGCATTGGTGACACTTATGGATGTGTTGGGGCCCGGAGAAGATGGCGATGGTCCGCCGGGCGCAGGCTGGTCACCCATCGGTTGTTGGCCCTGAGGCGGCTGCCCTTGATGGTGACGATGAGCCTGGACGATTGCGGAGAGAGGTCCGTGCGCGTGGTGGCCGGCAACAAAGTGGCGGGCACGCGATTCGTCGCGTTGCTGGATGTGCTTGGAGGAAGGGGCACGTATCTCCGTCTGGAAGCCGACACTGTGGATGGTCTGCATTGTTGGAATGTGAAGGATGGTGGGGAACAAGAGAATGAGCGGGCCACCCTCAATGACGTCCTCTTATAGCAGCGACGCGCGGGGCTTCAATTGAATACTTGTCGGAAGCTGAATTGTGACATGACGGTGACCGCGAAGAACTCGTGAAGAATGAGAGCTCTTGAGAGCATATCCGAGTCTTACGGAGAGGCCTAGTTACTAGCGAAATGAGATATAGATAAGGTGGCTTGAATATATGCGAGTGTGCACGCGTATGAATCGAGTTTCTGTAAGAGCTTGGGGAGGTGCAAGTTTCCTAGCAAGATCGTCAATTAAGCAACTTTCCGATTGACAAACATGGAGGAGGGAATCATCGTCGATACACAGCCATCTGTCTGTCAAATAAATTCCGATCAATTGAATGTCCCCAACAATCCCGACGCACAAATTCTCAGCACTGGGGGGTGCCATCTTGCTGGGCCTTGAGAGCGATTTCCACATGATAACATCCAGTATGCCCCTGGTTTTTTCTAGAGGTTTCAAACTACTTTACTCTCTCTCCGCAAAGCCCATTTGTGGATGTGTCTCGAGAATGTGGTCACACGACGAGTTCTCCCGGCATCGACACTCGGTAATTTCATATTACCGCGTAGTCTATCTTATTATGCAGGGTTCTGTCAAGTAGACACTCAGCTCATCGCATGATGTCTCTTCTCCGGATCGTGTGCGCACTACAGAAGATGACAACGGCCTGCAGATCCTCCCAAGCGCGGAGAACGCTTGCAGTCTTTGGATGGGCGTCAGATGCTTTATCTCTGAGGCTACATCAATCATTTTTCTGAATCCACCCCTTCGTAGAAACTGACGTAGTAGTCCGCGGGGACGGCAACTATGGAATTAGGACGTTGCTTGAGATCAAACCATCGAAACTGGCCGATATTTAGGACAGAATCAGTTTGCCTCACATGATATCTGATATACGTTACGGGAGAGGTAAGATTAATTTTAGTTTCGCGAGTGCAATCCATCATCAAATCCGGCCTCGAGTATCGACTGCTTATGCCATTGAGGAAAATGGTATTCAACGCCGAGTCCGTTCCCAATCAACTCGGAGTTACGGGCGTGTTGCGGGCGTGTTGCGGGGAACCTCGCATCCGAGTTAAACAGAAGTCGCCGGTCTGTGCGTTTGGCCCTTCAGATCAATTCTTGGGCTCGGGGTATTGACGATCGTGGGAACATAATCCATAGCGTTTTGACTCGCAACTCCATTGCGTCTTCGACACTGAACACCCCACACGACCGACTCAACCAGGGTCGCCCCTCCCTCGCCGCCTCTTTCTTTCTTTCTGCTCTAATCGAGCTACGAGTCGGCTAGCATGGTCCGTCTCGTTAATCTGTCATTGGTTATCTGGCCTTCCTCTCATTTGCCGAAAATCAGGGTCAAACTCTTTCTTCCCCCGGTTCGCTTCATTGTCATGCCTGGAAGATTCTAGCCTCACGTATCATTCTAAGCAACGAACAAAATCTCAGACTCGGGTGGTAATTCACGGTTCCAGTATGGCGTAACGGAGATGCAGGGATGGAGAATCAGTAAGCAGTACCTCCACTCCAATCGCCCTTCCTGCTGTGCTTGCTCTGACCACACTCTCTTTTCCAGCAATGGAGGATTCCCATGCTACGGTCCTTGAGCTCGACGAAGGGAAACAAGAAGAGTCCAACACTTTTTTCGCGGTCTACGATGGCCATGGGGGTATGATCATCTCCGCGCCACAATTCAGTGGCTCAACGATCCTTTCTGTTCTCAGGAAGCACTGTCGCCAAGTTTGCAGGGCAAAACGTGCACAAACGATTGGTCGCCGAGGAGTCATACAAGGAACAGAATTACGAGCAAGCTTTAAAGCGAGCTTTCCTCGGAACAGATGAAGATATATTAGCCAGTCCGTAGCCTTTCGTCGTTCTTTCCTGGTGCGATCTTACTGATCGGAACACTTCCTTCCAGATCCCGCCCACACTCGCGATCCATCAGGGTGCACGGCTGTGGCGGCCCTGGTCACGAAAGATAAGATCTATGTGGTACGCCTTGCCCTGGCCAGATGCACTAGTTGTTGATGCGTCTATCAGGCCAACGCTGGAGACTCCAGGGCTGTGATTAGCGTCAAGGGTGAAGTAGAACCTCTCAGCTTTGACCATAAGCCGGCGAATGATGGTTTGTCCGTCCACCCATTTTGCATTGCATTCTCAGCTCCATCCCCAGTCGAGAAGGCCCGTATCTCTGCCGCCGGTGGTTACATCGAATTCGGTCGCGTGAACGGTACGTCTGAATTTGCGACATGCCGAAGGGAGTAGGGACTAATTACTCGAAGGAAATCTGGCTCTGTCCCGTGCGATTGGCGACTTTGAGTTCAAGAAGAATTACAACATACCACCCGAGCAGCAAATCATCACCGCAAATCCCGATGTTACCATTCACGACATCACGGAAGAGGACGAGTTTCTCGTCATTGCTTGCGATGGTACGTCATTCGTTCATTCACTAGGCCAGGTTCATTGATGCATGATGTAGGCATCTGGGACTGCCTCTCATCGCAACAAGTCGTCAACTTCATCCGATATCAAGTCTCAGAGGGACACAGTTTGGTCGAGATCGGTCAGAACATGTGTGAACACTGTCTCGCACCCGACACCAATTCTGGTGCTGGCATCGGATGCGACAACATGACTGTCCTGATTGTGGCAATATTGAACGGACGCACGATGGAAGAATGGAGCGCTTGGATCACTGATCGAGTGAAGAATGAATATGGGTACAAAACGCCGAGTGTGCTGCCTCAACTCTACGCGCAGAGCCGTCTCTTGTCTTTCAGAGCCCGTCGAGAGGCCCACGAGGCGAGGGAACGAGCTCGACAGGATCAGGCGTCCTCCGGAGACGACTACTCTGGGTTTGGGAGCAGTGGGTTCGGGCAGTTGACCAGAGTGCTGGGAAGCTCCGGAGGCATCTCCTTCCACCCTGGTTCGGCAATCATAAGCGATTCGGGTGCACTCATGTTCGGCTCGGCGGACGAAGATTCGGAAGATGAGAGCGGGGAGGATGATCTCGAGAACGGTCGGTCCTACTTCAAGGAGACCATCCTGGGTCGCGACGAATCTACAGACGCGATGCAGAAGCTCCAAGCCCAGCTTGACCAGTTCGAAAAGGGTGGCCATGAGATGGACGAGGAGGTCGCGGCAGATAACCATGGGGTCTCTGCTGCTGCAGAGGCACCGTCTGCCTCGAAACCGAACGGTGATACCACGGTTGAGCCTGTAGAACAATTTACTTCAACCCCAGCTGGCGATGCGCCACATCCCGTGGCCGCAGTGGAGGGTCTCATGGACACGAGCGACGATCCCATTAAGGCTTAACTGTATATGTCTGTAATCTGTTACATCCACTGGTTTTACTTGCGTCGCATAATTTCATGTCCTGTGTACAATTCACATTTGCATCGGGTTATACAATGTTTTTCACGACCACCAATTCCTTTTCGGTCAATGCCAGGATGAGCACGTCGTTTCCGACATGGATTGCACCAACCCCCAGAAGAGAGCCCTGATTTCCGGCCCGGAGCACAGCCTGCTTGGCCCAATTTTGTCCTGCCGGGGCCGCACGATATATGTACACATTTCCTCCCCGGTTGTGCATTCCGTTTTCAAACGCCAAGACCGCTGAATTTGAAATGTGGTGTGTGAATCGTGTGTCTGTTTTCGAGGCCAGGACGAATGACAGGGCGGAGAAAGTGCTCGAGTGAGTCCAAGTCGCTGGATCCTCGTCGTTCGAAAGTGCTGGCTGCAGCGTAAAGACAGTACCATCGATACCATTCTTGAGTACAAGACTGCAGATCAGGTTACTCCCGGGCAGGTCGGTCGAAAGGAGACGGCCAGGGAGCTCTCCACTTTGCGATGCCCAACTTGGCGAGGCGCCGTTCACTTTCACCCAGGTCAACTGCGTATTTTTACCGATCGAAAGGTCAACTTCGTCATCCATCTCTCCCTGTGCAAGACTGGGAAGTCCCGTTCCCAGACCTAAGCCACTGGCATCCTCGCCCCCGTGCAGCGAAGTTGTGTATTTTTCGAGAGATTCGCGGATCTTCCAAAGCTCGGATGGATCGACGGTTTCGGGAACTTCAGGATCGTCGGACGAGGTGCCGGACGACTCGAAGAGATGCGACCAGCGTGTGCCCTCATGTTGTTTGTCGAGATGAAGGGTTAATAGACCAAGGTGGTGGTCACCCTCGCGGTCCCATGTCCACATGCTCGAGGATACGGCAACAGGTCCCCATAATCTTTTAGAGGAATAATGGGGAAGAGGCATGTCAGTTGCGATATCGTCTTTGATGTGCAGGGTCAATGCGTGCGGTGAAAAGGTCACTTGAATGCAGGCTGTGGGCGTGCTTGAAGGAAGAGGCAGGACGACTGTCACGGAATCAGAGGTTTGTGTCCACGAGTATGGCGGAGGAGGGGTTACATCGAGACTCTCATTAGCCCGTGGAATTGGAACTATTTCATCTGCAGCGGGCTCGTAGGCTGGTACATCGGGACCCTCGATAACAGTATAAGCACATTCCCCCATGATCACAAAAGTGCCTCTGGATTCGTCATAAAAGACATTGAACGGCACCGCGGAGCCTCTGCGTTGCCATTTCACATCGAGAGGGAGCACGGCATCAGATCGAGATATTTCTGAGGATTTTTGGAGACGGATTCCGTAGATATTGAAATTGACGGTTTCGGTCCGGGAGGAGACTGGTGATCTCGCCGAGAGCACAAGAACGGTTTCGTCGACCAGGGTTTTCCCGATATGGATGCGGAAGGGATCAGAAGCCGGTAGCCGATAAACTCCTCGCGTGCCAAGTACTTCTTCGCCGCAATCCTCCAAGAAGTAAAGAAGACCAGCACCATCTGACACAGCGACGTGTGTAGATGAGAGCGTTGCGACCGAGGGGTATTCATGAGTTTGAGTGTTTGATGACTGGAGGGGACGAGGCATTTCAAACATAGAGCGGAAAGACGGAGTGGACGCTCCCTATTAGCATCGCAGGTCAGCCCATGGTCGCAAGCGTGCAAGAACATGACATACATCGAAGCTCACGACGATGACATGATAATCTGCATCAACATAGATGGCTCTCGAAGAACCTTGCCATATGGTGAGGTGGTTGTGTGTAATGCGGCTCTGGACTTCGTGGAAAGATAATGGGTGGTGGGTGGACACTGTAGCTTGGGTGATGGGATACTGGAGAGAATGGTGTGCAACGCACTCTTCCTGGTCGATGGCCTCAAATTTGTACCCATCAAACTTGGGATTGAGGAGATTCCGATTTGTGATCATGGCAAAGGCAAAGGCAATCGCCAAGGAAATGGATGAAGAGGAACTCGAAAGAGCGCGGCGGGCGCCGGAACGGATAGTCACACAGCACGTGCAGCAGGCGTCACGCGCAGCAATGGAAAGCACGATCACGGAATCAATGGTAAGGGCGATAGATCCGAACATAGAATGCAGTCAGTGTGGGATGCATATAGAAACGGAATCTTTGGGGATGCAGCTCTCCCCCTACCCACTCGCATGCCTCCTCCCAATCTCAGCGTCCTGCGAGCACCATATGCCAGTCTGGTTCGCGAGATCTATCTGCGGACATACCAGATGCTCTTCTGGAGTATCCTGTTTTCACCCCGGGTCATGATTCTGAGGATACTGCGAGCTTGTGTCCAAAGGTAATGTTACAGTGCACTCTTCGTCTCGCAATCAGGTCATTCATCTCTATGACAGCACAATGCCTAATCTGTAAACGTGCCTCCATCTGGCTCAGACCTCCAGGAAGTCTGGATCATCTTCCACAAGCATATCCAGCAGTCGGAGGAAAGAGGCGGCAGGAAATCCGACCACATTATTGTAGTCGCCGTCCACTTTTCGGACCAATGCGCCGCCCCGTCCCTGTAACACCAGTTCACCATGTCTCATCAAACAATTGTATTCACTTACCTGGATCGCAAAGCCACCTGCAACAGTCAGACCCTCTCCACTCTCGACGTAGGCCTCTAGAAGCTCCTTGGGGTTGTCGGAGAAGTAGACCAGTGAGCGTTCGTCAATGGACCTGGGAAGCTGTTCAACGCTGCTGTTTCATGTTATGGGAGGATAGGTATTACTTTGTTGCGTATCCGGGCGCCGTCAAGATCGGATAGACTAGGCACGAGGGTTAGCATGCGTACAGGCGAGAGAGGCAAGAAGTCTCACTGAGAACAACACCGGTCACCACTTCGCACACACCACCGTTGAGATCGAGCAGCATGCGGTAGTTATCAGGCTTCGATGTCGGCTTCTCTAAGAGTTCCTGCCTCGCCCCAGGAAGCATGGAGTACGATGTTTGAGTGGTGGACGGTAACGCATGTGTTAATACGACGGTGTCCGCTGTGCGTTGCATGAGCCCAGTGAACGAGAAACACAATTAGAAGTCACCAGCGATGACCAGATCGGGCGCATTCTCTCCATCCTGTTCCTGCGAAAGATGTGAATCTTCGCGCGGACCATGGTTGCTACACTGACCACCAACCGTTCGTAGACTTCTACCGCTTTGTGGTTGGCTGTCGCAACAGGATATTCATGAATGTCCGTAAAGGATCCCGCGGCAAGGTCCTCCTCGAAGTTAGATGGTACTATGTCTGGAGTCAAACCCTAAGCCGTCTGTTGTCAGTGGTGCGTCCTCGGTCATCGTCCCCGTTGAACTGACAAATGTTTTGAGAATATCTTTCCTCCGAGGGCTGGCAGAGGCCAGCACAATCCGTTTTCCCTTCAACTTCTTGATTCCGGGAGTCTGAAGGGCGGTTGGGAGGATGTATTTGGAGGTCATGATAGTGAATTGCACAACGACTGGTATGTAGCTCTGATCCGATCGGGCGTCAGCCTCGCGATAAGTCACAGTATGTCACAATCGCGTGTTCTACGTGAATCACTGACGACGCGTCCCTCGGCAACTGATGAGGTTTCGAGCTACAATCGAGAATGTGAACGCTTTCTTCCGTGTGTCTACCCTTTCAAGAGTTGTCTGCATCATAACTCTGGCAAGGTATCATACAGGCCGTCGAAAAGCTACAGAAGAAATGTATCATGAAGTTCACCGAGGAGGTGATGTGCATTATCTGCAATAGCGAGGACAACGAGGGGGGAATACAAGTCTGGTCGTATGTCTATATCATCCAAGTTTTCCATGCAACGCAACCCTGTTCTCGTTTCAGGCAAATCACGGTTCTTTCACTCTTCGATTCATACCGAATACAATCGAACGCTGCGAACGTTATCACTATGTCGCTGTCTTCGGAGGCGCTTCTCGCGACTCTCAGATCAGCCTCCACCTCATCAAACTCCACGCACGAAACTCAGGAGGTAGTGATGAAGCTGGCGAAGAAGAACGATGTCGCGGTGCTGAGCTTCGAGATCACAGGCGTCTCGCGCCAGGGACGCAAAGTGCGCGTGTCGTATGACGTGCGCATCGAAGTCATGAAGCCGGCGGATGTCGAAAACCTCAGGGAGCCATTGTGTCCCGAACCGGATGTATGTCCCGCCCATGTTCGCTACGCTCTGCACCACGCTGGAGCTGGTTTTACAGGTCAACATCGTTCTTCCTCCGCTGCAGAAGCTCCGCCCCATCGTTGAGCGACTGCGTTCGATGTCAGACTATCTTCTCGTCCGAGCCAACAACAGCGGTTGCTTGAATCTGTCCGTGCAGACTGACAGTGTGTCGGTCGACACCGAATGGAAGAATTGCACAATAACACCAAGAGGTGTGTGTTGTTTGAGTTTGAACGGTCCGAACTTGACTGTTCTCTTCCCTCGAGCTGCTGCCAATTCTCAAGATCCTGAACCTATTGAGAAGGATCCTGTCGAGATGTTTCCGGTCACAGTAACGACCCGAAGCTTCTTGAAGTTCCTCAACAGTCATGTTGTTTCCACCACGACTATTGCTTGTGAGTACTAACCATGAGTATCGCCAGTGCTTGACTAAGACAGGTATCTGCCGGAACCATTGCATGATTCTATACGTCTATTTGGGCGATAGAAGCGACGCAGGCGGAGTGCTCACGTTCTACATACCAGGACAGGACCTGGGGAATGACTGAAACTACATGCTCCAATTTACACTGTACACACGATACCCAAGCCGGCTGATTATACCTCGTTGTCTAATTGGTTCACTGTGCGGAGGTTGACTGTTCAGGAACTACCGAAGGCGCCGGCGAGGAGTCTTTGTCGTCCGAGCAAGATGGATCATCCGCTGCGCTGCTGGCTTCCAAGTTCGACTGGTCTCTCTCAGCTGCAACAGCTTGAGCTTGTGGGCCCCAGCCAACTCTTCCTTCGAGCCACGGGCCTGCGCTGCTCTGATGGCATCCCTCGGGACACAAGCACTTTCCGCCGAGCGTCGTAGGCAGATTCTCCGGATCGATCAAGGCGTTGAGGACATTCTGATAGTCGTGTCCGAGGATGTCGACTTTCTCCGCGGTTTCCTTCGAGAGCCAAGGTCGCATCATTGACCATATCATGGTAAAGGACGATGGGGCATTGACGATAGCGAGTTGGCCCATCCTAGGAGGATCATCAAGCCGACAGTCCTGATGTGCTGAGTAAGCAACACTGCAAGTCACTCACGTTTCTGGAAAGTAATCTTGCGAAATTTGGAAAGCCGTACGGACGAGGCTCTTCATGCCCCAGAATTTGCTCAGCCTGAAACCCACTTCATGATTGCACCCGGGTTGCAGCGTAAAATAGACTCACCCGAAGCCCTGCAAGTCGACGATGACCAAAACCGTGCCAACGTGGGTGCCGGCTTGACGGGAACACGCCGGTAGTATTTCGCGCGTCAGACATTCCGCGTTGCTCAGCAGCGTCCGCCAGTGTCGGGACGGCGTGACGTGCTTGTATAATCTTGGGATGTCGACGCTGCCGAGCGTGTGAACGTTGATTGGCCGGCCTTTCTGCTTGCCCCGGAAGAGTAGCAGTGCTCATCGGGATGCAAATCACGCGAGATAGACGTTCGAGCCGCACCTTGTCGGTCTTATGGAACCACAAGGGCCAGCAGTCAAAGACTATCTCGCGTTCGGGATACTGGCCTGCGGTATGAGCTTGAAGGTAAGGCTGCGAGACGTCCTCGACGAACATCAAAGGGGTCTGTCTCCTCGTACAGCGCGTCGATGCCAACACCTTCAACAGTCTTGCGCCAATTCTGAGCATTGGCTAGCATTGGCTTGGACTGAGCTATGTTGAAATTGCGCGCGCGTAGAAACCGCCTGCGGAAGCTATAAGGACGCAAAAGCCATGGCGTAGGTAGGTTGCAGAGTCGCACAACAAGGTTTCATCGTCCGTCCCTATTGTATCTCTCTCCTTGATGATTCCCTCGTCGAATACTTGCTTCCGAAATGCATCTAGAGTTTCGCTCTGCGTGGGAGAGAGCATGAGAGTTGGAGACAGTGGTACAGGGGGTACCGATCTCGTATATCTGCTTACGCCACGGTCTTGATTGATAACTCGCTCCCGTTTAGCCCGGGAGCTGCGGCGGGTGTCGGGGGCAGGAGAACGCGCTGTAAGTCAAAGTTCACGTCTAGTATATTTGTGGCAGGGAACAGTACATTAGTGCCTATTGATCAGAGCTGGCTGCCACGATGGGAGATAAGATAAGGAGATCAACGAAAGTCAAACGCCCTGTCAAGCTCCTCACTGGATGGTTTGTGCATGAGAGTGTGCATCAGGTCCGGAGTATGAGAAACGCACAGTGTCTTTCGCGATGTCTCTACGGCGAAAAGCCGGATGAGCACACAAGCGACGACATCCCAGCCGATGAAAACGAAATACAGGCGCCAACTGATCTTGGCCAGGGCGATCGGCGTAGCGAAAGTCACCACCGCCGAAGCGGCAGAAGCGACCAGAGTCTCGCTAGATGCGCGTCACCTTTTATTGAACGCAGGTATAAAGAAAGATGCCTACAAAGCAACGCCATTGGCCCTAGAAAAATATGAGCCTCACATGCCGCCGACTGATACCAGAGAACACCAACCTATTATGGAAAGACATGCATTCGGATGTATATGCTGGCGGTAAGCTCACGTATGTAGCGCAATAGAAGAAATTGAAGAGCACTGGGAACAGATATTAGTTTCGGGTGGATGAATCATGATAATGTTACAAACTGAAAAAAGCGATCGCGGTGTGGGATCCGGCTGGATTATCGGCAGAATAGACCCATCTGGCGGTGCAAGCTGTCCCATCTGAGAGCAAGGTAGCTGCAAGGGTGAGACAAACGGACCTCCAGAAATCGCCAAACAGACGGTGCAGGAGACTGTGCCCCAGAACCACAGCGAAACGCGGCCAACTGAATCGCCTCAACTGGTGACATCATTTGAAAGGACGTTTGAACGTACCTCTATCAGAAACCAGAGCGCCGACAGTTGCACCTGCAGCCGAGACGATGCCTGAGACAAGGCTCAGAACCAGACGGAGATTCTGCGTGCTAGTGACAAGTTGAACACAGCGTGACACAGAAGATTATCCTGGCTGACCTGATATGGTCTTGGGCAAGTAAGACCACGAGGAAGTAGCTGGGAACAAACAAGGTTAGAGCTGGGACGCTTGCAGCGAAGCATTCTACCTTAGGCCACTTCCAGTCCATTGAGACGACAGGGCAAGCAAGACAACGAGAAACACGCGATACCGATCGCTGCGCGTCTTGAATAAGGCTAGATAGTTCCTGTGTAGAGTATTAGGAAACGAACCGACATGTCTGAGTCCTGATATTCACCAAGAGGGACGGCCGACATTGCCATTGATCGAGCGATCCAAATCTTGAATTTGTAGAAGCACGTGGGGTTCTGCTGGATCCCCATTGGCCTGATATCGAGCGAGGACTTGGAGGGCTTCGTCGCGGCGCCCAGCTGACATGAGCCAACGTGGTGACTGGGCATGATAAGATAAGGATCGATGCGATGTTTCGTGTCCTTGACCTCCGGAATGAACACGACAGTCAGGCAAAGTATGGCCGACGGAATGATTTGAATTGAGAGCGGCAGTCTCCAGGAGGCAGTGTTATTCCACCGGGCAGCTACGGTAGTCACGACTCCACTGATTATGGTCGCGAGTATTGCAGTGGCGCCATACCTGCAGGAATAAACAGGAAATTCTGGCACTGGCGCGACGGAGCGACTCACATTCCTGTCAGAGGGCCGCGCCACTGCCGAGATACTCAATCCACGCTGCAAGTGGTAACCAGAAATGCACTACTTACCTGTGGCGGGGATAACTCGGCAACGTACATCGGGGCAGCGACTTGTAGCAAAGCAGTCGACATTCCCAGCAGGAATCGTCCGCCTTTCAGATAATTTACATCTTTGGCGATTGTGACCACGATGGCCCCTGCGGGAACAGGTCAGAATAGGAGATTCGGACATGACTAGCAAGGCTCTACCAATGAGACACAGCAGGCCGCCCCAGAACTGTTGGAATGAGACGGTGAATATACCGGCTAATCATAAACTCGCCATCGCTCCGCGTCGCCCAACTCGATCCGAAAGAGGGCCCGCGACTAGGACGGTGAGGCATGTTCCTGTATTCTGTCAGCAGTCACCCCATGTCATTTCATCCTGCATACCGAGCGTGTACTGGATGAGTCATACGGTTTAGCAAGCCGGCGCAAAGCACGGACGGTGAGGAAAAGAGCACTTGCCATTCCGAAAACGAGAGCCGTCGTGGTGCCGACGCCGCCACCGGAGCTTTGCCCGTCGAGGTTGAAATAGCTCAGATAGGACCTGCGATGAGGTTTTGCAGTGGCACGCGACAGCGTCGGAGACGGACGAACCCGATTCCATTCACGTAGTTCATCACTGTCACCAGGGTCAATGTTGTTTCACGCGCCGGAAGGGACCGCACCTGAGATATCGTATCCGACGCACACACTCGCCATCGACGGTACCAACAGCACCACGTACAGTCTCAGTGCAGCGGAGCTCGTTGGAGACAGTACCGGGACCGAGGTCGAGCTCCCAGAGTCTGAGGCAGAGATGCGCATGTCCTTCGAGGGATCTGTCCCAAGCTCCATGCTGCACAGTCAGTGAGCGAAAATACGGTTGAAAGCAAGGAGCCTCAGACAACGATCTGCCCGACATTAGTACGACCATTAGGGCCGTCTTTCCTGCATCTCGGATCCCGGTGGAGACAAGGGACGACTAGAATTCCGGTGTAAGGCTATCTAACACGTCACGGCACGCCTTCTAGATGACGGCAGATCTCAGACGGTGCTAGTAGCCGTGGTGCACAGGTTGCAGTAGATTCCGCGTTCGTCGAGTGGCCGTTGAACGTGAGTTGAAAGAAATCTATCGAACGTAGAACACTGCGGATGTCGACTCAGGCCCCGCTTGAGCCGCGGGACTCTAGAGCGAAGCTCGAGCCATTGAAGCAATCGGCCCGTATTGATTGACATTCGGTAGGGTCATGGCATCGGCAGCTCAAGTACGTTGAAAGAGGTTGACCTACATAGGAGGCTTTATTTGGACATGACGCGCCAACCAAACAACTCCGCCTGCCTCCTCTCTTCTCCTCCGCTATGAGCAAATACGCGCCGCATCATCGCAGTTCTAACCACCCCAGGGCCAATTCGTCTACTATTTGCCAGAAATGTCTCAAATCAGGCACGTTACATACGTCCCAGGCCACGCACACGTCCCTTACCGTACGCGCACGCGACAGGCCACTTCATCTATGAATGCAAATGGGAGAGACCATATGTTTCCCGCCCTTCTCGCACCGAGATGCTCGAAAACCCCTCGGTGCTAGCCAAATTGAAGGCTTCTGGCAAGCCCTCGATCGAAGTTCCTGAAGAGTTCAAAAAGAAGTACATATCCGTCCTCTGGCAAGAGTTGCGCTCTCGTTGACGAGTCATGGCACTGCAGGGAGGGCACTGCGAACCGCATCCTGGAAGCGAAAGAAAAGGAAAGAGAGGTGAAGGATAAGGGGAAAGGGAAAGAGAGAGAGCCAAAGAAGGCCAGGAGGTTAGTCAAGTGCCGCCTCATCGACGTTTATGTGTCCAATTGACTTTACGGAAGGTCGTCGAGGTCTTCTTCAGACTCAGAGTCCGATTCGGATTCTTCACGTAGTTCGAGTTCAGATTCGGACTCTGATTCGAGTGGTTCAGAGTCGGATTCCGATCGGTCGAGAGAACGCAATTCTAGGCGACGAGTGCCTAGAAGACGCGCATCTAGTGCTCGCTCTCGGTCAAGGTCCCACTGAGTCCAGAGCTTTTCCCCAGTGTAGGATTCTGTTCTCCGATCAACAACTGTGGCTCATTATTCCGTGTTGCTGCGATTAATAGTATATTGGTCGTATCGTCCGAAAGTCGGTTGCAAGAAAAGCTATGTACTTGATAATTGACTAGCAAACTTTGAATCCAGTCGCTTTTGTGTTCATAATCAAGGCGACAATCAGACTGTTTCCAGCGTCAGTTCGCGGTCTATAGGACGCGCTGATCAGGATACTCACCCATACAAGCCAAGCACTTCGCCAAAAATCAATATGAGCACCATTCCGACGAACACTTTTTGTTCTTGAACGTAGGCCCGCACGCACTGCAGAAAATAAAATCGAGGGCCCAACCAGATACAATGACCACGTACCGAGTCGCCCACTAGGCCGATGGCATACCCCGCTGCGAGACCAGTGGTTCCACAAGCGAGACCCGCACCCAGATGCACAAAGCCAGCAGCCAAGGGATAGCTATTTGGGGTCACTGGGGAGAAAGCGCAGCGGAGTCAGTTACGCAACACGGGTACCTGCCCCAACGAGACTGCTCACCGGATCCCGAAATCAAGACCGACACGACCAAGCCATATACAGCGATAATACCGGACATGACGACAGGAATGAGGGACTGGATGCAGAATAAGACCAGAAAGCATTCGCAGTTCTTGATTGCGTATGACGCGCCTTCATGATAGCCTCAGGTTTGAACGTCCCCAGACCTGCAATGCCAATACCAGACTTGGCAGTCCCAAAAGCAGCGCCCAGGGCTAGGTGATGTCGATAAATCCTCGTTGCTCAATTGGAAGAGGCACTGAGATGACATACTACTCAACACCATCTGCGAGGGGTTAGTGAGCATTTATGCGAGCGTAAAACACGCACTGCAGAGGCGACGCCCGCAAAGCCAAAGAAAGGGGCATAAGCTGGACAGAGAGACATGATGAGAGAATGTTGGAGGTCGAAGACTGCAATGAATGAGCAGGTGAATGAGGCCGCTGCTGCGAAAGTGCTGATGTGGCTGTGCGAAGCCCACCGAGACTGATAGCATCATTGAGTACCGTGACTTGAGGGAAGATCGCGTGGTATCTAATCTAATCTATTTGTGACCCTGCTTGTCTACTTTACATTAAATGGGCATGAGATGCACTGACGATGCCGACAGGCACCACAAAACCAATTTTTCATATCTTCTGTCGCACCTCCTAGATCTCTTCAACACAGCGTCACAATCGTTCATTCTCCTTTTCGGCGAGGACCATTCTGGGTGTATACGGCGAGCCTTTCGAAATCGGCATCTGGTGGAGCTTCTGACCGTTTTGACGAGACGGCGACAAAGGCTGGCAGAAAACTCCGGTTCCGTCCTTCTGTAATTCCATGTCCGCCGTGTAGTCCGAGAACATGTCCGGCTCCTCCTCCTTTGTTGAAACAACACAACGTGGGATGAGTCGAAGAGTGGACGCATGCACAAGTGGCGATCCCCTCGGTAGCTGATGAGGTGCATCGATGCGACGTTTTGCAAGGTCCAAGGAGGCAGAGACGGCGGATTCGACCAATTGATTCAGATGGCTCCTGGGTGCGAAATCCTGAGAGACATTCAGCGCAAGCAGTTTTTTCGAGTACCGAAGCCACCCACTGCTAGCACTCGACGGACATGAAGTTTGGGAACACGCTTCGGCTTGTCGCCTGGATTCTGGTTTGTTTGTCAGCACAAGCACTGACCACATCGACTGACTGACTCTTTCAAATTCCGCACGAGCATGTGCGAGTTTTAGGCTAGGGAGGACATCGATACGCCGGATGGAAGGCCTGATCTTGAAGTCGCGTCGACGCACGCCAATCTGGGTGGGGCGGTGTTCACGATTTAGTTGCTGCAGAGCTTGTCGTCGACTGGCGTATTGGGGCTCCTACCTGGAGTCAGTCCTGCGAAGAACCTCATAGGAGCCAGGTTCTTACCGCAAGCAGTCGCTCTAATTTAGGTTCGTGATTCGTCACCGCAACAGCAGGCTGACGGGACCCTTGCGGCCAATGGGTCTGTGCTGCATGAGAAACATCTGGTGAGACCGAGGAGAAGACCGCACAGAGAAGAGTTTAGTCCGCTGGGCAGCCAGTAGATTTGCATAATTAGCAGTTGGGGCTGGTCTGATGTTGATCGTCGAACAAGACATCGTATCGGACTAGACGCAGTTAGAAACATCCCAAGATCGGTGCATGGCTACTGACCTCGACGTCAGCGATACGTGCCACGCCTCTGACACGCTGAAGAGCCACGAGAATGGAAGACAAAATGCTCGTGATTGAGGACCAAAAGAGCATCGCAAGCACAGAGATAGCAAGCATCGAAAGAGTGATAGCGGCACTGGCGACAAATTAAGTGAGGCTGATAGCGGCGGAAGAGAGAACGGAAATACAATCTCTCGACCGCGGTCCCTTTTGTGGATTCTGGTCGTGTCTCATCTCATCCCCCTAAACGCGGGTCTGAAGCTAATGAGACATGGAAGCTGCGGTCTCTGTACCCGACCCGAAATGTCCTTTCTGCAGGGACACATTCGAGCACAGCAAACACAGTAGAGCGGCAGTGATGGTCACTTTAAATGCTTGTTAGCATAACGCTGGAAATCTGGAGCAATCGAAATGGTCTGAAGAGAAAACAACACGACATCTGACAACTGCTCGCCTGGTAACATGTGATCGCGTCCGAGTCCCTCAGCTCACCTGACGCGACTGATTCCCACGCTCTCCCCGCCTGCCGCAGCCTCCAGGTGCCGGACACTCCGCTCTGACCTCACATACGACAACAACGCCCTTGTTAGACCATATGCTCCCTCTTCCTGTAAACGTCGTCCTAGTCTCCTTGAGTCCTGGGATCCGCGTCATCCGACGACTTGTAGAAATTCCGTCATGGTCCTCGTCATACGATGCTTTCCTCCTGGTTGCAGCGTGGTGGGCCGTCGCTCTCCTCGCAGAACCCGCGCTGCGATTCTTCCTTCCTGTCCTCGTCGCCTCTGGGATCTCGTTGTGGGCATGGGGGCGCACGAGAGCAACGTCGATCGCGCCCGCCTCTGAACGAACGATTCAAGCGGTTGTCACCGACCTGACCGCCATTGAGAGTCTTCTCCCTGCTGTCCCAGTGCTATCGCCTCGGCTCCGAAACCCCAAAGTCCTATTTCATGCTGCACTCATATTCTACGTGCCCTACCTGGTCCTCATCTACTTGTTCCGCCTACGCGTCTTGGTGGCCCTGTGCGGCACGATCATTCTCACCTGGCGAGCCCCTTGGGTCAGTGCGCTGCGAAAACTTCTCTGGAAGAGTGCCTGGTTTCGATGGACCGTATACTATGCGACAGCTAAAGTAACCGGCGAGCCACTGCCTTTCGCATACCAATCTTCCGCGAAGTCCGTCGCCTCCGCCTCTGTTTCCTCAGCCAAGTCTCTCCGGTTTCTTTTCACGGTGTACGAGAACCAAAGGTGGTGGATGGGTCTGGACTGGACCGCAGCACTCCTTCCCGGCGAACGGCCCTCGTGGTGCACTCACTCGCAGGCGCCCGTGTCTCCGCCGAGCGCATTCCTTCTTCCGGACAACACAACTATCGTGCTACCCCATCCGGATGGAAAGGGCCGCATCAAACGCTGTGCTCGCTGGTCGTGGGAAGAAGACGAATGGCGTGTGCTGATCCGACGGGAGGGTGCGTCAGGCCCTTCACGGGTCGAGAAGCCGTTGCCCAGCGAGAAGGAGGAGAATGCTGGCCTTCTTGCCAAAGCGGCTGCCAAGATGCGTGAGCCGTCGACACATCCGCCCCCGTCAGAAGACCATTCACATTCGGAAACGGACAAGACGAGTGCTAGTGAGGAAGAGGAGGAGGAGCTGACGACCGACGAGGATGGATGGGTGTACGAGGATAATAAATGGGAGAAACCCAGCGCGAAGGGCGGCATGGGCAAGGTGCGTTCTCATCTGGAGCATCGAGGAGCCAGATCATTCAGACATTTCTGCAGTACACACGATTCCGCAGGTGGACCAGAGTGGCAGTGGTCACCGAAACAGTCGAACCAGCAGCAGAAAACGAAGAGGATGTGCTGCCGAAGCCTCCACTGCATGATCCTGTCCCAATGCCGCGTTCAGAGAGTCCGGAATCCGAGAAATCTCGAGACGGGAGCCCGTTGAGGCAACGACTGAAGAATGTGATGCACAAAGCGGCACCTAGCACGCTATGATTGTAATATCACTCCGCCTCGTCCAATGCCTGATACAGAGCTTCCTCTACCTTCCGATATACCTCGTTGTATCTCTTGTCGGAGCCTGGCAGCAGCTGGGTGCCCATCACCACTGCGATTCCACTGCTTGGGTCCAGGAAGAAGCTCGTCATGGCCAGTCCACCCCCTGCAATGATGTCAGCCATCGAACGCACAAACCTGGTAAATCACCGTGACGCACATGCTCCGGATCCCTTTCTGCGTCGCCCGGGAATATCCTCAGTGTTGAGCAGCAGCCCACGACTGAATTGTGCCGCGTTGTCTGGCCACCCGAGATGTTCATTAACCTGCACACCTACGCTCACGATCTCGGCTGCCAGCGGAGGCAGGGTTGGTGCGAACATCTGATCAACGGAGGTCGGAGCAAGTATCCCGTTGTGGATCCGCAGGGCTGCAGAGAAGCGGTTCAGGACAGGGTGATGAGAGATAGGCAGCTGATGACTCCAGACTTTTGATACGCAGCAGGTGTCTTAGCATCATAAGGTAGTCCTTCTGGGATAAATAAAGACCCGCAGAACCAAGATGAATGTTCACTGCAAACTATAAATCACGTTCTGAGACTTAGACGAGGAGCATAATCACCCCGACCGGTTTCACGATCACAGGAAAGCAGCGGTTCTTTGGTGTATCTCGTTATCCCTCCAGCTGCGTCTCGCCCATGCATCGGAAAGAGCCGCGATCGAAGGTCCGAAGTGAGATGGAACGAAGCCGATGTGATTCCCAGTGGCAAAAATATGTGGTCTTTGCTGTGAGAGGGATTCAGATCCCGTGGGTACTTGGATTTGGACCACCTGGAGCGCACAAATACTGTTCCAGCGTCTTGCCACTGATCTTCTCGACAATGAAACCTGCGGAGTCTGTCGAAAGACCATATGCGACTAGGACACCGCGTTCTTGAATAACGAAATTGAGGGAGAAGCAGAAGACGAACATACAGTTTGTGCCCGGTTCGTGTCTCAGAGGCACGCCAGGGAATGCACCCGATCCTTTGACTAGATCATAGTATTTGGAGACGGGATCAACCTCGTGTGCATAGTCGTATCCTGTCGGTCTCAAAAGCGCTTCACGTTGATCCAGATAAGAAGATATTCGGATCGAAAAGAGCGGTTGCACAAACCGGTAGGATTGAGTTCCGATTTCGGTGCGTAGATGGTGCTATCCATTCCGCTCGTATGGTTCAGCAACTGCCCCACCGTGATTTTCGAGCTGGCGGGGACGTATGTGCGATTTCCTTGCGAGTCGCGTCCAGTGAGGATGACGGGGTTCGCTAGTTCTGGGATAATTTCTTCGGCGTTCGTAGATAGCGAGAGTTTTCTCTGTTCGATTAACTGGAGGACAGCGATCTGTGCGAAGGGTTCAGAAACGCTCTACCATGAGAGGTGCCGAAACAAGAAATGAATGGGAACTGAAAAGAATTCACGGAGGATGACATGGACGTAGCAGTACTTACAGTCGTCACAAGCTTGGTCTGACTGAATGCTGCAAACACTGCATCCTCGTCGAGCGGCCCACTTGAAGGATCGTCGAACCATCTATTCCCGACGGTTTTGAGGTAGAGCGGACCATCCGCATCGGTTATACCAAGGAACAGGGCAGGAACAGTCTTGCTTTCCACGGCTTCGGTCTGCGCATCCGCTCGTCAGCTGCTTCGAGTAACACAGTGAGAGTGAGGAATTTCACGAGGATCAACTCGAGACGAGCTTTGTGGGCTTCGGATAACTGGGGCATGGGGTGACGCGACGACGATGGGGTTAGAGAGATGATCAGAGGTCCCTTGATCTTATCTCGAGGAACGAAGAGATCGAGATCTTATCACGGATCAGGCTTTAATGCCGTGGATCATAGGGATCCCACTGGGCATGATACTTGAGCAGGGGCTCTTTTCTCAAAAAGGAGGATTCCAGAAAAAGTTCGAAACCATTCTCATACGAGGTTTCAGCTATGAGGTCAACTTCCGCGCTGGAGCCCTTGTCGTTGGCAATTCAAGCGACGTAGTAAACCAAGAAAGAGCAAGGGAGTGAACCCGCAGTGTCGACCACGTAGATGCGCTTGTCCACGCCCCTCGAGTAACAACGAAATAGTCCCAGATTTCGTTGTCCGAAAATAGCTTGGTCAGGCCAGCTTTGAGTGTTTGGGCATGTGGAACCTCGCGTCGTTCCCTCAACCTTGACGCAAAAGTCGTGGCTCAATCCGGGTCAGCTCGGCACCAAGTGCTTGAGCATCGTAAGCTCAGTTGCATGCCCAGCCGAAGCGCATAGAATTCAAGGGGAGAGGGGGAATTATGGGTCCGAGATACATTCGTCGGGATGGTGGTTCGACGCAGGACGCTCTATCATAGCTGTATTTTTGCAGTCCGTCAACGAACCTCACTTCTGAGCGTTCATTATCTCTGTGCCACTTCAGAGAATGTCGGAGTAGTATGTGTAAGCTACGCACCTGCATTCATCTCTGCGAAACGCGCGCTCACACGCTCCGAATGCTTCATAAACTTCTCGGCGCAGTTGTTCACGCATGTCTCCTGCAAGAATGGTCATTAGGGACGTCACAGCAGCTCTGAGAAGCGATATACCTCCTTAGAGGAAAGCGTCTTGCTTGTGAAATCATTGCAGCATGTCATGAAGCACCTCTCCACCAGTTTGCCGTACATCGTGAGGAAGCCTTGAAACTGTGAACCGTCAGCCCTGGACCTTCTAACGCCGGAAAGATTGAGGTTTACTTGTCGCTTTTCGACGAGCTTGTTCACATGAGCCTGCTCTGCGCTTGAAAGACCGGAAAAATCCATGGATGCGTAAAATGAAGAGGAAAGCAGGCTTTGATGGTGGATTTCTGATCGTCGGCAAATTCCGATCCCGTCCTACTAGTAATTTATGACTCAACCATGTAAAGCAGGTGTTTTCTCCCTACCTCTAGCCCTGCGTCCACACACGTGTACCACTCTGTCGTGACTCCCAACTTGAACTCGTGGCTCTCTTCAGTACTGTTAACGCTCGGACACATCATGCATAAGACTCCAGGTATATCGGACCGTTCCCTCCATTTGGTCAAGCTCATGCTCAGCGTCTCCCAGATCTGAACATGGCGATGTCCTTCAAGGACGCTCTCTCGAGACTGGAGAACAGTCGCGTCAAGTCGACACGTCCACTCATTCCACCTCAAATCTTGCAAGAGGATCTGCCACTGCACGTTCCATCCACACCGATGGTACTATCATTGAACGCACATTAGGACGCTACTGGCTGCGCACACTGTGCTTCAGGGCCGTTTGGAAATCGAAAACATCCTGAAAGGAGACGACGATCGACTGTTGGTGGTGGTTGGACCGTGCTCGGTGCACAATCCCGGAGCTGCGATGGAGTACGCCAAGCTGCTAAAGGAGTACGCGGATTCCGCCAAAGAGGACCTGGTAATCGTCATGCGTGTATATTTTGAGAAGCCTAGGACCACCGTCGGGTGGAAGGTGCGTTTTGAAATGCCGACGTTTAGCGAATTGGCGCCAAAGGGATGCAGGGTCTCATCAACGATCCCGACCTTAACGGCAGCTTCCAAATCAACAAAGGTCTCCGCATAGCCCGCACTCTGTTACTCGATATCGCCAAGCTCGGTCTTCCTGCTGGGTGTGAGTTCCTGGACACTATCTCGCCTCAGGTAGCGACGCGCATTCTGCATCTTCAGTATCGGATAATCTTGACGTGATTTCTCTAGTACACTGCCGATCTCGTGTCATGGGGCGCCATCGGTGCTCGGACAACCGAGTCGCAGGTGCACCGCGAGCTGACATCGGCACTGTCCATGCCTACCGGGTTCAAAAACTCCACCGACGGGAGCGTGGGGATCGCAATTGATGCATGTCGCGCAGCGAAATCGGGACATGTCTTCCTCAGTGTCGGGTATGCGGTAGCAGCCTCCCTCCCGCGCATTCATTCAGGTCCCTTTTCACAGCAAAGAAGGATTGAGTTCGATCATTGAGACGGAGGTGTGCATTTACAGCTGACGCAGAGGATCGTATTGACAGAAATCTCAGGGGAATCCTTTTGTCCATGTCATACTGCGAGGTGGGGCATCCGGTCCGAATTACCAAAGTGATTTCGTCCGGGATGCTGGCCAAAAACTACAAAAAGGGGGCGTTGTGCAAAAGATCATGGTTGGTCTCATTTGACAGGTGTCTCTCGAAATCATTGTTTCTGACAGAGAAACAGATTGACTGCAGCCACGGCAATAGCTCTAAGCAGCATCAGAAACAAGTGGAAGTAGCAGATGATATCGTAAGGACTGCCCGTTCATTGCCGCTCATGTTATCACGTTCTGCGGCAGGCTCGTCAGCTGGAGGCCGGAGACACCGGCTCTCTGATCATGGGTGTCATGGTTGAATCGAATCTTGTCGAAGGACGGCAGGATATCCCTACCAATGGGGTCGGTAGCCTGCGGTACGGCCAATCGGTGACTGACGCGTGCATCTCCTGGGAGACCACGGTCCCTCTTTTGGAAAGGCTTCGTGAAGGTGTGCGCGGACGTCGCGCTTCGTCTAGACAGAACACATCAGCCTGATTTGTATTGAAAATGAACGAACAGCGATGCATAACGGTGCAGTCCGATCGCTTTCGGGCTGACATACTTGTCCGTCTCCGAGCTGGATTTCATGGAGCGATCGAGCCCAACTGTCCCGAACGGACCAGAGGATGAGACGCGAGGCCAATGACATGATAAGACCAAGGTTAAAGCAGCCGGTGCCGAGAGAGTGACACGAAAATCGGGGTTTCGTGGAGAATTTTGTCATACAGATTACGACATAATTCGTTTTATTCCAGCAATCAAAAATGACTCTCCTGAGGCATCTCAAGTGCGTCCCATGAGTGTCCCGAACACCCCCGCGCGCGCGGACACAATCCGAAGCATCACCAGTGATAGCGACGAATCAAGTCTCCACTCTCTTGAAGCCAACGTCTCGATCGGTCACTTCGTAGCCGAAACGGAGGCATTCGAGCAAGTCCTTGCAGAGCACGCAGGTTACAGCGAGCAGACCGATAAGGGCGCCTTTGATGATCTTGTTGGGAAGCATCTCACAGCTTCGGAACGCGCAGCTGCCCGGCATGCCGTGAAGCTCGCACAAAGAGGACCCGAATTGGAATGGACTCCTACTTCCTCTTCTTCTTCTTTAACCAACACCATCGTTGAAGAGCCCGAGTCTTATTCCGAAGGGCCGGACACCGATGTCGTTCCCACGGCTGACTCGGAAAGTGATGACGCGTCTTCAACCGACTGCGACATCCCCCCTCCTACGCTCTACCGCTCGGGAACTCAGGACTCGGACATTTGGAGGCTTGAGCCGGAGGAGATCGTGCGGCTGCTGGTCGAGGAGTTCGGCCCCCTGGCCGCGGACGGTGTGGAGGAAAAGCTGATACTGGAAGCGGATGGCGGGCTCGTGAAAGACATATCGATTGTCGGGGTGATCCACTTGACGACGCATCGGGTGGCGTTCCACGCGTCGCTGCTCGCCACACTGCCCACTCAAATCGACAGGGTGATCAAGGCGGGGACAGTCGTCGTGCACCGCAAGGGCTGGCACGCCAAGCGTCGGCTTTGGCTCGAATTGTCGCCGGACATGGTCTGCACGTATGCATCTAGCAAAGAAGCCGACAGAATCCGACCGATACGTTCCGTTCTGTGTAAGCTGACTGTCGTATTGCTCGACGGTACATTCTCATTCTGTCTTTCTAGTGTCTGCGATCCACAGAATCGTGCCCAAGGACCCTAAACAGCCGAAATATGTTCGCATAATCTTCGAGACAAGCGATTTTTTGGACAAGGGCGACGCCAAGCCTCGTATGACTGGTGTACTGGAATTTGATACGGAGGAAGCTGCGATCGACTGGAGGAAGGAGATGGCTGGTGAGTGACTGGGATATGTTATCTGGAACAGCGTTGGAACAGACTATGCAGCGGCTGTTTTCTTGTATCGCCACCGGAAACGGGAGGTTCTGGGTGGCGCCGATGCGGACAATGGGATTCGATTCAGTTGTCCGCTCGGACGCATCGAATCTGTGTCGTTCCTGGACGAGGCCACCCCATCCTTGGCGTCGCTCGTCATCCCCTCGGACTCGGATGAGCTTCCTGAAAAAGGTACCACTGTCCGCATGGGGACTCTCTATTCAGCGCCGCCCTGGCAAGATCTACCGAAGCATGTGGCAACCTACAAAGCCAGAAGCGGCGATCATCCGCAGGCACCTGTCTTTTGCGACATGGGGCCCCTTGCGTTCTCGGATGCGGAAAATGATGTGGAAGGAGCAGATCTCCAAGAGAAGAGGATTCGATCGGTTCTGGCACTGGGAGCCGAAAAGAATCTCTGGAGTTAGTCCGCTTCCATCTGCGATTACTTTTCCCCTGATCTATGCGCAGTCGTTCGTGCCAGTGTGTACCGCAGTATAGCTTCCTCCGGATTTTTTGTCATCTCCGACCATTACGTGTCGTTCTGGTGCAGATCCCTCGCGCAGGATGACCTGCAGTACCGACTGCCGTCATCCATGGTCCGCAAGGCGAGGGAGTTCAGCTCATTCGGAGCCTGTTCGTTTGGACTCGCGCTCGAGCTCGAGGGCCACGACGATCTGCGGTTTGTATTCAGAGCGGACAAGACGCGTCAGGACGCCCTGAAGCGCATCAACACCATCTCACAGACTCCCACTCGATCTGGTTCAAACACCCCGGTTTCACCCACTCCGCTCACAAGATCGGCGACGACGATTCTCTCTCCTATAGAGCGGTCTATGGCCGCCGTAGTCGCCCGAGGCTCCAACCGCAAGGTCGTCGACACTCTCCCCAAAGCAATCAATATGCCGCGCGAGCTGCTGACCAAGCAGCCATCCAAGCACTTCGTTTGTTTGACGATCGGGTCGCGGGGAGATGTCCAGCCGTATATCGCTCTCGGACTGGGTCTCATGAAAGAAGGCCATTCGGTCACCATCGTTACCCACGACGAATACAAAGCGTGGATAGAGGGCTTTGGAATCAAGCACAAACAAGCAGGTGGTGACCCGGGGGCTCTGATGAAACTGAGGTGTGCAGTCTGACATGACGTCTGGTTCTCCGCTAACTTTTGATAGTGTAGAGAACAAGGTGCTATCGTCCTTCCTGTCGTTGAGTGGCGGCGTCCTTATGATTCAACTCAAACCAGATGTTTTCGCCCGAGTTTTTCAAGCAGAGTTTGCAAAACGTGAGTCTCCGTTCAGCTCTCTCTGCTTCGACTGACTGAAGATGATGTAGTTCCGCCCATGGCTTGACCAATGTGAGTCGCGCTGTCCATATCACGCTCACTTCACCCATATCATTCCTAGTATTACTCGATTCCTGGGAGTCGTGCCAAGGCGCGGATGTACTTCTTGAATCTCCGTCGACGATGAGCGGAGTCCACATTGCAGAGGCTCTCAGTGAGCTCCCTTGCCAGAATTTATTGCTCCGGATTAACAAGACATCTCAGATATACCCTACTTCCGTACTTTCACTATGCCTTGGACCAAGTGCGGTTGTGCTCTGCCGCTCGGATGTTGCTTTTGACCTGCGGATTGACAGGACGTCCGACTTTCCTCATGCATTCCTCAGTCCGCCAGTCGACGCCCCTACATTCAATAGCGCTTCGTGAGTGGCGATGCTTTGACTGGGCCCTTGATTAACTTTCTGGTCAGATATGTGCTATTCACGTAAGACTTGATCGTTTACAGGTCTCTTCGTTTTTGCTGATTCAGGATAGTAATGTCATGTGGGCGGCGACATCGGGGCAAATCAACCGCTGGCGGCGGCAGACTCTCAAGATTGGAAATACGGACATGAACCATCTCGCACAATCGAAGATTCCTTTCATCTACAACTTTTCGCAAGCAGTGGTCCCCAAACCCTTGGACTGGAGTGACTCAATCACAGTCTCCGGATAGTAATGCCATTCGTCTCGGGCTGTTTGTCCTGATTTGTTGATGGGTTTTATCATTAGCTGGTTTCTGGACAATCCCGAGGGTGTCAATTGGACACCTCCGCAAGATCTCGTCGATTGGATGGCCCAGGCACGGAAGGACGGCAAGCCCATCGTTTACATCGGATTCGGATCGATCACAGTGCCGCATCCGAACAAGACCACGGCGCGGATCGTCAAGGCTGTTCTCGAGAGTACGAGCGTCTCCTGCTGCCCGATTTTTATCCGGGACTGATTTTGCGTGGCAGGCGATGTGCGGGCGATCATCTCCAAGGGCTGGTCGGCCCGGATGAGCAAAGTGGACAAGGATCCCGAGGTGGTGATGCCCACGCAGTGTTATGAGCTGGAGAAGATCCCGCATGACTGGCTGTTCCCCAAGATAGACGCCGCTGTGCATCACGGCGGTGCGGGCACCACGGGTGCTAGCCTAAGGGCGGGTATTCCCACGCTGATCAAGCCGTGGTTTGGAGACCAGTTCTTCTGGGCCAGTCGCGTGCAGAAGCTAGGCGTGAGTCGTATCTGGATATCACTTGGGTTGCGGCTGACTCGAGTTCCGTACGTAGGCGGGATTGAAGGTCTCCAGTTTGCACGGTCACGAGTTGGCTGACGCGTTGACGAAAGCTACGACCAGTCGGTCAGTGGCGGGGCTTGCCAGCATTTGGGCCATTCTCTGACTTGCTTGCAGGATCATGAAGGAGAAAGCTGCCGCAGTTGGCGAGAAGATTAGGGCTGAAGATGGCGTGCACACTGCCATACATACCATTTACACTCTGTTACCCCGCGCTGGAGAGTACATCGAGAAGATCCGCGAGCATTAACGCGGTTGTTGTTGCAGTAGCATATCACTACATAAATTAACCACTAATGTTGTATGTTCATAGTTTTGCCTTAACCACCACTTTGTTCAGCCCGGAGATGATCTCTTCAACCTCCGTCTCAAGCCGGCTGACCAGTGCTTCGCAGGTGGGTATGTCGGTGATCAGCCCCATGCAAATGCCGGCAGACCAGATGCCGTAGTCAGGATCGCCGCTCTCGTACACCACTTTGCCCCTTTGGCCGCTGACTAGTTCGCGCACCTGCCAGAAGATTAGTCAACGTGGTCCACACTTGAAAGTGGCCTCGCACATCCTCGAATTTGGCTCCCCCGGGACGCCGCTCGATCTTCACGACCTCGGTCGAGACCTTGTTCTTGAACACACGGGCGGTGTTGTGCAGAGTGCGGAAGATATGGACTGTGTCTTGCTCCGACGAATCGACTATCTTCTTCTTGATGTTCTCATGGATTGGGCTTCATGTCAGAGATCAGAGTCTGGCCAGTCGAAGAAGAATGATCGGATGCACCTCTCGACTGTGCACATGAATCGAGTGCCTGTCCCGTGTCAGCTCGCTGTCCGATTCTCACCGCTGAGCACATACCCATGTTGACGCCCTGCAGTCTCATGTCAGTGACTTGTACGCGATTCTGTCGGGATGACATACCGAGGCACCCAGAGCTAGTGGTCGTATAATGTAAATCATCCAGGCAGCAACAGCTCTTTGAAGGATTTCACACACCCAAAGCCGCCGCTATTCCACGAGCATCTGCGATTCCACCGGAAGCAATGTAGGGGATGTCCAGTTCCTTGGCAGCTCGTGCAAGCTACAAACTAGAGTAAATGCCAATTGAGAGAGAAGATACGGGCAACGCACCAGAACGAGCCCTCCGATATCCTCTTCTCCGGGATGTCCTGCACCTGAGCAATCTTGAGATCAGACATAAGAGAGCATGAGAGTAGCACCGACATTCAAAGCCGTCAATGCTCAACATGTCCACGCCGTGCTTTGCGGCACTCTGTATGGAGAGATCTCAGCCTGAACAAAGATCCGCCAGAACTTCGTATCTACCTTGGCATGCCTTATTGTCGTGCATTTGTGAATGACGATACTTCCATGAGATTTCACGAATTTGATCACCGCTCCGGCTGGTTCCTATCAGCCCAGCAGGTGCATGCAATGGAAACGGGTGCGCACGACTGTTTCCGGCGGTCTCAAAAATGCGAATGCCTTCTTCGATGGCAACTCGCGCGTACCCGACATAGTCGGGAGGCGTGATCGAGGGAAGGAGGGTGATGTTCACTCCAAAGTTTTTGGAAGTCAAGCGCTTGGTTTCCCGGATGGCAGTCCGGAGGGCCTCGGGGCTCGGTTGAGTCAAAGCGGTGAGTATACCTGACAACAGCCAGTCATTAAATTGATATCACCATAAACCGACCAATGCCAATGCATACCCAATCCTCCTGCGTTGGAAACTGCTGCCGCTAATTTGGGAAGCCCGACCCATTGCATACCGCCCTGAACAACAGGTCTACGATCACGACGGGATGTCAGAGGCAGGCGTAGATAAGCACCGCGATTGTACGCCACTTACACGCGTATATTCAAGAGTTTGGTTGCTGCAGTTACGATAGGCATGTTGAGCGGTGGGTAATGGATGGGAAGTGAGTGAGGAGAGTGACCCCGGAATAACCGGCAGGTAATGGCGAGAGATCAGACATGTGATAGTAGAGGCGAGATTTGATGATGCCAACATGGGCGTGGCGAGCGTGATGTCACATCTTCATCACAACGGCACACACGTGATCGCGTGTTGAACGCGTTGCCGACCGCCGGCCGATAAGTTGCTCTTTCTGACTGCCTCGTGTTGGTTCTCGTCAACCCTCGCTCTGTTTATTCGCTCGTGTCTCTGCTTTCACTTTGCTGTCGCTGCTATCGTGTTTTCGCTCCCATGGCCTCAATAGCCACTCCCCCTCCTCCGTCACCTTCCCCTCCACCCTCATCATCGTCGCCCGGTCCCCCATCGCCCCCGACCCCGTCGTCGTCGCCGTCCTCAGATGATTCAGAACTCATCGAGGATCTCTCTTTCGATTATATCTTCGACGACAATGGACATTACGTGCGCATGTCGAAGGGCCCGTCGAAGAGCAATCGCGAGTCCAACAGCAGTGGCAGTCCCGCAACGCCAGAAGAGAGGACCTTCGGAATGACTGCAGTGCAGCTCGACAACGACTCGGCCGCTGCCAAGCCCCCCTCTCCCCTCCCGTCACTTGCCATCGCCTCCGCTCACGCCCGACGCTCGAGTCTCTCTAGAAGCGAGAGCTACTCCGCGCCATCCAGTGGAACGTCTTTGTCTCTGCCCGCCGCCGGCCAGGCGTCCTCATCACACTCCCAAGCTCGGTCGTTCCAGCGCGTTGCTTCTGTTCCCGTTACCCTCTCCACCACACCGGGACACAGTGCATCCGCCACGCGGGCCATGCGGCCGCTCGCCCGTCGCGTGCAGGCAATAGAGGACAAAGACCAAATCCACCAGGAGGAGAAAGAGAATGTCGGAGAACACCCAGTGTCGTTTCCACACCCATCTGCGTCAGATGCCGCCGATGAATTCGCCTACGCCGCGGTGTCGACGCCTGGCGCGTCTGGCACGAAGTTGCAGGGACCGTCACGTGTTGTTCCTAATCGCAGTCGCGTAGATGCGTACTCGTCCAGATCACAGGTGTCGGGGATACAGCGGATGCAGGCCGGAGCACAGAGAACGACGTCAAGATTAGGGGTAACGCGGTCGGTAGGACGGGTCGAGCCTATCAGGGTGTCAGAGCCGGCAGTTGAGGATACAGACACGGGTGCGTCATGCTCTTCTTACATCTTTGTTTTATCCTAAAGACTAGGATAGACGACGAACCTCCAGCTCCTTACCAGTCGACTTCGGACGCGTTGTCACGCTCTCGTTCGCGTGGTTCTGGATCTCTCGGACAATCAGGAAGTGTTCGGCCCAGACGGTCCGCCAGTCTCAGCGATGCCCTCAGTAAGTAGGAATTGTCATTCTCGTCCGCTTCTCATCAATCCCTTCCATAGCCAACGAAGACGACGGACCCTACTACCCTAATCCGACTCACTACCAAGGACAATCGAGTTCAAGACCGACTACCAGCCTTGGTTTCGCCACTTCAGATGCTGGTGGGGATGGCCCGCGGAGAGTGATGATGGATGAACGTGAGAGAGCGTCGGTTGAAGCATTGACAATTCAGAAGAGTGAGCAAATACGGCTATTCTGTTGGCGAGGGGTTCTCAATCGTTTCCCCTAGAGCATGCAAATCCAGGTCGCTTAGACGACGTGCAACACGATCAGCTCCAGACGAACGATCCACACCAGCGGCAATCACCCTCTCCAACATATGGCCGACCCTCCCGTTTTACACACAAGCGCCGAGACTCAGATACCTTACGTTCGGTGCCTAATGCTGCGAGCGTCTCTCCCTCAGGCAGCAGTATGCCAGGCTCCCGTCTGTCACCGACCGTCCGCAGTTTGTCATCTTCGGGGGTTAGCGCTGCAGCCGCTAAGCATCGACGCAGCGGCACTGCTCCTGAACAACCCACAACGAGCGGTATGCTTGGACCATCAGGGCCGTCATCGGCATTGGGTCGGACGTGGAGTGGCGAACGAGAGAGTTGGGGATGGGAGAACCAGCCGAGCAAGGAACGAGAGACGACCAGAGAACGAGAACGGCGGCCTCTGCAATTGACTCAACAGCAGCTAGAGGCACAACAGCACATCGAGGCGCAACGACAGCAACTTCAGCAGCAGATACAGCAGCAACAGCAACTCCAGCAGCAGATACAACAGCAGCAACAACAGCTTCTTCTTCAGCAACAGCAGCAAGCGACGCGCACCTTCGTGGTCAACAAAAAACCTTACGCGCGATTGGACATGATCGGGAAAGGGGGAACTTCACGCGTCTTTCGGGTGCTCAGTGGCGCAAATGAGCTATATGCGATCAAACGGGTGTCGCTGGACAAGACAGACGCAGAAACGATGAACGGGTACATGAATGAAATCGCACTGCTCAAGCGGCTCGACGGCAATCAACGGATTATTCGGCTCATCGACTCGGAAGTCAAGCCTGGTCCAGGGGGAGGCAAGGGACATCTCTTCCTTGTCATGGAATGCGGTGAAATCGACCTTGCACGCTTGGTCAGCGAACAGGCGAAAGAGCCGTTGAACATGGTTTGGGTGGCTTACTACTGGCAGCAGGTGAGGACCGATACATGGCATCGTGGCTGGATATTGAACTCTTCGCAGATGATGCAGGCTGTTCATGTCATACATGAGGAGAAGATTGTGCATTCTGATCTCAAGCCGGCCAACTTTGTGCTTGTCCGCGGCCAGATCAAACTGATTGACTTTGGGATTGCGAACGCCATCGCGAACGACACGACGAACATCCAACGCGACCACCAGGTTGGTTGTCGCTCCCCATGGTCTGATGACTGAACTGATCCAAATTCAGGTTGGGACTGTCAACTACATGAGCCCCGAGGCCATCGAACTGCCTGATGGCATGCGCCGCCTGAAAGTTGGACGTGCCAGCGATGTCTGGTCGCTGGGCTGTATTCTGTACCAGATGATCTACGGACACCCGCCATTCCAGCATCTGTCCGTGTATCAGAAGATGAAGGCCATCCCCGATGCGGAGTATGCGATTGACTTCCCGGAATACTCTACGCCGGTGGCCGCTGCGAAACCGGCTAGCCCTGCACTAAGCACGCCTCCAAAAAAGCAAGAACATCTTCGCCGCAGGGTACGGCCCGATGTGATCGAGAGCATCAAAAGCTGTCTGCGCCGGAACCCAAAACAGCGAGCTCTGATCCCCGAGTTGCTGGAGCACGACTGGTTGTCTGTGAGAGACCGTGCGTGGCGTTTCTTCTCCTCTCAGTATTGCTGCGTCCGGCTGACTGGAACACAGCGCCGTCCGCCAAAGACCTCCTTTCTGAGAAAGAGACTATTATCACACCATATTACATGGCCCAGCTGCTCCAGTATGGAATATCGCTCGGCCAAAACCCGAATACAGATTCAAGTAATGAAGCGCTGCTCAAAGAGGCTGAGGTGAGTTCCCTATCAATCTCTGCTTCCAAGTTTCTAAGCCAGCCTGTCCACAGCGTCTTGTTGCAGAGCTTAAATCGGTGCAGAGTGGTGCATCTTGATCGTACATCTGTATTACCCAATTCGCATCATCACATGTTTCCCTTCTCTCCATGAACTTTCCGCATAATCTGTACACACATGTAACTTATTGACCAAGACTGTTTCATTATCCACGTGATCGCGTCCAAATTATCTCCTGCAGGACTTCGATTTGACTGCGATGATCGGGACATGTCACTTGTGGTCTTCTCTGGTTTCACGCTGGCTTGGACGTAACTACTACACCAACCCGGCCCTACGCCCTCGTCTCTTCTTCAGGAGGCTTTTCCCTGTGAGGGGCGGCCGCGCATCCTTTGTTCACGAACCGTCGGACTTCGCAGTTGCCCCTGATAAAAAGCCTTGGCTCGATCCCCAGGCCTGACGCCTTGGTTTCTTTCACAAGCCTCCACGATGGTCAAGCCCCAGCACCGTCCACTCGCTGCCTATCGCACACTCTCTTCGATTTGCGTGGTGCTTCTGCTGGCGGCGTGTGTGCTGTCCCTGCTCGTTGGACTCTCGCTGCCGATCATCAAGCCCGTGTATCTTTTGAGGTTCTACTCAATTACGTGAGCGCATTCCGTCCACTAGCACAGCGGATCAGCTGAGCTGACTCGCGGTTCGAGGTCCTCGTCGACGGATGTGGCGACGGAGTTGAGGTTCGGGGTCTGGGGCGTGTGTGCTACGAGGTGTGTAGATCGGACAGTGAAGTGTTCGGCCGCTCATGCAATACGCGCAGTGCCTTCAATCAGGTCTGTGTCCAACAATTTGAAGAATTGCATCAGGCCGTACTGACTGGGAGACGCAGCCAACTCTGCTTAGCAACACCGTAAGTTGACCAATGCTGGTTTTCTCTTAGCATATCGTTGACATCCTGTTTGTCTCTAGGGAGAGTGCTTCGGACCAAGACTGGGATATGCGATACCGGATTCTATCATCTCGCTGACCGGCATCTCTCCTGCTATCGTGCAAACTGTGCTGAAGGTGCTTCTGACTTTACTCGTCTTGCACTTGGTCGTCGCCGGGTTGTCCCTCATCACCCTGGTATCCTCCCTCTTCCTTGCATCGCACGCACTATCCATTCTGGCTTTGTTGCTTGCGGTCATTACTGCGCTGGTGAGCACAGGGGTGTTTGGGATCGACCTGGCGCTGGTCATCGTGGCCAAGTCGCAGATAGGCGCCATCAATACTGCGTCGCATCTGCAGTTTGCCATCCAGTGGGGCAATGCACCCTGGCTGGGTCTGGCTGCGACGGTGTTGACGTGGTTGTCGGTCATCGCGCTGTCGGCAAGGGCCTGTTACTGCTTTGGTGTCAGAAGGTGTGTAAAGTGTCCAAGGCATCCCTGGAGGATACAAGGCACTCATCGCACTACTCTTTTCAGACGTCACCACCACCATCATCACCACAGTCGATTCGCTAACGCGGAAGAGAAAGTGCTTACCCCCTAATGTGTTTTTGTATACCCAGTCTTACGAACGCTACGAAAAACATATCATGACAAAATATCACTGACTCGCAATCCCGCCAATGAAACACGGGTTTCTCAGTTCACAGGTATAGTCTTCTCGGTAGCCTTTCACTGTAGGGCATTGAGATTTGAGCTGCGCCGCGAATCCACGAACTGCGCTTCGCACCGCATCGGTGGACTAGAAAGCTATACACTTTCAGGACTTGGACGGACCGGTCAAGCGAATCAGTGTAGTGCCTGGCTTCTCGTTACCTTCCGCATCTTGGATTGGACATGTAAACTCCCTTGTGGTCACTTCAATGTCCATCATCAAGCGTCAATGACGAACGAGAGAGGACAGAAAAGAAAGAGCATAGACCAGAAATCAGAATCCCTCCCAGATCGTCACTATTTTACCTGTGGTTGCCGCAAAGGCCTTCATGTCTGCTGGAGTTGGTACAAAAGTCTTGCCTGCCTCAAGGCCGGGAACACAAATATCGCAGCCCGATCACAGTGGACATACTATTCTGTATCGCAAGGCCGAACATACCGGTGGACGAGATGATGGCACGTTTGGGATTTCCAGAATCCCGGCGGCAAAGTAGGTGCTTTGAGATATACAGGTCGGTTCAGCTTTTAGATCGGAGCTCTGAAGCAACCGAGACCAGAGAGACACGACCTTCCACAGCGACATCGCCTCAGTCACTTGATCAGCCGTTAAGTGTCCTCCTGTGGAACATAGTCTCGAACCTTATTGATACCGTGTGAATCAATTGCATGACGGGAAAGAACCGAGGACGCGAACGTCAGCACAAGCAAATAGCGTCGCACGTGTGGACGCCGTGTTCCCACGTGCAGCTTCACAGTTGATGATGGCATCATCCACGTCACGTAATTCTTTCTCACACTGTGAAGACACCGCCCTCAACCTTTTTGGTCGCTCCCTCAAGACACTTGCCGCCGCCGTTGCCGCCGACCAAACCCTAAAAATCGAAACATGCCTGGCGTACGCGACATCAGGTTCGACTTTCGCATCTGGCAGTCGACGCATCTTGACCCATGCCATCCTACAGTGCTGAGGCGTTTATCACCGCCTACGCTTCCCACTTGAAGCGGTCTGGAAAACTCGAAGTCCCGACATGGGTGGATATCGTCAAAACCGGCTCCTACAAGGAGCTTGCCCCGTATGACCCGGATTGGTTCTACGTCCGCTCTGGTGCGCAAGTTGACCTGTGATCTACGATAATGAAATGACGTCCGCCTAGCTGCCGTCGCACGGCACATATATCTGCGCAAAGACGTCGGAATCGGTGCCCTCACGAAGCTACACGGTGGACGCAACCGCCGCGGCAACCGTCCCTCACACCACGCCGACTCGTCCGCGTCCGTCCAGCGCAAAGTGTGCCAGGCACTTGAGAAGATCGGTGTGCTCGAACAGACCGAGAATGGTGGACGAAGGATCAGCCAGGACGGTCAGCGGGACTTGGACCGTATCGCAACTGCCGTTGTCGAGGCTGCGAAGGAGGAGGAAGATGAGGACGAGGAAGCCGAGGTTGAAGAGGACGATGAGTAAATGTTGGCCGTCTCTCTACCCACCCACTATGCCCTGCAGTTCTGTTCAATTCCATGGTATATGCAGCATGCGATGAAATTTCTCATTATCCAGCCCGTCTGGTGTTGTATTCCAGCATATGTCCATCAACCAACTACATCACAAAGACTCGACGCAGCCGATGATCTGTTGCTGCCTCACAGCACAACGGACACAATCTGGATTCCTGGAGCGCTTCGGCTATGCAGCTGATTCGATTAGGGGATGACAACTGGACGGATGAGCAGTCCTTACCTGGAACAGAACATATGTCCGCACGGTGGACAGGCGACAGAATGGGGATTGGTGTTTGAACAAATCGGACAGATGAACTTTCTGCTCCTTGTTTCGCCCTCGGAATCTTGCTCTTCGGAAGACTGCGATGAGCTTGAAGTGGAGCACTATACAACAGCAGTCATCAGCTGGGACCAACGAAGCGAATATGAAATTCTTGCTCACCATCTCACGAGAGGGGCCTGCAAGCTCATCGACATCTTCATAATCATACTCGTCGTACTCTTGCCAGGAACTGTCCGTATCCGAGTCGTCTGGCGGTGTATCTTCCTCCGGGTCAATCGAATCACTAAGTTGTCCCATCTCATCTTCCCATTCCAACTGTGCGACACATTCCACAACTTCTCCATCTGCATCTGAATCATCATCGGTGTCGTCGCGGTGGACAGCAGCGTGTTCGAGGTGCTTGTTAATCATGCGTAATTGTGACTACTAGGAAGGTGAAAACAAGAACTCACGTAGCGTAGACCACCTCCCGTCTTGAATTCGATGTCGCATGAACCACAATAATGATGATGAGGGGAGTATACAAGGTGCTATCGAATCATGCTTAAGATCTCTTCTGATGAAGCACCACTGAGACACAACCTACACCCCGGTAAACATTCTTGTTCAGGAATCGGCATTGGCAGTACTCGCATTCCGGATGCTGTGTCGATCTTTGTATGTGCATCTTCCTCTCTTCGATAGAGCAGAAGTACATGTCGCAAATAGCGCAGTAGCATTCAGTGCTCGTAGACATAGGAAGAGCAGTTAAGGAAGAGGAGCTAAATATTAGACAGGGGCAGATTGATCGGTTCTACTCTAGTAAGCCGCGATCTCGTGACCGCGTTCCACCTTACTCGAAGTCCATTCGCGATTCATGTCTACGCCAAGTTTGAGCCCTGCAGACATTCTCAGCTTCCAGTTCTCGTCCTGGTATCCTAAATTCTCGGCGATAACCATCAGATCCACTGTAATACGACCACTTCCTGCGGATTTCGTCGAATATCTACACTCAGACGGTGTCCATGTTCCCGAGGGATCGGATGACTTGTAGGTCGATCTATACCTCAAAAGGCCATCGTCTCATCTCTAGGCCCGCTGAGAGTACTTTGTCCGATGATGAAGAGGAATCTGAGAGTGATGAGGAAGACCGAGTCAGGTTTGCATTCCCCGAATTGGATGCTCAAATACGCGCAGTTGTCAAAGAATACGGATCGGTCTTTCCCAAGCTCAACTTCTCGTCGCCCAAGGTGAAGTTGGAAACATTCACCAGTATCCGGGGCACTAATTGTACCCAGGATGCAGCTTGGGTTCTGCCTGCCTCATCCCCTCTTAAATGCCACTCTCCCGCAGACATTTACATGTTGTTGAAATCTTCCGACTTTATAACACACGATATAACTCCAGATTCTGTCTTCGAAGGGTGTTTCACGAGCCCAGAACCCGGTACATACGCCCTCGAACTCGTGCTGAGAAAATGGTTTCCTGTCGAACAGAGTCGAGAACTTCGGTGTTTCGTGCGGCAGAACCATTTAATAGGTGATGAAGTTCATTTACTCAATACGCAGACCACTGATGCCACAGGACAAGGGATATGCCAGCGGGACACCAATTATTACGAGTTTCTGAACGATCCGGCCACAAAAACTACCATTGTTTCATCGGTTGTTGAACTTTGGGAGCAGAAGATTAGAGATGTTTGGCAAGGACCTCCTGATTGTATGTCATTTCCTCCGCTCTGTCGCATAAAGGGCATCGCTTTGACATCTTACCAGACGTCTTTGATTTCTTGCTCACCCGGGATCTTAAAAGGGGGCATGTTCTGGATTTTAATCCCTATGCTCCTCGAACCGATCCTCTTCTCTTCGAATACGAGGAGCTTCGTCGATCCGAAGGCAGCGAGCCTGAGTTCCGCGTAGTTGATTCGAGATCCCACCCAGCAGCAACGAGAAACGCACCTGCACATCAGCATAACATGCTCCCTATCGAGGCTCTGAGCCTGAGCAATGGCCAATCTATTGAGGAGTTCTCAGGAAAATGGAAGGAACAGATCGAAGAAAGCATCTCGAATTAGAGCAGCTCGCGCATTATCGATGTGTGATAAGACTAGAGCGCCGACTGCGTCGGCAGAAGCCTTGCTTCCATGTCACGTGTAGCATCTCACTTGGTGTCCGCCTTCGCACTCACAAAATTTCATTTCACTACGTTAACATACAACCACATTCATTACGTCCTCGCTCTTTTCGTCGGGCTCGAACCCAAGTCGACTTGAACAGCCCAACGTCGTTTTTTCGGGCTCACAGCAAGGCGTCTCTGTTCTTCAATGACCCGGATTTTGACTACATCCGCTGTAAAGTGGTCACGTTTGTGGTCCTTGAACGCCCAGTGGGTCAGCTCGAACGTGAGAGCCACCGTCGCGCCAGGTAGCAGCTTCATGTACTCTTCCGGCTCCATCAAGTTCCCGCCGAATGTGTAGGCCGGCAATCTATTGATCACCAATTTGCCATCGGCCTCGATGTCTTCGAGTGCTGCGCGTGCCGCCTCGTGTTTCGTAGGCCAACTCCCGAAGTCGTAACCTGCACCATCATCAGATGTGTTACGTTGGCACGTTTCCGCTCTTACTTCCGTCGTCGTCAGGTCCATCCTTCTCCTTCATCGGTTCGTCAGCGCTCCGTTCGACAGTCTTCTTTTTACACACTCACCACAAAGATAGCATGGCGGCATTTGAAGCCCGCCTTTCCCACCTCAAACATACCAGACTCGGCTCCATATCCCGCGGTTCTCGCTTCGTCCAATATCTTCTTCAAATTCTTTATCCCTTTGGTCCAATCTTTGGCGTACTCTGGGTCGGAAGGCGACACCGCACGAAGATTCATCTTGATGTCCTTGAATTGTTGAACGTATTGCCGCGGCCCCGACCATCCCTGGTCAGGGGATACCCAAGTGTCGTTCTCAGCTAGCACAGCAATAATGCTAAGCTCCGCCATTGTTGCGCCGGGCACACTCTCGCCGTCGCCTCCATCCGAAGCGTTCTCGTTGGCAGCGGCAGATACCTCTCGATCTTCGTCTGCTGCACGTACGTCGTCCATTGAAGCCTTTGTCACCAGCAAGTTATCGTTCCCGCACTTGCTCCACTCGACGAGTGTATTTACGTCTGTCTGGGGGAGGAAGAATGGGCTGTCGACAATGTCGGGGCGGATGGATCTTGTCGCGGAAGAAGACATTGTTGTTGTCGAAAGCAACAAGCTGATGTCTCACAATTTTCCGATCGGCCCCTTTTATATGTGTCAAGGTCCCTCCAGTCACGTTTCTTCATACATGGCCGACTCCGCCACTCCCGCAGTCGACGTCTCGATTCTCACCGTGGACGAGATGGCAGCATCATTGCGCTCGGCCCACCTTGTCATTCCGCGCAGCGTCGCGCGGACGAAGGCGTCAATGTGCATGTATGCCCGTGATCATGGGTCCCACTATTACGATTGCTTGGTTCAGGCTGCCTCCGACAAAGCGTCCCTCAAGCGCAAAATGTCGTCTACAGTCCTCCCCGAGCGCTCCGTCCGTCGCAAACTGCATCGTCTTCCCAAGCCCTGTATATCTCACCAGAAAGATCCCAACAAGTATCTCGCGTTACCGGACGAAAGTCAGACAAAGGACATATATCAGCGTTTCTACGATGCAACCTCCAACGCTGCGGTCCTCATGATGATTTGCGGTGTATGTGCACGCGAAGTCGGGCCTGAACATGACCGTACACCACGGCGACTCTCTACCCTTCCCAACGTCCAACGCCTTGTTCCCCACCAACCGCATCCCTCGCATACTCTTTTTGAAGGCAAGCTGCTTGAGCCTCAGGGCGTATTCAACGACAATGGGGTCATCCGAGTTCGCGTTTGCGAGCAATGTTCAGCTGCACTACTCAAACCCGAAAACAAACCTCCCAAATTTTCCCTCGCAAATAACATGTGGATCGGTCCCGTTCCTTGGCAGCTTCATGTCCTAACCTTTCCTGAACAACTTCTCATCGCGTTGCTGTACCCGCGCGTGTTTGTTTTCAAGTTGCATCCTCGCGTAGGGGGCCGCGATCCATCGAAGCTCCAGCGGGGCATGCGAGGGACTGTCAGCACCTACGAACTGGACTCAGACGGGATTGCTTCCATGTTAGCCGGCGGGCTGATGCCACGCCCCCCCGCCGTTTTGGCGTCTGTCATATCGCTCACGTACATCGGTGTCGGCACGTTGCCCAAGCACTGGCTTCAATCGACCTTTCGCGTCCGGCGGAAGAATGTATTCGATGCCCTGTCTTGGTTGAAACAGAACAACCCTAAATACTACGGCAGTATCAGCATCGACGCCAGCCGTATCGCAGCTCTGCCCGAGGACGATGTGCCGCCCGAAATCCTCAGCATTGTCAGGCAAACTGAAGATGTCGACGCCGTAAACCGCGAATCAGATTCGTATGTTCGGGACCATCACAGCGATGAGCAGGCCAACGGCTTAGGTAGATTTTTTGACCTTATCTTTGTTCAATCACTCACAACTTTTACAGGCAATACAGACGAACTTGACCCTCTGGAACAGCAACACGATGTTGCCGGTATGGTCAGCCCGCCCTTGATTACCGTTTTATTTACTTCTCCCAGATGGTTCACCCGATGTTATCCCGCTTGACATCACCGGTACAATCGACACAGAAATGTCGACGTTGAGCACAAACGAGCTGATGCAATGGGGTCTAGCAAATCTCTGGCAACGTGGAGAAGAAGGTGCCTATGCAGTCCGGCATGGCACTAAACCAGTCAGCGATTTCGGACGCCCTCCCTTCAACGCCACAGAAGCGCTCGACCCGGATCGGCCTAACTTTTTCGAACGTGCTTATCCCTGCCTCTACCCCTTCGGTGTTGGTGGGCTCGAAGCAGATCGGCCAGTGGACGTAAAATTTGGAGAACATGTCAGATGGTCGCTTGAATACCATGACCGCCGTTTCAGACTGAACGAGACGTTTCCCTTCGTCGTGTTTGGCATTTCGCAGAGGCGCCAAGCCCTCATGTCAGCACGCATTCAAATGCGGCGCAAAGATTTTGAAAGGGACGCTCGCATTATCTCCTCCATCACCCAAGCATCCCTCGAAAAAGCGACGTCCGAAGAAGCTCGCAAGGAAGCCATTTCCGACCCTGCTGTTCGCCTGCTCCGACAACACGTACATTCCGCAATCAGTCGCATACAAGGTTCGAATCAGTCGCGCACGCTGTTGCGCAGTCAGCTTTGGTCAACAACTGTGTTCATGGGCCCGTGGAACCTCTGGATCACAATTAACCCATCGGATATCCACGACCCCATTGCTCAGGTATTCGCTGGCGCGGACGTTGACCTCGACAACTTTGTTGCGCACGCAGGGCCAGATAGTGACCAGCGTGGGCGTAACATCGCCGCCGACCCATACGCAGCTGCAAAGTTTTTCCACTTTATGATACGGACAATCTTGGAAGTCTTGTTCGGGGTGGAGTCTTCGGCGTTTCAAGTCACCAGTCAAATGGGTATCCTCGGCGAACTTGCAGTCTATTTCGGCCTGGTGGAAAGTCAAAACCGAGCTGCACTTCACTTCCATTTACTTGCTGCACTCAAACATGCACCCAACGCTGACGAGATGGCCGAATTCCTCAAGTCAGAATTGTTCCGATCACGCATTACTGCTTACATCCAAGCCAACATGCGGGCATACCTCCCCGGTTTTGAGTCGGACGAATCTGTCAAGGCATTCCCTGTAGAAAAAGAGATAGCATACAACCGCCCTCCCAAGCCCGACGACCCCGACTACAACGCCCGACTTGCCAACTTCGAACGCCGGGTCGTACGCACTGAGCAGGTTCACACTTGTGACATCCGTCGCTGCCTAGTTGTCACCAAATCTGGGCGGTTGCAGTGTAAGCGGCGAGCACCCTTTCAATGTGCCACCGAGGATTTCGTTCTCGAGAACGGTGAATGTGGCCCCAAACGACACTTTGGATTCATGAACAGTTGGATCCCTGGCGTCTCCATAAATGTCCGATGCAATAACGACATCAAATTCCTCTCTCACGGGAGCGAGACGCAAAAGATCACCATGTACGTTGTTGGGTACGCTGCTAAGCCGCAGATGCGACACCACAATATCTCGGCCATCCTAGCGAACGGCTATGCATACCATGTTGCTCACCCAAACACAATGGCTGGCGAACTTGTGGAGAGTTTGCGTGACAAGCAGAGGCTCCTGCTGTTCCGCCTTGTTCACGCAATCAACCGGGAGCAAGAGTTAGGGGCCCCCATGGTCATATCGTACTTGATGGGATGGGGTGACAACTATCGTTCGCACAATTATGTGCCCATATATTGGAGTTCTTTCCTGGCCACCTTGTTCGACCGCTTCCCCGATTTGAAATGCATCCAGTCAGTCTACATGTCAATGCTGCGGTCCTCCTTAGCTCACACATCGTTATGACAGAACGCGTTCCGCCTCCAACGTCCCAGCCCAGGCTGACAGCGACACAAACCCGTCTATGTCAGACGACACCGACAGTGAGGTGAGCATCTTTGCGCCACCCTCGCCTGTCCATGACATTACTGTTCTAGGGCGTCGACAATCAAAATGTCACGATCAGTCTCAATTCTGCGGGACATGTGTTTGTCAAATCTCAAGTTACAGACTATACGTTGCGCGGTGATGCTTTGTCAACGTACAACATGTTGGATTTTTTCGTGGACACTTATGAGGGTGACATGTCTCAGCGGGAGCGCGAAAGCGTCGACCTAGGAGACACGTCACCTGCAGACGCTCGGCCAAAGCGCGGGCGCCCCAGAAACATGCGTGTGTGTTACCAACGCGGTCATCCGAGCCATTCACAGAAGCACCGCATCATCCGTTTGAATACCCACAACACGCTTCCCAATTTCATTGGCCCTTGGTTCCCCCGACGCGACGACGATGAAAAAGCTGACTTCTATCATGCGTGTATGCTGATGCTCTTGAAACCTTGGAGGATACTACAAGAGGACCTCAAGACGGGCGGGCAGACATGGGCAACAGCATTCGAAGATTTTTACAAATCAAGTTCGCCTCGCATCAAAGACATACTTGCAAATATTCAATACTATCACCAGTGCCAGTCGGCGGCACTCGCAGCAAAAGACAACAACGAAATGGCAGATTCGTTTGGTGGGGACACTCTTCCAAATGGGGACGAAACACTCTTTCTCGGTGAAGACTGCGAAGTGCCAGAGCGAGACGCATACATCACGGAAGAGAGCGTGCAAGCGCTGATAAACGGCCAGATGTCTGCACGTGAAAACTCACATGGGCAAATGGCACTCGAAATTGCCAGACTGACGAAAATCTTCCCAACTGGAGAAGCGCTGGATTGGAGTGTCGAGCCCAGTATATCGGAGCATGTCGCGCATGCTGTTGGCGATGATCTCGTGAAACTCATCGAATGGCGTAAAGAAATGGATCGAATTTTGCACGTCCAGAACGGAGGATTCCCGGCGATGCCTGATGAAGAACAAGCAGCTTCACGAGATGGATCCATGCTGGAAGCCCACCAGGTGTTCATCGAGCCTTCGGTCGAACGCATCACATTGTCGTCCGCGATGGTGGCCAATCAATGTGCATCAAGTTCTGAACAGTTTGACGAATCCATTGTCCAAACGCTGGAAGCAGACTTCGTGTTACAACCTGACCAACAACGCGCATACGACATCGTCGTGTGGCATTTGCGAAGGACGCTTGCAGGCGATGAGGTGCCTCCACTACGCATGCTCATACACGGCGAAGGGGGGACAGGGAAGTCCAAAGTAATCTCGAAAATAACGCGCACGTTCGACAGCGTTGGTGCCCAAGGACGGCTGATCAAAGCAGCCTACACGGGCATTGCAGCATCGTTAATCGACGGGAAGACTACTCATATCATCGGTGCAATCTCTGCAGGCGGCAAAATGAGTGACGCCAGCAGGGCGCGGTTACAAGACTTTTGGAGGGGTTACTCGTACCTCATCATTGACGAAATCTCCATGATCAGCAAGGATTTCCTTTCGCAGTTGTCCCGGAATATCGGCATCGCCAAAGCTTCGAGCACTGACAAATCTTTCGGAGGCATCAGTGTCATATTTTGTGGCGATTTCCACCAGTTCCCTCCGGTGGCAGCGTCTCCGACCCAAGCCTTGTATTATCCGGCGACGCATCGCGATGGACTGGCCGCAAAACTGGGCAGGGCAATATATGAGGAGTTCAGCACGGTGGTGATTTTGAAACAACAAATGAGAGTCACGGATCACATCTGGCTCGATTTCCTTCGACACCTTCGCATGGGGCGCGTTCAAGATCACCACCTAGCCATGTTGCGTACGTTGGTGATTCGACCCGGCCAGGCACCTGAAATTGAACGTTGGAAAGAGACGACGCTGGTGAGTGAGACCCTCCCACAGCAATCATACACGGATTTAACATGACGCAGGTGACCCCTAGGCATGGTGTGCGCCTCCCATGGAACGGAGAGGCCCTCCGGAAAGTTTGCCGAGAGCAGAAGCGCCAGATATTCATCTGCCCGGCAGAAGATAGGTACCGTGGACAGCCGTTGACGTTGGCTGAACGCTATGCTTTAGCTGAACACTTGTCCACAAAGAAACGTGTACAAAAGTCGATGGAGAGAGACCTACCTTACACTTTGGAACTTGCTGTTGGCATGCAGGTCCTGGTGACGAGCAATATCGAGACGGACCTCGATCTCACAAATGGCGCCCGGGGAGTCGTACAGTCCATAATCCTCGATCCCGAAGAAGGCTCGATACCCAACGATTCGGTCGTCCGGCTGAGAAAGCTTCCCATGTTCATCTTGGTCAAATTCGAACGCACGCGAGCTTCGACATTGAAAGGACTTGAGGCCGGTGTACTTCCGATAGAACCAGGCAAGACAACGTACCGTGTCAAGACGGAGTTGCCGGCTGGCGCAGCTGTGACAAAAACGATCCAACGACGGCAATTTCCATTGACCGGAGCATACGCGTTCACGGATTATCGATCCCAAGGGCAGACATTGAAAAAAGTTCTCGTCGACATTGCAACGCCGCCCAGTGGAGGGCTGAACCTATTCAATGTGTATGTGGCATTGTCGCGCAGCTCCGGCCGAGAAACGATCAGGCTCTTGAGGGATTTCGACGACTCAACGTTCAAGAAATCGCATGACCCGAGCTTGCTGGCTGAAGACGACCGTCTGGAAAAGGAGAACAGCGTCACAAAAGAATGGTGGGATAGGATCAGCGCGGCAGAGAAAGAACTATCGTACGTGTGCACACGGTTGTTAAGAGCGTTAAGTTGATGACAGATACGCGACTCCAGTGGCGGCGAACACAGAACGAATTCGTAGCTATGTGTGTATATATATGAACGTGAAAGTGCGTGGTCGACGATCGAATGCGTGAAAGCACGCGTGCCGCCGGATCGAATCGGAGAGTCGGAGCAAACCGCGTGACACGCCATCAGGACAATTATGAGGGTGGAGAAGCCTTGACAAGCAAGGCAATAATTCTTACTCTCCCAATCACGTGCTTGCATCAAACCCCGAAAAATTGAAATTCTAAGGCCTCAACCTTTCTCTCATGGCTGACGATCCGGCCAATTTTGCGAAGATGCTCGAGGCAGAGCTGCGGACACGTGTTTCCGACCTGATCAGGGACAATCCTAGTATGACGCCCAAGGAAGCGATGGTCAAAGCCTCCCAAGAACGTCTCACAAACAATCCATTTCAACCCCCACTGCACGGTTGCCCGATCAACACTCTGCCTCCAGAGCTTCTTGCTCATATCTTTGAGATTGGTCGGGCGATGGAGGAACAGGATGAAGATGATGACGGCTACGACGAAGGGGACGACTATGGAGATGACGAGGTTGACGATGAATGGACCGACGACGAGGATATTGAAGTGATCGACGAGGAAGTGGTGGAGGATGAAGACGTGGTCATGTCGAGTCCCAAGAAGCCGTTTTCCCCTCTAGAGGCGGTCGATCCCCCACAATCAGACTCCGGATCAGAAGAGGACGAGGAGGAGGAGTTGCACCCGTCATTCCAGGTCCTTGTTAGCCACGTGTGCCGCCACTGGCGAGAAGTCTCTCTTGCTGCCCATACGTTGTGGACTACCCTCAAGTTCAATACGCACCTGAATCTCGATCGCGCCAAAACATACATCGAACGAGCAAATGGTCTACCTCTAGACATATTCATCGACTGCACACATGAGCACCAACCCGATCTGGATGATTTGGAGGAGCTCCCAGACTCGGAGATGCCGTCACATACTGTGCCCCCCAATGCACACGCCGTCATTCTCAGCATGAATCCCGTCACAGGATCCGTCTCAGCCCTGGAACCATTGTCAACTCCGAAGGAAAGCGACATCTGCATCCCGCTTCCGGATCTCATCACTATCATCGAGCTGCTTACTCCACATGTGGAGCAATGGCGGATATTCGAAGTCACGGTCAAGTACTTCACCCATATGCACGAGGTGCTCAAACGCATCGCTCTTTTGCCCAGTGCGCCTCTACTGGTAGAAATGGGTTTGTACAATTACGAGGACTTTGACGAGGAGGATGCGGATGACGAATTCGAGACGTTCAAGCCTGCAGAGTTGCGCGAACCGCTGCTCCCGTTCGGGGGCAACGCACCGAAGCTGAAGAATGTCGCGTTCTGGGCCGTGCATATTGATTGGGATCAAGCTCTTGAAAAGGGTCTGCTCACAGGGCTGCACGAAATCGAGCTCGCGTACCATGCTAAAGACGTCCGGCCGTCGTTCGAGACATTCAAGAGTATGATCGATTCTTCGCCGCAACTCTCTCTGCTTTCAATGTGTCTTTCGGGAACTACCGGGGAGATGACCACGGTCGAATTGCCGTCTTTGCGATCGTTGGTCTTGTGTGTGCTGGAGGCCGAGTATGTCGCTCTTTTGGTGCAAGCGTTCGTCATGCCGCAGTTGCACGACCTCACTTTGGACCTCCACGACGAAGACTTCACCGACTTTGCGCTCCAACTTGCCGAGGCGCGCAGCGAGACGGAGGGGCGACGATCGCTGCTTTCCGGACTGACTGCACTAAAGTTAACAAGCTTCCCGTGCAACGACGCCGCTGCGGACAAGATGATGAGCCAGCTGGATTCGCTCGAGCGGTTCCAGCTCAACTGTGTCGATCCTCCGGAACGGGTCTTCGCCCTGGGTCTGATCAAAATTAAGGACAATGCGCCTCTCTACTGCCCGAAGCTGCAGGCTCTGCGAATTGAGGGGATCGGCCCCAACCAGCTCAAGAAGTTGATCTCTGCGCGCAAGTCAGTCGGTGCCCCGATTCGTAAGCTCTACCTCAGCACCCACGATGAATTGGAGGTTGCCCGCGAGCAATGGGTCCGGGATAACGTTGAGGAGTTCGATTACTTCGATCCTTCAGACGATGAAGTGGCGCTGGTAGACGACGACATGATGATAGAAGATGATGAAGGGTCCGACGGGTCCGACGATTGGGATGGCTCCGACGAAGAATAAAACGTGCTACATGCTACATGGTATTATGTATATGCTATATATATATGCGACTAGATAGAGCTAATACAGTAACCAGCGATAAGATACAAACGATGATGGTAAGTACAAATGTCAAGGTGGGACTGTGAGAGTCGAGCCCAAGCATACGTCTGGTAATTCATTGCACGCTCTGGCTGGAAAGTTGTCTCTGGGCATAGCAACAAAAAAAGCCACATTTAGCGTCTTCTTTGAAATATCACCAGACGCAAGAGACGTGACAGATCTTGACGAAAGCGATGCAGAAGGCTTCCATCTATCAGCGGGAACGGCTGATAGAGGCTGGGGAAACGTTTTAGCATGCAGAATGAGAGGACGGAATGGAAGTATACTCGCAGTTACATGCGCCCAGGCGAGAGGCGTCTGTTCCATCGGTATGAGCCACACATCGTGGAGCTGAGGTCGGCTTCCCAACGACAGCTCCCGAGAACCCTGTTCCGGCGGCGTGAGGACGAGGCCGTTGGCGAGAGCGTTCGAGATGTAGCGCCGGTACCGCTGGCGTACATAGCAAGCGCGCGTGATCACAGAACACGAAACGATGAGAAGTAGACCGAGCGTGGCCAGAAACGTGAAACTAGAACGTAATAAACGTCGATGTTTCTACACAGCAAGATGGCAGATGATCACTTGCAGGTATAGATTGGATCCCGGCGCATGTGAGACAGGTGCGGAGGAGCTCGATGCAGAGGGACTGGGAGAAAGGGAAGGCACAGACATGTCCTACTGCGCAACGGCGAGCGGTAATCGTCGCCAAGAGGAATGCAATGTGGGGTGACAATTGGGCCTTGAGGAGATTGAGGGGAGTGACAGAAAACCGATTCTGCCAAGTTTTCGGTTGTGGGAGAAAGATCCGTTGAGAAATGGGACCTGAGCAAATTACCGCATCAAGCGATGGCAACATCGCGATTTAAACGTCAATCTCCGCTTCTCTACAGTCGGCTCCCTTTCCTTTCTCCCACCATGAGTTCCGCCCTCACAGGTCTCCCCAACAGTCTCAACCTCCCGCCGCATCTGTCCGCACACAAGTACTTCCTCGTGTGCACGTTGACCGTCGCTGCGTGGGACACGCTTGTCCTTTCCCCTCGAACATGGCGGCTAATGCGCACGGGAGAATGGCCTATCCTCAAGATTCTCTTCCACTTCATGCGCGTCTTCATGCCAGTTGAATTTGCTGTCGTCGGTACGAACTTCCCTTATCAGACCGCCTTGCTTCTAAGCGCCTTCTCCCCAGCCGTAGCTTTCTTCGATACCAAATTGGCGCAAACCGTTCGTCGACCCGTGCATTCCTCCCTTTTGGTGCTTACTACTCTGCAGACGTGCCAAAAATTCTATCTCTTCGAACCCATTTGCACCGCGGTGTTGCTCGCTTGCACCTCTGGTGAGTGATAATTATTCGGAGCTCGGTGCATATCTGGATGAACTGGGACTCTAGCGGTCCATGTAATTCGCATCCACGGTATCTACGAGCGCAACCGGGGTGTTCTCGTGGGTATGGGTGCCCTTTTCGCTGCACAGATTGTCGTTACCGGAATCTGTTGTGCCTTCTACCGATGTACGCAAGCCTATCTCCCGAGTTGTTTGGCCACGCTCTCAACAGTTTCCAGCTGTCCCTCTCCTCGACGGACAAGGTTGTATCGCTGGCCCCAAGCACAACTGGGTTGGCATCTATTGGGTGGTGCCTACCATCTTGTACACCGCATCGGTCAGTTTTGTTCCGCAGTACGAGAACTGTTTCATGTTTACATATCTTTCACTAGGCTGTTTTGGCTTTGATGCGTTCCGTGAACTCGTTGCAGACAAAGCCGCTGAGCAGCTGGAAACTGATGCTCCGTGATGGACTGAATTTGTATGGGGTGCGTCTATCTGACTTGTGGATCACGAACTTTGCTTATTGATGGCAGGCTGTGTGGCTGGTCAACATGATCAACATGCTTTTCTGGTTTATCGTTAAACCCACGAACGATGCCGACCCGATCAAGACCATTGTCACAAGGTGCGCCACGCTGATTCTGTGAACGGCCGCCAGAGCTTGAACACATTGAACAGCATGACTGCCGTCCTTACGACATCGATGACTCTGCGCATCATCCTCGGCATCCGGGGCACCCTTGCCCAGGGCGGGTCGTTCGCCCTGAGCGCCACCTCTGCACCTTCGAATTCATCGCGTGCTACCCATGTGTTGTCGAACGGCCACAGCACTGGCCCGCACACTTATACTTTGGACGACATGCGCGGGGGTAAATCCGAAGGGCACGTCGGCTGGGGCGACTCCAAGGGTGGCGTTGTGAGCTCCCCCGGAGAAGACGACAAGGGCGTCGGAGAGTTCCCGATCGAGGAGCGCTCGGGCAGCCCCAATGGTGGTGTTGGTGTGAAAGTCACTATCGACCGCGAGGTCGGATACGACAGTCGCCCCTACGCCAAGTAAGCCATCGATATCTACCCCGCCATATCTACCCGGATATATGCACACTTCTACATTGTCTGTCTGTTGTACACCTGCCCGTGTGAGCTGATCTACTTGCTTGCTTTATAAATATCTATTGGGATCGTCGTTCGAGAAGACTTGTGGGCACGCACTGTCAGCTGAGTGAGCGATCGACCACGCATGGCTCCCACAAGGTTTCCACTCTGATTTCGTCCCGAGGCAGCGGGAGCGTATCACATGCCAGAAGACCTTCGGGGATCGCAAGAAGATCTGTGCACCAAATGTAGACAGACAGCGTCTCGTCACCCATGAGCTCGGGGCTGTCGTTGCATCAAAAACTGCTGCGAATACTGTCGCATTTGAATGATACTACAGTACAAACGATTCGACTTAGTCTGACTATCCGGGTCTCAGAGATTTGCATTCGTCTGATTAGATCCAAAGAGCTCCTGCAAGAAAGCCTGGTTGCTGGGTGGACGGCCCAAGAAGTCCTGGGAGAGATTGGTCGTCAGCGGCCTGTCGATGCATCTGATACCGTCCTACCTGCAACGAATCCAATTCCTCTCGGCTTCCGCCAGGCACGAGAATCTTCTTGCGATAGAGTTGACCTCGAGCGGGGTCAAGGGGGTCCCCTTTAAACACAGTGGCTGGGAAACGTCAGCAATGGGCGAGGTGCAGGTGTCCTTGTCAATTCCGCACCATACATGTCGGACGCAAACACAAGCGAGTACAGATATCCATAGTATCCTGCATCGTAGCCGCTGGCGATGTGGCCGAAGGAGGCTGGGCTCACTGTAAGAAAAGCAGGCCGAGAGGGACGGAAACGCGACCGACCTTGGCCAGGACAAGGCTTATCCGCCTTGACCAGAGAGATTTCCTCGCGCATCTTGTCCCACAACTGAGTGTAGTCTTCAGCCTCTGATGAAAGAGCGTGAGCAAGATGATGCAGGGTATATTTGCAAAGACTCACCTTGGTCAATGTGCACTTTGATATCAAATTTGGCGAAGAAAACCTGTCGGAGATACTGCAAGCCAACATTCACATAGCGGCTCTTGAGCAGTTTCGTAATCAGCTCTTCAGAAAGAGGTTCTTGCGTCTTGTAGTGGCTAGACATCTTCGACAGGACCTCCGGCTCCCAGCACCAGTTTTCCAACATTTGCGACGGTGCCTGGACTACTTTGAGAACGACAGGACTTGATGAAAAGCTGAATTGCGAACCTCAACAAAGTCGCGAGCAACCCTACGATAAATATAAGCTTCTCTTCGAAAATGAACAGTCAGATAGACCCACTTCGTCCCATGGAACCTCGCAAACTTGGTTTGCGAAAGCAGTCCTGGGATATTCGAGTTGATCGTCCGATAACCAACGCCCGCAAGATGTACGCACCGTGGAATACATGTCCCATCTCGTGGAACAGAGTAACCTACGATGGATTTTGTCACACGGGAGCCTGATGAGTAGAGCCGCAACATACGACATCGTCATGGCGCATCAACGCCGGTTTATCAGGTGTGGATTTGGCCAAGTTCGCGACCATGGCTGTGAGCGGGTAACTCCGAGATCCATCGGAGCGCGTGTAGCCCGAGAGAATAGACCAGACCGCTGCATGAGAATACTTTGCCTCTGCGAACCCATCAGCAGCCGAGGCGATGAATATCAAACGACTCGCCTCTGGGGAACAAATCGAGATAGCAGTACCCGACGAAGCCGCTGCCATCCTTGGCATCTTTCTCCCAGACGGAGAATTGTTGGACATCTGCGAGCAGTTCAGGAAACGAACATTGCTTGAGAGAAAAGACCTCTACCCGGATGCCATGTTTCGCCGGAAATCGTCTCAAACCGGACTCCGAGAAGGGTCTGGTAGATATCCAAGATCCGTGGAACGACGACGGATACGGGGAAGTATTCCTTGACGAGCATGTCATCCAGGTCCAGTGTTTCCTCTGTGAACTTCCGATCATAGTAACGGTAGTCCCAGATGTTGAAACTGCCGTCGAAGTCGAGCTGGCGTGCAGCGCAGTCCTTTTCCTTGAGAGCGAGCAGAACCTTCCTGTCATTGATTCCGAGAGGCTTGAGCTTGGACTCAAGGTCGTCAAGGAACTTGCGATAGTTCAAATGAGTCAAATTGGAGATGGATGGAACAAGAGCACTCACATCTTGAACGCCTTTGGCAGACTTGACCATTTTCGGTTCCGTACGGTATTCGGCCCAGTTCGCATAGCCCAGGGTTGAGGAGATCTTGCGCCTGAGAGCAAGGAAGCGTTCGGTGAGAGGTACATTGACTTCCAGTCGCGACTCGTGGCCTTGGTAAGCTCTCTTCCGTGTCTCCGGATTGTTGGCAAATTTGAACTGTATTTGAGTCAAAAGAAATCACGCAGCCGAGCGAGAAAGAGCTGACGATAGGGAAGATGTCCGGGGTTTTGTAAGTCACATCGTACAACTCGGTCTCTCCCTCGGTGCGCTTTTTGTAGCCGGAGATGACATCGGCCGGAACGCCTTCGAGCTCCTGCGCTGTAAACGAGATAACCCCCTAAAGTGTGCTCAGTCGTGGCTCGATGCTAGTTGCAAGAGTACTAACATTTTCCTCGTTGAAGTTTTTCTTTGAGACGAACTCAGTCTTTCACCTTTCGGACTCCAGATTTTCAACTCACCTCGAATTCGAGGCAGACCTGAGACAGCTCTTTCTGCAGTGCCTTCAAAGCGTCACGCTTGTCTTCAGGCAAATGCAAACCAGCACGCGTGCCATCGAGGATCTGGACGGTGTTCAATCGAAGCTCATGGGCCGCACACTACACATACCATCTTTTCAACCAGACGTTTGTCTTCAGCAGAAAGCTTGTCCCACGATCCCGACTCTTTAAGGTTCTTCTCGGCAGCAATCTTGGCCTGGAACACATCGATGCGCATGGAAGACTCGACGCCATATTCACGCAGGAGAGAGTCCGCTTCGACAGACGCGTCGCGAAGCTCCTTGGAAGGTGATACATTCTGATAGAATAAGAGAGGTTCCGTGACGACCTCGATTTGGGTGCCGGACGATTCGAGAGCGACCTTGATGTGTATTATATGAGCGGCAGACTCCGGGGTAGGACAGGCGGCTTGTAAGCACTCACAAAGACCTATAGGACAGATTCGATTGAAGATCAGGGCGGCTAGAAGCCAGATACAATCACGTACCGATTCGAAAGTGCAGTCCGCAGGTTTCAACGCGCCTACAGTGTCCTCGACAACGCGATCCTTCTCGATAGCCGCCTTCACCAGATCCAGCACATCTGCGGGACTGTGAGTCCACTTCGGGGGCGCTTGCGGTGGAGTGAGCATGGATTGCGTGACGGTGGGGAATAAGGTGGGAAGGGAAGTTGCTGTCCCGTGCCGGCGAAGGAAGGCTACAGCCGGATTGCGTATTGAGTTGGCAGCGAAGTTGAGACCATGAGTCCCGGCTTGAGCAAGGCCTGCAAATGAGAAAGAACGAGTGCTCAGGGCTGCGATGCCAGCAAAGGCTCCGCCCCACAATAGCAGTTGCGGGGAACGACTCAAAGCTTTCGGCCTTACAAGCCTAGCGGTCCCGGTGAGGAAGACCATGCAGCAGTTTTGACGACAACAAAGCCTGTGCGGTAAGGAAGGGTGGGTGATTAGCAATGCTTGCTTCCGCCGTTACACATGCCAATAAGCACTGTGCAAGTTGCAGTTTTTCTTCGCGACGCGTTCAACTTGAATACGTACTTGTGATTTGATTGTCACTATGGATGCCGACGTGCTGCCGAATGTATATCTAATCTACTCATGACAGTTTCCAGATCAAGACGCATTCATCCACCTCTCCTCCACCCTTGCTTTCTTCAATGGTGAGCTTCTCTACACGGGCGAACTCATTAGCATTCTATCAATGGTTTGTGTCGTAAAACACTGACTTCGCAGGCTTTCATCCTCGACGAACCCGAATTTCTGCCATAGTTTGTAGGATCCAAAGTTGGTGAGGAAGCACTGAGCGAGAATTTCAGTACATCCCATCTGAGGAATGGCCCATTGCTTCAGGAGAACATCAACTGCAGCAGATGCGATCCCCTTTCCATGATACTCGGCGTTGAGAGCCGCTGACCATCTGGTGAGCATGTGGAACCTAGAGACTGAACCGAACTGACCACCCATAGAAGTGACCCGGTGCGATCTCCACTCCTCCCAGTCGGGATTCACAGGCGTCTTGCGCACAAAACTAGGACCCATGTGACCGATCGTCACCTGCCCAACATAGACCTCGCTTCCGTCCGGCTTCTGTTCGCGTACCACATCGAAAGGAGAGTGCTCCGTCGGAACGAACCGTCCTTCGGCGTAATCGTTGAACAAAGCAACAATGAAACCCCGCTCCCGGACGAGCCAGCCTTGTGAGCCGCTGATGGGTGCAGGAAACGGGGGGCCAACCAGGGTGCGCGCGACGCGGATGTCACTCTGATCGATTCTGGTCAGTTGAGCTGTTCAAGTTCGTGATTCGATTGCATACATACCATCATGGCGCTATCGTGTGGAATATCCGACCGCCGCATCGCACCGAGATAGAAACGTTCGAAGGGTGCTGGGAGGGGAATGTATGGCTCCCCATCGTCGCGAAAACGGATAGGCGTGCGCTCGGCGGCCTGTTTCCTCAGTTCGGGGTCATCCACCACGAAGCGGTCGGGGAGATGCGCGGAACGATCCTCTGAAGGAGACGACATTGCGAACGGGGAACCTGATTGGTTTCAACATGGGCATGTTTTACGGTTTTATACTGTCCCCGACGCGTTCGTCGCGGAAATCGCAATATTTGTTCGGAAGAGGGAGTCACATTTCGGAGCCGATCAGATAAGACTGGCGACCTTTTGATCTCTCTAAATGATTATTGGAGTTTCTTGTGATAGTGAACTACGTGTCTACGGTCGCAAGCTTTGCCTCGGCCAATCGAACTCGTCTTGCTCGGCATCGCGGCCCAATATAGATCGAAAGGTATATTGATGGAATCATCAATGCAGCCAATCCGCCCAAGAGGAGGTATCCATAACCCGGCCCCAGAGCAGTCAGTAACGGCTGGATGCCCGAAACAAGTCCTGCACCTAGACTGCATCGGACGAGATTGTTCTGTCAGGCTTTCAGCTGAGGGAAAGGAATTGGGACAGAATTTGAACTCACACAAGCAGTTATGGCAGACCCGGAAGTGGGCATGAGATCCAGCATCATAGTTTGGGAAGAATTCATCACAAATATCACGACTAATCCAACTGTGGACCAAGGTAAGGGTCAATGTCAGACCGATGCGGGACTGGATATTACCTCCGACAAGCAGAACAAGTGGTCCGGCTATATGCGTTTTGGCTTCTATACACCAACCATAGCCGATAGAACAGCCCACGAACAGAGCTATGAGCAAGGGAAGCAGCCTGAGACGTGCCTGGAAAGTGGATGTCATGACAGCGCAAAACGGGTTGTTGGAGGCTGAGCTCACCTGCTCGATTGGGAAAGACTCTTCGTCTTTATCCGAGGTTTCTTCAGAAGACGACAAACTGCGCTTCACGCGCTGATAGTCCCAGTCTAGGATCCTACCACAGACCAAAGAGCCGATGACCATTCCCCCACCGATACCTGATGGGATAAGCCGGGGAAGAGTAGCAACCAATCGAGGACTCACTCAAAAAGCATAAACCCAACTCAATCTCATTCAATTGAGGATATGCGTCGTGGAAGACACTAGAGATGCTTGCTGTTACTCCATAAAAGACTGCGTAGATGATTCCATTCATGACAAGGAGCAGGACGATGTCGACGTTCAACAAGAGTTGTAGGGGGTTTTGGAACCTTTTGTGAGGCTGCTCAGAGACGGCAGATTCGAGCACGCGGCCGGATCGCCCGATGGAAGGAATGATAGGGTAGTATATCTTGGGTGGCGGGATGCTTCCGTTACCTACAATCGCACGAAGCGTCTCGGGTAAAAAGCTGCGCAGAGAGGAGAGAAGTGAGATTAACATAGAGTGAACCAAGAATTCGGCACGCACAGCATCAGGACGATCGCACATATAGAAGAGCAGATGCAAAGGAACCAGAAAATAGACCTGAGCAGCTTCAGGACACTCCAAAGATCAGACAAGAGCCTGAAACACGCACCTCCATCCTAACTTGTCTGCCAAAAGACCCCCGATCACTGGCCCAATAGCAGGGGCTATCTGAGCTCAAAGTGGTCAGCGCACTGGGTTAAGCAGCCACGATTGGCACACACCATCGGGCCAACACTGTACATCCCCAGAAATCCACCTCTCTCAGCCCGAGTGCTAATGTCACCGATAACACCAGCACCCAGCGCAACCGTGCTCGCAGACCCTGCCGCTTGAAAGCACCGCAAGAGTAAGAGGAGCCAATAGTCAGAGGTAGGCGTCAATGCGAGACCAACGCAGGAGATCGCGAGTAGGACCATGCATAAGATGAAGATGTGCCGACGGCCGATGGTATCTGCGAGCGTGCCCCAGAACATCGGTGCTGGTCCCATTCATTCAGCGAACAAGATTGGAGCAAGGGCGAGATGATCTTACTCAATCCTTGGAAAACCATGTTCAGAGTCACGGTCAGATTGATCAGCTCGATAGATTTGTTGAAAGCAGACGCTATCGTAGGAATGGCGGGGAAGTAGATGTTTGCTGCCAGCGGACTGCAGAGACGTTTTGTGAGCCTTGAGGAGACATAACAGGACGAGGAACCGCGCCTGAAGAACGCCCCGAATGCGCTTAGAGCTACGATGAACCATTTCTCTCGCACAGTGAAAACGCTGAATGGCTCTTCGACAGGGTGGGCCTGAACTGGTTTTGGAGTTCCGGACGATTGTACGCTCCCACTCTTCTCGAGATCTGGCGCGGTAGATGTCATAATGCGGATTCGGCTTCGAACATAGCTATTTGGGACGCTCTTTATATACAAGCCGACTCGGCCGCTCGCCGTTTTGCGGAGGGCAGACGGAGGAGGAGCACAAGGGACAATTCCGAGGGCATGTCATTCTAGATTACACATACTCGAGTATCCCAGATCAGAATAGCATCATTGTCAATCGGGTGACAATCGTGTGAAGCTCCCCACACGGTACACGTAAATGCACTTAGAAGTGCAATCTTTCCTTCCTTCCAATGTGTTTCTCCGGACGTTGGCTGACATCGATAACCGTCTCTCGGAAGGACCAGATGCCTGACTACATATAAACTAAGACAGAAAGGTCCAAAGTCCACATTTCTCACCCCCAATTAGCTCTGAGCCGACGTTTTTCCGCAACCCTTCGATGACTTCACGATACGTACGATGGAATGCGCACACACGCGTTAGCCTTGGGTTGTGGGCGCTGGCGGACTTTGCGTGTACGAATCTGTTCGGTTGAGCGAGCCACAAGGGCTCAGGGTGCAACCAGATCATTGCGCGTCAAAAACACGAGGCAACGTGTGATTTCGTCCTTTCCTAAATCTCTTGACCGGCCCTATCGGGACGAGTTCCCCCAAACTTGGTTCCCCGGTGTGGGCCCCGAGCCAATAGCTGCGGCGCGTTATATCTTGTCCACGACTGCGAATTGCTGTCCCTCCAGTATCGCACCACTTCGCTCTCTCTCAATCCCAGCGACTGGATGCAGGCTTCATACTCGACAGGGACTTCAGTCAAGATCCACCAGGCCATTCGTATCGAATGGGCATCTTTCCAGGCATGGCTGGCTGAAGAGCGACTGAGGTTGAAGCAGCGCGAACACCATGTTCTCCTCGTATCCCAACGCAAACGGGGGAAGGCTCGGCTGGGAGAGAAGGAGGAGCTTGCGGCATTACACCAGGAATTTGTTGAGAAGGCGCGCAAGGAATGGTTGGCGCGCGTCGCTCGCAGTGAGCTGCACATGGAGCACTGGGTTATGACTCCCGACGAGAAAGCAGTGGTGAAGCAGAGTTTAGGCTGGACACAGTCAGAGATGATGGAGGCCTATGGAAGAGAGGTTGGATCGAAATATCAGCGAGTCAATCCGAACACGCTAGGCATGAAGGAGGCAAGAGAAAAGGTTTCGGAGGACACGAGGGGTTTTGCGGCCAGGGTGAGGGAACAGAGCCTCTATCCTGAAATGCATCTGATCCTTTGCACAGACCACGGAGTCCGCCGCGCCCGCATACGCGAATTGGGCAGCTGAACTTTCCAAGGCAGCAGGACCTTCAGGTGTACAGACTACCCCCCATACGATTCCTCGCTCGCTCAAGTCAGTTGAACCACCTCGCATGCCGCTGTACTTTGTCGGCGCCATACTTCAGGGCGGCGACCTAGATGCTGTCGCTGCATCACATCTTGAATCGCTCGCACTGCAGAAGAGCGAAGAAAAGATTCGGGAATATTACGTTGAAGCCTGCGAGGCTGCGATTCGCTTCCAGCGGACTCTGGCAACTATCAATCCGTCTCAGCGAGAGGCATCGCAGGATGAATTTGAACGCCGCATGCAGGATCTTGCGCGAAAGAAGGAAAGAGAGTGGAAGGACATGATCGTCAAGGAAGTCAGGAAACAACAGGCTATGGAACTGGAGAAGAGGGCTGCAGAGCTACGAGCTAGACGCCCGCCGTCTCGACCTGCCAAGACAGAGACACGGCCACGAGAAAGTGATTGGGATTATGTCGAAGAATACCCCAATCCTCGCAGCCACAGGCCGAGTGCAGCGCCAGGTGCCGAGGCTGCTCTGACTCAGCAGCGTCTGGAGGAGTATTGGAAACGGCAGCACCAGATGCTAGGGGAAGCGCAGTGGCAGACGAGCTCCTCTCCGCAACCACAGCCCCAGTCCCAGCAGCCTCGGCGGAAGCAGTACGCAGTGAGCCAAACTGCCACCGCATACATCGAACACCAGCTGAGAGCGATCAATAGAACACCGGCGGACCACGATGGCTCCGTCTTTTCGCCCACTATCCAATACGTTCCACTGGAATTGGACCCCAGACGAGGCATCTTGAGCACTCTGGCGCGCTGGATCACGCGGTAAGTGCCGAGGAGGAGGCCGACATTGCACTGACAAAAATACCGCACAGCCCAAAGCGATCGGCGACGATATCGTCATTCGACTGGAGAGAGGCTGGCCAGAGAATAACGCCAACATCGACATCCAGAAACGAACTCCGCGAAAGCTCCAGAAGCGCAGGACCAACGAATCGACGACGTCTGCGCCGGCCGCACCTGGAACCGTCCCAAGTCCAGAAGGTGGACGAGAACGAGAACGAGAACGAGAACGAGAGCTCCGAAGAAGAGTTTCCGATGCGAGGCCGGCAGCCGATCAAACAACAGCACAAGAGACCCGTACAGAGGTCCCTGCCTCCCGCCTCACGGAAACGGAGGCAAGCCCCAATCGGTCACGGCCGGCCGCTGAACGGATGAGCGTCAAAGCTGATGCGCCTGTGGATACTCCAAGTGCAAAATCACATTTGCAAGAGAATCCCAGCCATGGCAAGGACCCCAAGAAAGAGAAGGTGGCCAGTCGTCGCGCCAGGCAGATGCCCCGGCCTCCCCCCCGTTCCAAGTTTCCAATGCACTCCTCACGGTTTTATGAGGGTTTCAGTTCACGCGCAACATCAATTGCTGTTTGATGATTACGATTTTAATGTTACATTATCTATGCCCACCCGGACAGTCTAGCATAGAACTCAATTGGACTTTAATGACGCTTGCTTCCACGTGACCGCGTTACTGCTTGAACAATGTCCTACTCCAGCAATCGGGAGGTTTCTGAATTACAGGTTCTATTCTGTGTCTCCAGAATTTCATGTCTCCTCATATCATTCAATAGAACTACGACATCATGGAGGTCATCTGCGAAGGCTACCAATCCACCGTACATCTCGTCAACTGCAACCGAGGGCGACTGAGGAATCGACAGCTCGCGTTGAAGAAGGCACGTAATACTATATACCCTTACGGCCACGAATCTAAACCGGATTATCCAGGTCTCCAATGATGCAAAAGAACATACCCTTTCCGCTGCATCGGCACAACTCCACCTCTCACTCTATCATCCCAGTCTCGTGTCGCTCTTCTCGACCTTCTCCACTCCCGACGCGTTGTTTTTCGTGCTCGAACTATGCGCTGCAGGCAGTCTTGAGAAGTACCTGCAGCGAGGGCCGCTTGCGGAAGATGAGTTGCGCGGGGTGGTGAAAAGCCTGGCCGATGGGTTGGTGTATCTCCACAAACAAGGCATCGTGCACCGGAACATAAGCCCCTCGAAGATCCTGCTGACTTCGGAAGGTCGTGTGGTACGTGCTCGCCTTGAAAGTCTGGTCTCCATGCTTGAGCTGTCCAGAAACTGTCTGGGCTCCAATTCGCGTGTCGGTCGCCCCCAGATGAAGATAATCAAAATATGCGCATCAAAATCCCGTACTTCACTGCACCGTACGGCTCCGTTTGCCTGCCTTCTCTTCGACTGATGGTTCATCACAGAGAAATCTTATCAAACATGCCCCACTCCTGCGAAGTAGATGTTTGGTCTTTGGGTTGTGTTATATTGACTTGCATGACATGCCAACCGCCATTTAAAGTCGGTCTACGCTGTCTCGAAATCAAAGTCGAACTGAGACGTCCCAGGGCATATCATATGCCTCTAGCGTTGATCTGATTCTCCAAGGTTCTTACGATCTTCCAAGGACTGCTTCCCCTGTGATTCGTGATTTGTTGAACGAGACACTTCAAACTGTTGTCTTTCCGCAATCTTGATTTGACGCACCCGCACTGACACTGTTTCAGAACCCAAGACGACGGTTTCACATCTCTGATTTGATACTCCACTCGTTTCTGGACATAGAACTTCCCGTCAAGCTCTTGCGGTTCTTGGCAACTGCAAATAGTCTCATCAGCAAACACGCTTTATTTGAAACGAGCGCTGCGAACAAGCCCCCTGCTATCTCTGTCGGTAAACAACAATCTCTTCAACCACGTCACTTCTCTGGACCAAGCAAGCTGTCGGATGGAGCCTAGTTTCTCTACACGGGTGCCGGCATATCTAGAAGAATCGTTTCTGATCCGCATCCGACGATATCTCGGGGACAGCAAAAGTACCCCGCTTGGCTTTCTGCAAAGGCGCCGCTGAAGGAAAGCAATCAACCTCAAGTGGAAGTGAAGAGAAGTCTCGCTGAGGTCTTTGCTCGTCTGAATCTTGCTTGCTTTGCCGATTAACTCGAGCAGACTGGTGATAGTCTACCTGTTGGGACGACACGGCCAAAGCCGTTCACGACCGCTCTGATGTCGACGGAGTCGCACAAGACTGTTCAAGGAACTCTGACTGTACTCGCTTCGCGCTCGCTACTGGTTGATTTACGTGTCGGAGAGAGGCGGCGGGGACAAAAAGGCGTTGAGGTCATGCTTGTCGATCCGAGCGGGACACGGGTGTGTGCTTTTTTCAACCTCTGTTGCTCAATGCAACCAGTAGACTTGCTTCGTGGCAGATCGAGATCTACGCGGCACCGCACCTGAGTGCTCCGTGCTGTCTAGCCGAACCGAGCAGGAAGCACACGCTGGAAACGCTCCCGACGTGCTACTGGAAGACATACAACGACGCTGCGATCCTGGTACAGCGCATCAAACAGCGGACGTCCCGGGTGGATATGGTTCGCTCAGCTCACTTGCTACATTCGTTCAAGTTGTTGTTCAGCTGACCTTGCACACTGACGCTGCCAAATGCGTTCTGATGGCCAACGATCCTCAAGCAGACATCGAACTCTTGCTCCCGGCCACAGGGCCGCCGAAGCTGCGCATGCGAGTCTCCAGACAAGACGCGTCGGCTGAGATCGCGACGCATCGCATCTCGGAAGATGGCGGTGAAGAATGGACCAAGAAAGTGCTCAAGATCCCCGACATCAATGGTGCTCCGTGTATTCTACCGGCGGAATGTGAAGCTCTAGGCGCAAACGAGCAAGCCGCTGTCGACGAACTGGAACGCTTCTTGAGTCTGTGCCGCTTTCTGGAGAGCCCCGCAGCTCCACCCCCGAATTCAAGTTGCACCGCCTCTAGTTTTCCGCAAATCCACATCAGCCGGCGTCCGCCGAAATTCGCGACCTCTGTCGAATGCGATCTGGCTAGCGTAGAGGGGATCCATTCGTCTGTCACGTGGTGCGAGGAGGCAAGCAGTGAGACCAGATTTCGTGCAGGAGTGGGCTGGTGTTTGCGCCAGAAATCCAAGTACAAAATCATGTTCTTCGATGGAGCGGTGCTGGAAGTGGACGTTGACCAGGAATGCGCCAAGTTGACCGTTGGTGGTCAGACGACGAAGTAGGTGTCATTTCAAAGCTACGATAATTCTGCACAAACAAGAATTTACAGACACACTCTCCGCCGACTGGGTCCCATCGCTGACAGAATAAAAGTGTTTGCAGACTTTGTTGACATGTACGATAATAGTGCAGATCAAGTTGGGTATGTATAGAAAGAGGATGTGGACCAAGATAGAGAGTATAGCTAGCTAAACAATTGACAAAGGGTATCACTGTCCCCTGGCGGTGATGTTACAGGTCCCGCCAGAGCCAGCCTGAGCGGGCTCTCACAGACTTAACGGCTCAAGCGGGCACCCGGGCCGGCACGGATCATTCCGGTCGAGCCACTCGACGTGCTGGCTGCATCTGAGCCATCGGCTTGTTTGTACAGCACACGCATGCCGCTCGAGTGCAGCGAGTCGACCACTTCGACACCGGCCGTCGAGTTCGACAATCGCGAAGACGCAGCAGCGGCAGCGGCTTTCTTGGCAGCATAGGCGCGCAGCATTTCATCCGGAGAGCCAGTGGCGGCGGCGGTGGACATCGGCATAGCAAATGGCGAGGACGGAGCAGGCGACGGAGACGGGCCTGGCAATCCAAATTGTGTCAGATTCGACCATCAGAGCAACATGATCAACGCACCATTGAAGCCGCTGGCAGGAGCAGGCGTTCCAGGATAAGCAAAGACCGTCTCCGGCGCAAAGAGATATTCTCCAGCCTCATCTTCCCCGTTTTCGCCCGTGCGCATCACTGAAGCAGATTAGACAAACGGAAGAATGGGCCAAGGAGACTCACTGCTAAGAGCACCAAACACCTCTTCGACGCTCTGGCGCCATTGGCCTTGCTCAGCATTGCGCAGAGTCATACGACGGCGGATATCATCGGGGGTAAGAGTAAGTGGGCCGGCAGTCTGTCTGGGACTGGTCGTCATGTCCGGAGAGGAAAATTCGCCGTAAGTGGTCGATCCATAGGCACTGTCAGCAGTAGGCTCGACAACGAACCCGCTTTGAGGAGTCGGGGTCGCGGGACTGAAGTAGCTGTTCTGCTCGTCACCATACGCTTGTTCATACGAGTTGAGGCCGAGGGTGCTCGGATAGTTCACATTGTGCACTCGGCCGGTCGGAGAAACCTGTCCATCAAATACGGGTGCGGGAACACGTTCGCCGCTGGTCCAAGCACCAGGGTTGCTGAAGACAGTGTTGGCAGGCAGAGCAGGCGTAGGATCATCGTGAGAAGAGTTGGAGTAAAAGCCAGTCGTGCGGTTCGCGCTGTAATTGCTCCCCCGCAGCGAGTTCCCGGTGCGACGACCAGAGCCAACGCTACGAGAGCTGTCCACACTGGGCCGAGGAGCAGGAGAACCATATACACCAGCCATTGACGGAGACGGGGGTGTCGGCAAAGCCGGAACCGGGGGCGCCATTCCGTCACCTTCATTCTCCCAGTCCGCGTAGGTTGACGCCGTGTGGAAAGCACGCGAAGTGCGCGAGTAGGCCGAGGTCCGAGGTCCGTTGGATGAGATAGAAGGACGCGGCGGCGCCGTTTCCGCAAAGGAAACGGCCCGCGAGCCTCGATCGGGGGGAGCACCACTTGTCTTCGGGCGACGGGCTCCAACACCAACACCGATCCCACTTCCCAGCGAAGTCCGAGGGGTGTCCTTCTCGTCGATGTCAATGCTTCCTCGGCCCACAGGCTGCTCGCCCATGAACACGGGTTCGCCTTCGACGTTGCTCGGCCGAACGGATCCGACACTGAACGCAGACGAGTTGCGGCCAATTGCGATAGAATGCCGGACAGCCTCTTTGGCGCCCCCCGCAGTAATGCTCTTCCAGTCCGTCGAGATGGTGGACATCCGTTTGTCGATCTTCTCCGACCACTCGGCCCGCTTGGCCTTACCGCGAGCACGAGACAGCTTCAGATACGTCGCACCAATGAGCATGCAGAACAGAAGCGGCAAGATGACCGCGGCTGCCTTCTTGCCGGGAGAGAGGGTGTGAGAGCTAACACCAGAGACGGCGCCGGCGACGGCGCCAACAATGGTTGTGGGCGATCCATGCACCGCGGTGTTGGCGGCGTCAGGGGTCGTGCCGTTCGAGGAGGGAGTGTACGTCGCTTGGATGACAGGGCCGGAAGGCAAGGTGCTCAGGAAAGGAGGTGTGCCTGAGGATACGATCATGAGCTGCAAAGTGGCGCTCGAGGTCGAGTTCCACCAGCGAGGCATGAGAGTCGCAGAATAGTTGCCGGAAGCGTAAGACACGCCCTGCCACATGTGCATGCGGGAGGTTGCAGATCCTGGGGCATAGAGGTAGATGTCCACAGAGGAGGGAGCCGGCTGCAAGCAATCTAATCCAGTGTTCCAGACGATGTTGAGGGGAGACATAGCGTCCACGGTAGCTCCTAGAGTGGGAGACGTGTAGAACGCGCCGGTCGCACAACCTGGAAGTATTGATACTGATGGTCAGCAGCGGACATAAGCAGGACGCACTGGGATCAGGAGTAGTGCTGTCCCGCTTGACCTTGGGAGTGAGCGGCTTCGCCGGGTGGTAGGGAGCACCAGGACGGCCGATGTGGATGTGTTCGAGGCCCATAGTGGAGTTATGTACGAAGTGGGTGTTGGGAAGATGAACAGCCCCAAGTGAGTGCGCAGACTGGGACTATTCTGCAAATTAAAGTTGCTGAATAAGATGTCTTTTCGGCTGCTGCTGCTTCGAAGGGAAAGAACGTGGGCGTCGGGCTCGACGAACGGACGGCGACGAGAGGGAGAGGAAAAGCCGATAGAGGTCACGACGTTGTCACAGTAAAACAACAGACAATACGACTGATACGTTGATACAACGTTGATACCGTAGCTACGGTGTCAGTGGTCATGCGACCGCATGCGACACACAAAGCGACGGTTTCTCGGTTCGGACATCTTTCCGAGTGTGCAACTTGCCTCACAGTTGCGACAGACGCAATCCAGGGTGGTTCTAGACGCGCCCTCCCGTGACTCATGCACTTCTCCAACTCGCCTCGCTGGATATTCGAAGAGCCTGGGGACGCCGCTCACCTCGGAGGCTCTGAGACTATCCCTTTTATGTAAAAATTTGGTTATGCCCTACAGTGCATATCCAACGTGAAGGCCACCGGGACCATTGGCGCGCAAATGCTAATAGTTAAACGCATACGGCGCCGGGGAGTACCGGGCTTAGCACTGTCACGCTCAGCGGCCCCAATAGGACCCGGAAACCCAGTCGGGGTGCTCTTCTCCAGGTTCAAAATCTGCTCGGTCGAAAGACGTGCAGAATTCCGAGAGCAGTGATAGGGACTGGACCCGGACACTGTTACAAATGAGCGATTGTTTGTAGCACGATCGAAAACAGCATTCCTTACAATCGAATTCACCAAAGAGGGCTCGCTGGCGGAAGCTATGCGGGTCAGAACCAGGGAAAAAGGGTCTGACATTTCGGCCAGAAAGGCAGCCAAGATATGCGCCGTTCAGAGGAGTGTTAGCTGATTGAGAACAAGGGTTGATACGGTTTTCCACCACCAGCGGGAACCAATGCGTGAACGGACAGCAGTGATCGGAAACCAATCTTGTATGTGATTCGTGCTTCAGCGCGAGAGCAGGTGATGGCGCATTGGCCGGCGCAAAGCAAGTTGCGAGACTGTTGATAGTGAGAAGTTGCTAGCTCAAGTGTAGAGTGAGGGAACACAGAAAAGCCATAAAACTCGCTTTCGGCCCGACAGATCCGCAACGTTCAGGTCGACAAGTCGGGCTGCCCACCGTGAACAGGGTGAATGCAGTTGGTACAGAACCTCCTTGCGGAGCGAATACACATCATATCGACCACTTATCTACCGCAGCGCGAACAAGCATGCTGATTTCTTCCCTCGCATTCTTCTTCGCGCTGTCGCTGATTCCAGGCAGTGCATCGATAGCCCCAGGAGACGTTTGCAGCGCATCAAACTCCAGCAGGTGTCCATCCGTGGTCGAAAGCATGATGGGAAGAGTGGAGACCGAGCGGCTGTGTTTCAGTCGAGGCGTCGTTGGATCCAGGGGCTGAGATGCCTGCGGCGCCATTGGGGGGAAACGGAACTCCTGCAGTCTGGCTTGTGTCTGATGGGGATTTGGGCGCGCAGGATGTGCGGTAGGATATAACGTGGAGCCGCCCTCCTGAGACGACGAGGTCGAGCTGTACATTGACACCGTCCTCGAGTGCGATGTTCCCGAGCTGCCGGCGAAGGACGGGTCTCGTTGCACGCTAATAATACTCCTGCTGCGTTTATGCGTCTCATTCGTCTCATCGCCAGAAAGGTCGAACGGATTGGCGATGGGGGAGCCATTCACACTCAGCATGCTTTCGTGCTTGCGCGGAAGACGCGCCGTGCCACTAGGGTAGGCTGTCGTCTTGGGAATGGCTGGGTTGAACGAGGAGACGGATGGAACACGCGTGCGCGAGTTGTTCGACTGGGTTGCCGGCACATGCGTCTGTTTGAGCTTCGATGGAGAACGGGGGGCGTTCTGTCCGCCAGAGGTGAACGGTGCCCTTGCTTTCTGAGGGCTAGGAACGGGGGAACCAAATGCGCGCATCTGATATGCCATCGATAGGTGCTAGTTGAGGAAGTTGAAGAATGAGCGCACCATTCCAGAGGGTTTGGACCCCGCCGCTGCTTGCATGCGAGCACGCTGAGCAGCTCCCACCCCAGTGGAAGGCCCCGCCTTCTTGTCCGGAGATGCAAGACGCGCTAGATGAGGGTTAGAGTCAATGAATCTACCAACGGAATGGAACGCGCCATTCTTCACGACTTTCTCAGCTGAAGCTTCGTCTTGGCCTTGACTCTCCACCCATTTCCTCTTCCGCGTAGATTTATCGATTTCGGTGGCCACCGTAGAGAGTTTCTCCCGCTGAGCTCCGCGGAGTGCGGCCTGGATATTGCCATGGTACTTGTTCCCAAACTCTCGCATCTTCATGCCTCGGACCTGCTTCGGAATACGTGACACTAGCCCCTCCTGGTGGATGGTAAAGTTTTCGAGATGATCGCGGAGCCAATCCTTCAACTGCTGTCTTCTGTAGGTGACCTCGATATCGAGATTCTTGAGGAGATGTTCCTTCTCGCCTGCATTGAACATGATGGTCTGTGTCAATGAGATGGATCTGGAGCACCCGCGTTAAACGACATCACGTGGAGAGCACGCGCGTGACACGCGATGCTATGTCAAATCTGTATGGGGAAAAGCTCCGGAATGGGACGACACCTTTTTCTGGTCCCGTCCATTCTCACCACACGCACCATCTCCAATCCCCTCTCTTCTTTTCTCCGACATCCTCCTTTCAAACAGTTGCGATGCCAGATATCTATATGGTCATAGGCGGGAGCGGATTTCTGGGAAGACATATTGTGCAACAGCTAAGAGACAGAGGGGACACGGTGTCCGCTCTTGATCTTGTCCAACGCTATCACGACGTCCCCTTTTACTCTGCAGACATCACAAATCAGGCCCAGGTCGCGGCTGCTCTGAAGACTTCCGGCACGACATGCATCATCCACACTGCCTCGCCGCCAGTCGCAATGAAAGTCGAGGATGCCGATCTGTACTTTCGAGTGAATGTCGGTGGAACGAAGGCCATCATTGCTGCCGCTGTCGAGACGGGCGTTCGCAAACTGGTGTTCACTAGCTCTGCCGGCGTCGTTTATAGCGGGCAAGACATTATCGACATGGATGAGCGTGTAACATATCCCGAGAAACACAAGGATGCCTACTCCCAGTCCAAGGCAGAGGCAGAGCAGGCTGTCCTTGAGGCGAACGGAAAAGGAGGTCTGCTGACAGTGGCTCTTCGGCCAGCAGGAATCTTCGGGTGCGTTCTCTTGCAGCGTTCACTTGCTGGGTGAGGAACTCAAGTTTGTGCAGTCCAGGGGATCGTCAAGTCATGGCTGGCATTTTCATGGTGTATGAGAAGCGCCAGACTCACTTCCAAGTCGGGGACAACACCAACCTGTTCGACTGGACCTACGTCGGAAACGTGGCCTCCGCCCACCTCCTTGCCGCCGATCGACTGTCTGATCCACCACCTGCACCGACGCTATCTGAGCTGCCTACCATGCCACGGATACCCGAGGAAGTGCCCCCGTTGACGGAGGAGGAACAGAACCTGGTCAAATATGCCCTCCCTTCGATCAGTGGGACCACTGGAAAGTATCGGGTGCCTACTTCCGATGCACGACCTCTGGGCCCTGGCGTGTACCGACCTCCGAATGCCGACGCTCTCGTTGCTGCATTTGAGGCAGAAACAGACGCCAAGGTGCCTGCCGTGCGAACACGATTCGACCCTCTTTCCGAGTACACCATCGCGCGAACGAAGCTGATGCACCCGGAGACGTCACCGCTGCAGGTTGCCGGCCAGGCCTTCTTCATCACCAATGGCGAGCCGTGTCATTTCTGGGACTTTTTGCGGTACATCTGGCACCACCTGGATCAGGAGTATCCGGAGATTGCCAAGTCGCGTAAGAAGGGCACGTGGACCTTGCCGCGAGAATTTGCGATGGTTGCTGCCGGCGGCGCAGAGTGGTGGGCCTGGTTGACAGGGCGTGATGCGACCTTCAACAAGTTCCGGGTGTCGTACAGCTGCGCCAATCGCTGGTACAACATCGAAAAGGCGCGTAGAGTACTGGGTTACGAGCCCAAGGTCAGCCTTGACGAAGGCGTGAAACTGATGCTCGAGGTGCGATATCTGATTCCACCAATGGTATTTGTACTGAATCGTATTCGCAGTGGTGGAAAAAAGAACACAGTCAAAAGCATTAGCAGTATACCCCGGATAATTAGCTCTACAATATTCTAAGTATCAAGCACTTGGATTTCTGCTGCCCGAAAAACATGACCATCACGGTCTCGATATTTGACGAAGAGCGGGTTCTTGGTGAGCGTGCTTTTGGTGCGCTCCGAGGGCAGGTTCTTGGTGGTGAGCTTGAGGTAGCTAGTGAGACTGACAGCCCCGATGGCAAAGCCAGTCCCTTGAGACAGCGAAAAGTTCCCGGATGTCACATAACCGATGATTTCGGAGGGTAGTTCTCCTTCATCGCTGGGAATGGCGTAGATTAAAGCCAGATCCTGCGGATTCCCCTCTTTGATGGGATTGATTTTGACGCGCAACAACGCACTCGATGCTAGTAACACTGATGATTGCTGCAATGGGGCAAAATGCCGTTTGATTCGTAAAGCATTGAGCTCAGCACTGAAAACACCGGGGTCTGCAATGAGCTTGTCGAGCAGCGCCCGCACACCCGATCCACGGAGAAGCCAAGGCTCCCAAGTCTCCTTGCCTGGCTCGCGCTGAGTGGAAACTAGATCCGGGTCTGCACCCAAAACGACCTCCCAGTCAGCACGCCAGGGACTACGCGTTCCCAGTTTTTCGAAGTTCGGGCGTTTAGCAGGTGGCGTCCTCTCCCACCTTGCGCGCTCGGTTGATTCACGCTCGGTCACATGCGCCGTGTAACTAAGGCACGTGGGATAGTCACGCGGAAAATAGGCAGATCCTGCCTCGAACGCTTGGGCAGCGCGCTCGCGTTGGCCGGCGACACGTGTTCCGGTGAACGTGAGAGACGAGAAGAAAGGCATGCCCCAGCCGGCTGGCAGGAATAGCGTCCATCCATGAAGACCTCGGTCGCTCGTCCCACTGCACTCTGTTGACCGCTGAACCAGGAGAACCGGCACCCGGTCATCCTGGCGCAGAGCGGACAAGGGCGTCCCAGGAATCAAGTTCTTCGATCTTCGCTCGTCGATGTCTTGCTTCTTGTACCGCGGTTTCCGAAGCCCGTTGCGACGCGCTTCGTCCCACAGCTCACTCTGGGCGAGCGTGGCAGAGGGAATGATTCTCGGCGACACAGTCATTGTCTGCGGCTTTGCGTTGCTGGGTGGGAATCTACAACATGTGTCGGGGAGATAGCACTTGGCGGGATTGAAGCACGCTTACTTCAGCCGTGGGTCGATGACTGTAAAGCCGATGACCATACCGCGAGGGATAGATCCAGAGGTCTGGAGATCCGCCAATGTGGCCCAGAACTAGGCTGTGTGTTAGATTTCAGTTGACGAGGAGGTTGTCATTCAACAAGCCTTCTTGAACTCGTCTCTCGAATCTTGGGATATCGGTGTCAAAGCGCCCTTCAATATCTGGTTTGCTTTAGGACCCATAATCTCGAATGCATTCAGTTGACCCTTTAGATCTTCCAACTCAACACCTAGTTGATCAAGCTGGGTTCCCGGTTCTGCCAACTTCCGCTTTTGCTCCAAAACAAGGGACGCGGAAGTACGCAGAGCTTCGAACACCCGGTCTGAGATGGACGGGTGAGCCCGCACCCAGACCATCCGGTTCATGCTATCGCTGTCACTGCCAACAGGCCTCCACAGAAGCGAGATGGGTCCGATGAGACCGAACGGGTAGCGGCCGGGTTCGTACAGATGCGTGTCGATTGACCGTGCGCCGGGAAGATATCTAGAAATTTATCATTTGTGTGTAGGTATATACATAGATCAGGTGACGAACCGTTTCGCGCCTGGTCCTGCCCCCTGCAAGTCAGAAACACCGTCCAAAATGTCGCGAAGGATGTTTTCAGGGCCTTGGAGCTGGACAATCGACTGGTAGGAGGCGTCGTGGAGGATGGATCCATGAACAGCAGCCCTGTGAGATGGCCGAAATGCCTTCTCAGTCGGAGTAATTGCCTGTCAGAGCCTTAGCAAAAGCCAACTCATGCATATCTCCCTAACAAGGCGGTAACCCCAGTGATCCTCCATGTGCATCCGCTTTGAGTGCCATATGTGGGTTTCTAGCCAAGATTTGTTTCCTGCCGATAGATTAGCAACCCGCCTTGAGCAGGCGGAAGGCAGTACTTTGCCGTTTCAGAAAAGACTCCGTGCGACCGAGCCTTTTATTTTTACCCTGTTTCTTCACTAGTCGTGCAGGTAACTTCTTCTTGATTGCATTCATCTAGAGCAGACTAAGAACTTCGTGCGATCGCGAGAAGGAGCGAAGTACCTCCTGCTTCGCGCGATCTCTCAAACGCAGCGGAACGCGTCGCACATCATGGCTAGCCGCTCTGCGGCGGAGGTGCCGCGGAAGGGACTGCCAAACGCGTTGCGTGGAGCTGGCGCTGTGCCCCAAAGTTCAAGATGCATGCCGCACACGAGATTAGATTCGTTATTGACCTGGCTGATTTCATGGCTGCATGCATGGCATTGATTTCAAAACGCCGAGTTTCGCTGAATCTCTCGACATCGATAGCACCCCGTAACCTCTGACCTGACAATCGTCCATTCGCATGACACATGTCGGCCAGTCGAGCTCACCACTTCCGACAGTCAATCCAGGCCCTGAGCTTTGAATACCAATCGTGCGAGCCTCTTGGAGCTTCTGCTTCTTCTTTTCCCGTCCAGTTTGTTCTCCAGTCGTGGACTCTTTGCGCTTAAGATTTCCTGACATGGTCGCGGTGATGGATCAAAGGATTCGACAGTCACGTGTACGTGCCCTCGATCACTGCCATCAATGTCTTCCTCACTGCGCTCATCGACGTTGCGGAGCTGTCTGCGACGGTCACCCGCTTTCGCCTCTCAAAAGACTGGCACTCGTACTTTGACTACGTCTCGTGTGCTCAGAGAAGAGGCCGCCCCGAATGTCGGTGCGCCAATTCGTCAGAAGAAGCCCATCGGCGCCGTCCGGGGCAGCATCGTCGGGTTCTTGGCCGGGTTCTCTCTAGCGGCATCTCTTGCAGCATATAACCTGCTGGACGAGTATAACATGGCCTCTGCGGCTCTCCAGGCGAGCGTCGATGAGCTCAAGCTGAGCACGGAGAAGGTCTCGCCTTCTGCTGTCGGTTGGCATTTGAATTATCTAACGACAGACATAGATTACTGCTCACGTGCGCAGAATTGAAGCAGTAGAAAAGGATCTCAAGGCGCTTGCCGATACCACGGCGTCCAAAGAAAACCTGTCGAGTCTGCGAGGAGAGATGAAGAAACTTTACGACGGACTGAACGTTGGTGAGTCGAAACTTGAGCTCTTCATGGGTTTCAGCAGCAGCTGTTGTTAACGCTAACGCAGAGTATCTGGGTCTGCGCGCGAATGTTTGGGGGATTCGTAAGTTGGTCGTTCTGCTGTTCTGTCTGCTTCTAACATGCTCCCGGTAGAACAAGATGTGCACGCCTTGTCTAAAAAAGATACCACTTCTGTCCGGATATGATCTGTTTGGACTGTGTGCAATTCATAGATTGTCTTCTTGCGTGCGATCTGTCGTTCAGCATTGCACGGCTGCTGCCATCAACTCTGGCGTCTGATCTAAATGCTCCCAGACGGATTCTCAAGGTCTTTGTTGGTCTAATAACAGGTAACGGCAGTTCCCTAGTCCGGGCCCAATGGACTGTTCTCTACTCTCTAGCGCGTTCATCAGAGGACTAGTGATCGTGTGTACGAGATGTCTTCGTGTATGCCTGCTTTGCTCCCGGTTGCAGCACCGGCGAAATTCCCATCCACGTTGCATGGGTGCTGATGTATGCATCTTCCCCGGAACGTGAATCCTGTCAGAACGGCAATCACTTACGAGGCGGTTTTTGCCAGAGACTGATGTGCTTTTCTTGGATATATCTACCAATCATGTCGTTGACTGCCAGTCGCAAGCAAGCCCGTGGGGTTACCAATGCCACACCGCAACGACCGAGACCGATCGCAGTACTTTCAACACCTGCTGCGGTCGTCGTCCTTGGCACACGATTCTGCAGCTGACCAACTTCATTTCATGTCGAAGGAAGTCCCGACTCGTTGCGTTTTGTATCACCTTCCGCTCCCGGATCCCGCGCATCTCACCCGGCATCGTACGGGCTTCACCGAGATCTCTCTCGTAAAATGAAACATGATGGTCTGGGATATTTACGGTTTTTCCGACTGACCTCCGCGCCAGCGGTGATACCGGCCACTGATCCTCCATCGTCACTCCATGATCGTCTCATTTGCATGTTGGAAACAAAACACACCGTCGCTATTAGGGAAGATGATCAACCTGGCAGAACCTGGCAGAGAATCAAAGATGCAAATTAAATTTGACTGCCCGACTCGCGGCCAACGTGGCAATCGCATGGGCAGGACAGTGGCAGAACTCAAATGGGTTTATGGAAATTAGCCTCCGAGAGTCAAGGCAACCCAATTTGTGAAACGTCTATCTGTGTAGAGGAGACCTCGGACGATATGTTTCTACGACTCAGGCACGTGTCCCTGAATGAGTATGAGTAAATGCAGCCGTCGAGGTGAAATTAGGACGGCGTGGATGATTGCCGCTCAATTTTAGGCGGAAAGTACTCGGGCGTGTGAGCGCGCCGCATTCACCAAGGCTTGAGACAGTACTTACGTACGTGCGATAACAAGTGAGCGACATGAGGACAACAAGCAATGGCAGAATCCATGTGCCGCATCTGATCTCAATTTCTGCCCAAGCGACCCGCGTTGACCGAATCAACGCGTCAGCCCTTTCAACCTGGACATGGACGTCGGAATTAGTGAGCTCGCACAAATGACAGATCGCCGTCGAGAGCGTGTACAAGATACGCATAAGCTGCGATTCTCTTGCGGCCAGGCTGGCCAGCTCATCGTGGTCCTCATCATCTCCCGTGGTTACGTGATGGTCGCGAGGCGCTGTCATTGCTGTTCTATTGCCCCCGGTTCCTAGCCGGGCTGGCCTTATAAGCCTCGGGGCCGGCCAAGATATCCTCAGTTTTCAACTCCCTCTTGTGCTTTTGCCTTGCCAGTCAAGACAGGTTTTTGTTGTTATTTCAACTTGGTTTTTGTGCGTTCTCGTTACCTCCGTCTTCCTCTTCGCTCACACTCTCGTCGCAGGCCGTCCATCCTTTCTTTGCCCCACCTTCTTTTATCAACCAAAACTCCTCTGCTGTGCATTGCTTTTTACCATGCTCTCCGTCAAGTCTGTCTTCCTCGCGCTCCTTCTCTCTTCCACCTCGCTGGCCGCACCCATCCGCCGCGAGGTCCCCCAAGGTTTGTGGCCACGTTCCTCGTTCGCCGTGCCTGATCGATCGCTGACACGCAATCGCAGAGCACTCTCACGAGCCCTTCTTGACGTCGGTTCGTGCAAGCCTGAACCTCAACAACCCGGACAAGATCCAGGACCCTGTCTTTGCCCTCCTCGGTGATGCTGCTGCCAGCGCCGGCAAGGGTAACATCGCTGTACGTCATTTCATAATGAAGCCCGGGCCGATGAGCTGACAGCAGACAGGATGTGACTTGCCTCCAGCAGGCGACCGCCGACCAGGCCTTCACCAACGCAAAGGCCAAGGGCGACATCCAGGGCATGACTGATGCCCTCATCTACCGTGCCCTGGAGCGCAACAGTGGATCTGTCGGTGCTGTCTCGAAGACCTGCACCAGCTTGAAGGCCACCAACCCTGAGATTGCCGCTGTCCAGCAGCACCAGGACCCCGCGTCCACCAACGCGGCCGCCGGTAACAAGGCGATCGTCCTGGAGCTCGCCAAGCAGATCGCCTCGATCGGCGGTGACCCTCAGCAGGCCCTCAAGTCCGGCACGTTCAAGGCCGGCACGATCGGTGACCCAACCGCCAAGGGCAACTCCTGTGACGATGCCAACGACGCCAACGGCTGCATCTTCACGCAGAACCTCCTTGTCGAGGATGCCACGGCCGCTGAGATCAGCGCTGCCGTTGCCGGTGTTGCTGCTGCCACTGGCGCTGCTGCCGCCGCCGCCACCAGCGCTGCCGCTGCTGCCACCACCGTTGCTGCCGCCGCCGGTGCCACCGACACTTGCCCTCCCCAGAGCACTGTGACGGTCACCGTCCAGCCCACTGCTGCTGCCGCCGCGGCAACCGATGCCACCGCCGCCTCCACCGCCGCGCTCGCGGTCTCCACCGGAACCTCTGGCTCGTTCGGCAACTTCGGTTCTTGCCCTCTGCCTCTGATCAAGTTCGGTGTTGGCTTTGACAACCGCAAGGAGACTTCCTTCGAGCCCCAGGACCAGACCGCCTACGCTCACGGCTCTGCTCAGGCCGTCGGCATCATCGAACAGTTCATGTGCGACAACTTGGTCAACAAGTGTGGCGCTGATGCGACCGCCAAGGCCACCTGCGCGTCTGCCAAGACCGCCGTCTCTGCCCTGCCCGCCGCTGACCTCAAGTTCGGTATCGCTGCCGACACTTGGAACGGTGCTTTCGGTGTCAGCTCCAACTTCCGCAACACCGGTGCCGTCGACGACCAGGGTAACGCCGTTGCTGGCTCTACCGGTGGCAATGTCGCTGTCGCTGCTGCGCCCGCCGCTGCTGCAGGTGCTGCCGCCACCGCTGCCCTCGTTGCCGCCATTCCCGTTGACACTGCCACCTCGACCGCTGCCGGAAACTTTGGTGAGGACTTCGCTCTCTTCATCACCTTCAGTTGAATCTGATCTTATTTGGCAGGCTCTTGCCCTCTGCCCTTGATCAAGTTCGGCGTCGGCTTCGACAACCGCAAGGAAACCTCGTTCGAGCCCGTTGACCAGACTGCGTACGCCCACGGATCCGCCCAGGCTGTTGGAATCATCACCCAGTTCATGTGTGACAACCTCGTTAACAAGTGTGGTGCCGACGCCACTGCCAAGGCCACCTGTGCTTCCGCCAAGACCGCCGTTGCCGCTTTGACCACCGCTCAGCTCAAGTTCGGTATCGCTGCTGACACCTGGAACGCTGCCTTCGGTTCCTCGTCCCAGTTCGCCCAGGTTACCGCCGTCGATGACCAAGGCAACGCCGTTGCTGGTTCCACCGGTGGATCTGTCGCTGCCGCCGCCCCCGCCGCTGCCGCTGCTGCCACCACTGCCGCCGCCGCTGCTGCCACTACCGCCGCTGCTGCTGCCGCTGCCCCTGCTGCTACTACCGCTGCTGCCGCTGCCTCCAACGGTGCTGCCGCTGCCACCGGTGCTAACGTCCAGACCTTCACCGGTGCCCTCGGCGGTGCTACTGCTCCCCCTGTGACCGTCGGTGGATCCAAGGGCTTCGTTGTTGACAACTCCGAGTTCATCAACAAGGCTGGTGCCCTCGGCCGCTCTTGCGACGTCCAGCACAACCAGTGTGCCAACCTTGCCAACTCGGGCAGCTCGACGTTCAAGGTCTCTGACTGTGACGCCCAGAACACCGCTTGCCACGCCGCCATCACGGCATGAGTGCTCTGTTATTTTCTTTAGTGCTGGTGCATATCATTTTTACTTTTTACACGAAACCATGCTGTAGCTATAACAACTCTCACCGATACCTCTCTTCTGGCAATTCATCGCATTTGGGATCCCATCTTTTGTGTGAGCAAGAAAATATTATATAGCAACTAGTCCCCCGCAAATTATCATCGCCAGCACGAACGCAATTAGTCCTGACCGCACCACGATCTCCCACTGCCCGCGAACAATCACCGAGCTTAGCACTGGCGTCAACGGTACTGCGAACGCGGGCACGGCCGATACCCGGCTGGGGCTACACTTGGCCTGCATCCGTCCAATCAAAGCTTTTGCACCCGGCAGCGCGTCGAAGTCAAACGCAGCAAGATGCTGACGGTCCTGCGCTGAGATCCGTGGCGGTCCACCGAACTGAGGGTCGTCTGCTGGGTACTCGTCGAACGGGTGAATGAACGACGCTGTCGTTGTCGTCAGTGGGTCGGATGGCTTGCTCGGCACATGTTCGGTCTCCAATGGACTCGTTGCTGGGCCTATCAGTGTCTTAGGGAAACACCACAGAAAGGCAACGCACTACACTACGCACCTTCAACAGGATCCAGGTCAATATATGCAGGTGAAATATGGATCGCCGTATCGTCTGAACCATCGGACAGCGACGATAGCGACGACGACGCGTAAGTGCCCACCGAGACACTGCGCACATGCGCCTGCACCGGCGGTTGCACCCTGGGTCCCTCTATCGCACACGGCCGCGAAATCGCCGGACGTGTGAGCTCAAACGCACGCAACTGCCGCAGATCCCCGAATACATACACCCCAACACACACGCCATGGAGACTTGCAAGGAGCACCGCGAGCCCGACGAAGAGCCCCGGAAACGCGCACAGGCGCACCCAGCGCGGCGCGCCCGTCGCCAGTGCGCATGCAAGCGGCGCTGCGCCGAGCAGAGTCGTGAAGGTGCAGCCCGCAACGATCCCGCACCGTGCCCGCCGGCTCCCCACGTTTGAGCATGCTGCCCGCACAAACCGCCCGAGACTCGCGTCAAGATGTCGTCGGATCTCCACAGCCAGCGGCGCGAACAACGCTGGGTCCGGGTGCGCCGGTGCGCTGACGCTGTGGAACGGCGCGAGCAGGGCCGACGGCAGCTGCAGCTCGTACGCCCCGTTGGGCGTGAAGAACGTCTGTTTCGCTCGTGCGTAGAAAAGCGCCAGGTGCGAGGACGAGAGCAGCGGCCAGTGGTGGTAGTCGCTTGCGCCCCGCTCCATGTCCGTTCGCACCGCCGTCCAGTTCGCATGCTTGATCGTGTACTCTTTCAGCCACAGGATGAAGTACAGGTTCTCCACGGAGTCTTCACAGTACAGGAGCCATTCCTGGGAGGGAGGGGTTTTGGTCGTCGTGTGATGTTCGGATATCAACATTCGTACCTCGAAATCCTTCAGACCTGATCATTCCTCAGCACGCGCGTCGCAACACGAGGAAAAACCCGACACTCACCCAATGGCGGCAGATGTCTGCGCTCCAATACATCGTCGAGGCAGACTTGGAGTGCCGGCGCAACTGTAGGCAGCTCAGTTGGCCCCGATCAGCCGCGGTCAAAGCGAGGGTACCCACCACCGTACGTCCGGCTCGTTTTGGCCACCGGCGGCGGCGGGTGACACAGACGGAACTAGGATTGCCGTCACTTTAGTTCTCTGCGCGTACGAGAGGAGGACGAGACGCGTACCGGGAGAGTCGTGAGGGCCTTGGCAGAGATATGCGTTTCGCGCGGTTGCGTTTCTGTGCGTGGCTGGGTCGGCGTAGTCGTATGGTGGGTATGCGGGCCCATCGTTGCAGAGCAGGGAGGAAATAAGAGCAAGAGGTGGAGGTGCGGCGAAAACAAGGAGGCTCCGAGGCACGCCACTAGTTACATACATAAATGAACTTCCTGGCCGGGAGCGCTGGGCCGAGCAGAAGCAGTGTGGGTTCATTATGTGTCAATTATGTAGCGCGTATTTCCCGTAGTTCAGTCGTCCGGGCTCGTGGGAAATGGGCACAGCGAGCAATCCAGAATGAGATCAATGAGCTAGAAAGATTACGCGAGGCGCGAGGCGCGAGGCTTGAAGCTTGAAGCTTTGGAGCTCTGGAGCTTGTGTGACCAGAGAGAAACCTTGCGAAAAAAAAACATAAATGGCAAACCAGCTTCAGCACAGTCAATTTAGCACGTCGCGGCTTCCGCCAAGTTAGCGCAGCTTCTGACATGACGTCGGTATTCCATGTCTGGTCTGTGTACGATGCGGAAAATAAGTACAAATGCTGATAATACATGGGCAATTAGAGAGAACTTTTGCTAACGAGTGAGTGTGTTGTGGTGTCTATATCTATTTAACAGTCGTGAGTAGTGTCCGTGGTCGTACATCTTGCCATATCATCATCGGTGGTCCCTCTGCATCAGTCCCGCCTCAGAGCGCGGCACAGACCCCTGCACGCTCGCCGACTCCGAGTCTATCCGGTTCGGCGACTCCATCTGGGCCTTCTCCCCGTCTAGCGACGAGCTCGACGACAAGGCCATCCTCGACCTTGCGTTCCTGTGACGCCAGAGCCACGAGATGCCCGAGTGCAGGAAGATGTTGACGGCGACAATGAGCACCGCCACAGAGAAGATCACAAGTGCTACGGCCCCGATGGCAACTCGGGGGATCGCGGCGACGTTGATCGATTCAACGAACGCCAGCATCAGCCCCGTGCAGACGACGCGCACGACGGCAAGGAATGTCGAGAACACGTCCCCGCCGCGGGTCCGGTATGGCTTCAGAATGATGTTCGCGACGAGTACGGCCAACTCGACGATCAGGAACAGCACCACCTGCGCGAGGCCGTTGTCCTGCGCAGCAGACAGTACGATCGCCTTGACGAGTGTCGAGCCGAGGAACAGGAGGAAGAAGTAGTACCGGGCCGTGCGGTACTGTGCGTAGAGAGACGTGTGCGAGTCTAGGTGTGCTTGGTCGCTTTCTAGTGCTTCTGATGTTTCCCTTCGGGCTAGTCTCAGCGTTCGGAATGCCGCGTGCAGCACAAACGCCCAGATTCCCAGGAAGGTCAGCACAGAGAGCAGAATAGATAGCCAGGAGTCTTTCAAAGACCACTGGTAGAGCGCAAAGAGCGAGATCGGGGCAATGAGAACGAGCGCCTGTTTCCAGATCTGTCAGCTCGGATCACCGATCAAACGCGACGTAACGTACCACCCGCAGAGCCCATGATCGCACGTACGGAATGTACCACATTCTCAGAGACTTGCCGCCCCATCGCGACCGACGTGCAGTAACCACGACACCAAACAGAATGCCTGCCACAGCAATGAAGATGGCGATGATGACGAGGGTGACGAGAAATGTGGTCATGAATGTGTTCGCGGTCCCAATGTGGATCGAGTTGACGTAGATCGGTAAGCCCGCTTTCAGAACATTGGCCGAGCTGTCCGTGACAGTCTGGACCTCGTTGACGACAGCGGTGCTCACAGGCGGCTGGCGTACTTGGCTCAGCGAGATTTGTGACAGCGAGAAGTTGGACTCAAGAGGCCCGGTTGCAAAGAAAGATTGCGCCAACGAAGTGGAGAACCCCGTCGAAGGCTGGGTCAGAGCAGTGTTCCACGGACTCAGCTTCCGATCGACAAACCCTACCGCAGAGCCTGACGAGGAATTGGCAAGGCTGCCCCCCGTCAACGCGCGCATGTTGTCGATCGAGGTCTGCAATTTGGAATGCGGGGAGCTGATAAGACCCATGGCCCACGCGAAATTGAGCCCGTACGCGCGGTAGAGGGTGGGAAAGTTGATGCTCAAGAGAGCCGTGGTGGCGATGGTTTGATAAAGGTGGAGCAGCTCGACAAATCGGTATGGCACCACACCGTAGACCGTGCGCGCGGACTGCCAGGCTCCAACAAGCAATGCGAAGAATGCAAGGGCCGCGGTCGCCCATGAAACGCTTTCCTGATGCGTAGACCATCCATTTGACAGGGTCGCCTGGACGCAGGCTTTGATATTCCCCGTGCCAACCTAAGACATGTGAGACAACGGAACATAGGAGACAATTACAGACATACCTCGACGAGCTTTAGCTGGGCATATGCTTCGAGGTCGGGAATGCCAAAAGCGATCGAAGGAATCTTATTCACCACACCGAGATTTTCGGGGAGGGATATGGAATCTGACCCCACGAAATTATACATAGGGAGTGGACACAAGGCCCCCGCAAGGATACTGCACAGGTCAATGGTGGTGTTGAGCAGCTTGATGCCATACACCATGACCAACACGTTTGCGGAGACGCTGACATTGGCTTGCTGTGGGCCATCATGACATGAGATGCGAGCACACTCCACACGCAGAAGCGACACGCACGACACTAGCGGCGGAAATGTCAAAGGTTATGGATTGGTTGGCGGTGGTGTACTTGATGTCGAATTGCTGGACGAGGAGCGTTTCGGGGGGTTCGCAATACGTGACGGACGAGGTGAAGAGACCCCTATCTACGGCTGCGACAAGGGTCGGGAGGAGAAGAAGGGGTCGCAACCTGGCGAACATGATGGAGGAGGGAGGGAGTATGTCGCTTGTGACCCACGGGCCTTATATCAACCGATAGGCCGGGGTCCACAATGCGGGATGAGAAAAGTGGTTGTTCCAAAATTACTCAGTTGCCATTACGTCAACAATCAGCTCCGCAGGCCGAGCAAGATGCCTGAACAATGCCTGACAGCCGCAGGCCTCGTTGCCTTGTTCTCCAATCTTACAGCGCCTGTTGACTGCAGCCTGCAATGTTTATTGTTTCCTTTCTGGATTTTCTCTAACAAAAGCCCCAAAGCGGATTCATCTCCGGGACACGAGGCTAGCTAACTCGCGGATGATGCGTGACTGCCTCGTTTGTCCTGCCCGCCACCGACGTTCATTGAGATAAATGCATTTGATGGGCGTGAAACTAAAGGTACAGGAATAATCGGTCTACTACGCGGCATAGGAGTTTGTTTTGCCACTGAGCTCTGCTTGCTGCTCCAACGCACGTGGAGCATCCAATCGGGGCATCATCACCTCTACGAGCTGGATCTTATTCGACTGCGCGAATGACTCCGTCTCAAGTAGGGTTCCGAGCTCCTCTTTGGTTCGAGTCGTGAACGACTCGGTCTTCTCCCCCTTGGGGTCGCCGAGGACCTTCAAAAGGCTCGTCCATTCCCAGTTGGCGATATCATTGTATTTGCGTTCTTTCCCGTGCAGATAGCGCTAAGCAGACAATGTTCATCAACTTGATCCAGAGTGTCGTGACGGCACATACCTCGATGGTGTACCCGCTGTTGTTGAGCACAAATATCGTGAGCTTTTGGAGGTCGTGTCGGATCATCGATGAAAGCTCTTGGACCGTCAGCTGCAAAGAGCCGTCTCCGACGAATAGTATCGTCCGTCCCAGCTTCAAGTCACGAGCAGCGAACGCGGCACCCAAAGTGCTACCAACGGTCCAACCAATGGAGCCCCACAGAATCTGGCTGACGAAAATAGAATCTTGAGGCAGTGGAATATCCAAAACACCGAAACTCGATGTTCCTATCCATTAAATCAGTGTTACAATCAAATTGCGTTCCGAAAAGACGAACCCGTCTCGGCCACGATGATATCTTTTGGGCGGAAGAACTTGCTCATCCTCGGCCAGAACCAAGCTTGTGAAATCACATCGTTCGCCTCTTCCTGGACAAATGCAACGAAAGGCGGAACAGGCATCTTCTTGACGGCGGGCTCCAGACGAGCCGTGACCAGAGGGAGAAGTTCCTTCATGCCAATGCCAGGGAAGGCGGCATGTTGGACTTTGGTGTGGTCGGAATGGAACTGCAAACAGTGTCAGAATAGGCTCTACGAACAGCGGCAGTGACGCACCTCAATCGTTTTGCTAGCGGGAATCGAGTACGTAAAGTTCCCGGTGTTGAAGTCGCTTCTCAATCCACCAATCGACAAGATCAACTTTGCAGATTCAACCTTCTCCTTGATTTCGGGATGACTGATGGATCCCACGTAGATCTTCAGCAGAATGTCAGCCACATGAACGAAGGAGGCCAGTTAGAATGACGTACTCCACCATATCGCTCGTAGTTCTCCGGCACAGCGGTTTTCCCCATTGGAGCAGAATAGACAGGATACCCAGTCTTGACGATCAATTCGTTGGTTTCTAGAATTCCATCGCGTTAACATGCTATCTCCAACTCAGAGTCGGTCACCAACCCTTGCGGAGATCGTGCCGGATGGCACATGCATCGATGAGGAAAACAACGTCGTCCTCGGCCTCTTTCACCAACTTGGCAATCTCATGCAACACAAAGGCCTCGACATCAGGTGCGTTGGGGGGAGGAAGGCGACTGAGCGGGATCTTCAGTCGCTCCGAGGAGATCTTGGTGAAGGCGATGTTGGTGGGGAGGGCAATGTACACGGGACGAGCAAGAGTGATGCAGTCGGTGAGAACACGGTCTATTTCAGCTGCCGCAGTGTCCTTGTCAATCAAGTTGGCCTGAGAGATGGTGAACTGTTCAGACGCCTTGAAATAAGCGTCGAATCTGGGGTTCTTTGCGTCAAGCGGACCGATATGCATATGTCCACTCGCACTCACCGACCATCGCCGAGCGTATGATGGAGGAGCGGCTTGCTCTTCTGTTGATCGACGCTGGGTACACCGGCGATGTGCACTACGGGCACCATCTCCGAAAATGCCCCAGCAATGCCGTTGATCGCCGACAGTTCACCAACGCCAAATCTGCGTACTTATCAGCGGACAGAGTGCTAAAACGGAGGGATCGGCGCACGTCGTGAGAAGAGCCCCGACACTGTGCTCCTTGACGCGAGCATACCCATCAGCAGCATATGCCGCGTTCAGTTCGTTGCTGATCACGCGTGTGTGAGCCTGCCACGAGCAACGAGAGGCAAAGCACCGCGTACCAATTGCCGACCCAATCGATGGTCGGATGGTCCTCCACCATGTCCAAGAACCCGAGGTTGAAGTCTCCCGGAACGCCGAACAATTTCTACGACGCGTCAACACCTGTGTCATGCATATCGCGAGGACGAGGAAGGGGAAAGAACGCACCGTAACGCTCAACTGCGCAAGGCGAGCGAGCAAATAGTTGCCAACGGTGATGGGCTCAGTCCCAGCCTTGGTCTGGTGGGACTCGAGCTCGAGGCGAAGGCGGTTAACCTCGGCCTGGAGAGAAGAGACAGACGCGTTGGAAGACATGTGTGGTGTCAAAGCTTTGGTTCTGAGGCCAGTAACGGCCTTTATATAGGGTTCAGGATGGATTAGAACACCGGTAAGATCCAGGTCGATGGAAAGTTGAGGCCCCCCGACCAATGATGTCATGCGATATGGATGAGATGATCATTCGATTGCAAATAGCTATTGGACCGGTCCCTTGTGGTCTAGACAGTCCATGGAAGGGCCTCAAGAGTGCGTGGGCAGTGCGTGGGCGCTCGAGATGAGGGTGCATATGAAGACGCGTTCTAGGCTCGCTTGATCTCCATCCTGATTGGTCCATCACTCCCTGCCGGAGGCAAATTGTACACTCGGATCTGTCTTCACAGCGACCTCCGACCGAGCACTGGCTGGCTCACGGTCATTTACTTTACATGCCAAGTCCATCTATTCCAAATCCTTCAGCCTTCCAGCCAGCCCCTCAAGGAATGCAAACCCATCCTGTTGCTCGTTGAGCGCATTGCAGATGTTGAGCAGAGATCACAGACCTTGCTGATCGTTCGCCCAGCGCTGTTGTTCGTGACTTGGCCGAAATCTTGTATCATAGCCGCGAGCGTTTTGTTATTAGGTGCACTCCCAACTTCGCGCTTCAGTCGTGCGACAACACCCAGTTTTACATGCGCTGGTTCCTTTTCCGTCTGCGAGCTCTTGTTAGAGGACTGCCGCGAAGTCCTGGTAAAGAGATCAGTCAAAATGACGGGAAAGGGAGGTCCAACGCACCGTAAAGGAGCGCGTGCTTCAAACACGGAAGGATCGGCAAGCTGTTTGTAGAGAGCGTCCAGAAAACTTGATGCTTCTCTTGTGAGGGTACGAGAGCTATTTGATTGTAGAATAGTGATGAACTCAAGTACCAGGCCCGACAGAGTCGCGTTGTCAACCGCATTTGCAAGTTTTCTCGTGATCTTGTTGAGTTTGTGGGCCTTGGGTGTTAGGTGAGGGGGTGGAATAGTCTGAATCTCGTGCTCGGAGTCACTAGTAATGTCGATCACCTCCATGGACTGGGATGATCCTGCCCTGGTCGCATCGTCCATGTTCATTTTAACGAGGTCGTGCAGAATTCGTTCCACGTCCTGTGGGTCGGGCGCCATGCTTCGACGAGCTGTCGCCTTCGAGAATGGCTTAGGCTGATTCAGCATCAGTCAAAGTAGTAGCCAAAATCGTGACCGAAGCCTACCTGGACGACGGGTGGCCAGATGAAGTCATCACTCTCAGGGAAACCCTCAGTTTGAGCCAGTTCCCGAAATCGCTCCTTCCAATTGTCGTAGTCCGGACACTCTTGGAAGTGAAGTCGTCGGCAGTAGAATAGAAACTCTTCGAACTCTTCCGGCAGTCCAGCACAAAGGTCTTCTGGCCGCGCTGCTTTCTTCTCCTTCTTCAGCCGCTCGTGCGCCTCGTCCGTCTTCGGCACGCCGTTACGCGTCCAGGGAAGCCCCCGTGGGGTGAGCAAGTGGATGAGCATCAGCGCTGCCGCTTCGAGATCGTCACGGCGCGAAGGGACTAGGAACCTGAGCCAAAACGAACCAGATATAGAAGAGACTGGATGCACCTCGACCACGGCAGTGCACGCCAACCGAACTGAACCAATAATTCCCGATGAAGTCCCGTTTTGCACGACTGTCGGGAATGTGCCGGTTCGTGTGTTGGTCGATGTATCGTTTTGAGAAGCCAAAATCGATCATATAGATGATATGATCGTACGGAGGCAATCCAATTACGCAATTCCCTAACTGGATGTCTCTGTGCAGGATACCTGGATTGCAAGTGAGCTGAGATGGCCGTCAGACGAAAAGGGCTGTGCGGTACCCCGGCTGTGCATAAACTCTAGCCGTGCGATCTATGATAACGTCGTCAGAGGCGATGGAAACAGGTCGGAGGTCCACGAACGAGCTGAACGGCAATCGTGCATACGGAACTGAGGTCCATAGTATCCTTCCCACTCCGCCGATACAGGTTGTCCAAACTTGGGCCAAGGAGATCGATGGCTAGCCAGTCCCATTGGCCTTCCACCCCGGAGCCCCATAATGTGGGCATTCCAACACCACCTGCGAGAATCGTAAGCGAGTTTGGACGCGCCGAACACGCGATACGAGATACCTTGTAGTGAGGGATAAAACCCGCGCTCGTATCGATTGGTAGGGCACTCGTGGTTCACATTCTGCACCTTGAGCGCAACTACTTCACCTGTGTGGACTTGTCTCGCCTTGAAAATCGACCCTAGTGCTGAGATGAGAAGGATGGGAAGGTAGAGTTTTCGCACGCACCAGAGTATCCTGAGCCTAGACTCTCTCCTAGATGGTAATTTCCGATATAGCGAGGAATGTCAGACGGCATGGTGTGTTATGCGCGAGTACAGCAATAGGATCTCTTGGAATGGATCGTAATTTAACGAGATCGGATAGATGGATGCGCGTGTCTGTGATACGAGCGAAATATACACAAGTTAGAAGTGTGTTAGATGAAGCGAGACACGCGTGAAATGTAGGACTGGGGCACCATAAAGGCCGGAGGCAACTTTGGAGGGAGCACCGCCATCTGCAGTGAGAATTACGATCACGTGGTTGTTGATATTAGCGCGTGGCGACGCGTTTGTTTGCAAATGATTTGTAATCACAAGTGAAAAGCTCAATGTACAGCTGGTGTGGCTAAACGCAGTGCTAATGTAACGGGGAAAGCTATCAGCGGGGAGGCCGCATATGCGAATGTCAGGATTCGAGAAACTTGACCCTCGATATCTGGGGGGAGTTCCGCCCTTGAGATTGTGTCAACTCTGTTCGAACGCAGGAAAAGGTTCCACGGACATGACAGCAACCGCAGACAGCGTCAGTGCAGGCGGACCGACGTTGGACATGCATAGGACATAGGAAAGCATGGGGTCATCGCCCTGCAGAGATGAGGGAAGAAGCAGGCCAGGTTTCGGGAAGACTAACGAGAAGATGCGGCCACTTCTGGCGAATGATGTGGATGAAGCTGATAGATATTGCCGGCGCGAAGAGGAATCTGTGTAGGAAAAGCATCGACAGATGTGCAGCCTTGACATGGGAGCCCTTCTTCGAGTGCAGATTGGCCCCCACTGCTCGCGTGAGAGGGATGAAGAACGCTACAGGGTAGATCTCACATATCAGCATTTGCAATGCACTAAACAGCTTCCCCACTGCGTTGATGCTTTCGGACAGGCTACCTGATATCAGACATGTCGCGGTGTTATGCTTACCAGTGCACTCACGGAGAGAGTATACCGGATCCAAAAAGAGCCGTGTTGAACCAAGGTATCAGCCCAAAGAAGACCGCACTAATGCCGCCCAGCAGAGGGGGGTTGAGAACACTCAAGAACCGCCTTCGTGCCACTTCTATGGAAAGCCGCGATCTCGAGAATTCGCCAGAGAGCTCTTCGTCCGGGAGAGCAATATGTCCAACTTCCTCGTTATTAGTCCGCGCCTTCATGAGATCTGATTGGGACAATGTCAGGCGGCAATTATGCAGATTGGAACTGCAGTCTCACAAGGACCGATGGCGAATCGCATCAGATTGCCGACCAGAGCGTTGATGAGAATGTACACTCGCCCTAGCCTCATGAGAGTCTCCAGCGGTCTGTCGGGTGTGACAAGCGGATCCAAAGCACCAGTAGCACCCAAGGCGTTGATCAAGAGCAGAGGCAGCGAGGTGACCTAGGTATATTTCAGTTTCTGGATGGACCCTTGCGAGCTTGCGAACGTTGTTAAATATGAACATGGGAACACTTGGGCCTGTTAGCACGCTGGAATAAAAGACCAGCACGACTAACTAGTGCTGAGGCATTCCGGCGGAGCAAGATATCATTGCAAAAGCAAAGGATATTCCTTGGAAGAGAATCGAAAAGGGAATGATTGGCCAGTCTGGAATTGCAAGTAAGCATGAACTGACGTCACACCGGCCCACCACCTACAATTCCTCAGGTTGTTCCACGTCGCCAGAGGACCGATTTCGGTAAATAGCAGCGAGGGCAGAATAAACTTGGTCAACAGCTGACTGATGTTCTACGCAAAGTCAACTTCTGCGTTGCCGCAAGCAGGAGAGTGGTTGTACGCTCTCACTCTCCGACGTGATGAAGCCAAACTTGCGAAGAAGATAGCCATAGACAAGGACGAGGAGGACGGAAAACGCTGCCTTCGACGAAGAAAAGAGACCTTCCAGTAGTTGGGAGCTCATCACATCAATGGAGAGGGAGAACTTGGAAGACTCTTGCGGTAGTAGTGCGGAGCGACCTATATACGGAACAACCTGAGCCTAAAGCCGCAACTGCTACAAATCGATTCCTCACTCCAACTCGAAGCTCGCTCAGAGCTCGCCCACTCGAGTGTTTAGTGCTATCAGCGCGAGAGGTTCCGCTCTGTCATCCAAAAGATCGTTCCTACCAGAGTCCGAGGTGTGCGGATTCTGCGGAAGCGTCTATGTACATGGAATTTGGGGTGTTGACACGATCTCTGCCATGTCAGGGCTCTGGATTCTCGCAGTTCTGAATCGTTCTCTTCTGTCACGTTGGAAAGAAGACAGCAAGAACGTAGCACAAAGTTGGCAAGGGAGGAGACCGTCCCCAGTGCTGGGACTTGTTCATAAGACGGTAGCGATGCTTGAGTGTGCAAACAAGATCGAGTGATAGTAAATTATGCGTGGAGCATCTCTGAGCAGCTCCTCGAAGACTCCTAGGCTGCACTGGAGCGGTCTTGGCCAAGAAATGCCTCGGGCAACAGACTGTTGGGGCCGAACCCCAGTGCGGAGTTTGCCGATCGAATAAGAGAAACTGATTGACGCGTTACTTTGCGTTGTCTCCCCTCCACCTTCTTTTTGCGCGAGTGCTCCTTCACCGGTTCCACTCGCTCTTACCTTGGACGGCGGCACTCCTTTTCGCTTCCAACCATGTCGACCGTAAAACAGGAGCAGGGCGTATATGTCGTGCCCGACATCACCATTAAAGAGCTGCTTGCGGCCATTCCTGCTCATTGCTTCAAGCGATCTGCTTTGAAGTCGTCCATGTACATGTAGGTTGATACAGGCCCGTGCTTTGAAGCTGTCTAAAATTTCGTTCAGGTTCTGGAATATGATTGTCATAGCTGGAATCTATAAGGCGACGGAATATGTGGATACTTTGATCAACCCCCAGACGTTGTCTCTGCCCTATCCCGCCCTCTATCCTTTCGCCCGATTCTCGTGAGTTGTCAGTGACTATCCTGCCTCTCCCCCGCTCAGCGCGTTCTGCAGTCTCTGGGCCCTGTACAGCTTTTGGACGGGACTGTTCGCTACCGGGCTATGGGTGAGCTGTCATACCAAGCGCTTCTACGCTTGCTTCAACTCTTTCTCAGGTCGTCGCCCATGAAGCAGGTCACCAGGCCTTTTCGGAATCGAAGGCCATCAATAACACTGTCGGTTGGGTCCTACACTCCGCGTACGAGCAAGCCCTTTGTTGTGGCGAATCAGATGCTCACTCTGCCCAGGCTCGGTGTCCCGTATCACTCGTGGCGTGTGAGCCATGCCAAGCACCATGCATCCACCGGACATATGACACAGGATCAAGTTTTCGTCCCGTCGACGCGATCTGAACTTGGGTTGAAGCCTCTCGACCCTACGAAGGAAGACGCCCTCGGCTCCTCGGTGACTGAGGAGGTCAAGAAGGAAATGTGGGAGGCTCTCGGAGACTCGCCCCTCGGCGCTACCCTGGGTTTCATGTCTTTCCTGGTCGGTGCCTTCCCGTGTCACGACCATTATCAGTACTCATTCGAGCCAAGATCGCTGGATGGCCTTTATATCTTATGACCAATGCCTCTGGCCAGCGCCGTTACCCTCCTGGAACCAACCGTACGTTTTGGTTTTTTCTTGCGCTGTGCTTGCTAAAGAGAGCCCTAGACTTTTCACCCAAATCCATCATCTACTCCGCGCACCACTACTGGCAGATTGTCGTGTCTGACATTGGGATCTTCGCGTGGCTGACTGCGATCGCGTTTGCTGTTCGAGCCTACGGCCCTGCTACGGTCTTCCGTGTTTACGGTGCTCCTTACCTCTGGTGAGCATGCTCAGCGATTGACTGCGAAGTCGTGTCTCATCGTTCCAGGGTCAACCACTGGCTTGTTCTTATCACCTTCCTGCAACACACCGATCCTCTTCTGCCCCACTACCGGGCCGGAGAGTTCACTTTCACCCGTGGCGCACTCGCAACTCTGGACCGCAACCTCCTCGGAGATCTCGGCAGTGTCATGGGATGGATAGGCGCTCACGCGACGTTTGTGTTACTGCAATCCATGCTTGCACTTACTCACATGGAGACACCACAGTATGGGCATCTCTGAGACTCACATCGCGCACCACCTTTCCAGCAAGATTCCGCACTACAACGCGTATGTTATCCATCCAACGGGCCCTTGAATCCTACTTATGTTTTGTTCCAGCTGGGAAGCCAGTGCTGCTCTGCGCAAGGTCCTGCCCCCCGGTCTCGTCCTGGACGGTCCCCCTGGTGGGTGGGCCGAGATGTATCGCGTTTACAAAGAATGCAAGGTGCGACATTCGAGTCTTTCTCATCGCATGAGCTCATATAAGCGCAGTTCGTGGAGGACGAAGGCGATGTGGTCTTCTTCAAGAATGCGTACGGATTGGCCAAGATGCGTCCGGTTTTCAGCGAAAGCTCTGCAAGCGACTCTGGTGTTGAGATCGAGAAGTAGAGGGATCTCGTGTCGTAGTCTGTAAGCTGCCTGTTTTGATAGACGACTGTCTGTTGCTCTCCTAGAATGATCCCATGACATGACACGTGCTGAAATCAAATCTTGACTACCCCGCACATACCCCACAGACCGTGATGCATGTGAATATGGGATAGCATACACATACACATGTGCAGAAGCCAAGGAACTGCACCCCCCCTGCGACCCATATGTTTGCTCCTGGAGTTCTGTTTCTCGCCCAGCGCGGTGTCCGGCTTGCGGTGCCGTTTGTGTTGCTCGCGGTGCTCCGACGAGTGCCTGGCCTCGATGTCGCGTTGTCGCACTGGACCTGGCTCGTCCTGGCCGCTGCGAGTGTGCCGCTCTACGGCGTCTGCTGCCTGGCTCTCCGCAACCATCGCCACCGACGCGAAGCCGAAGCGGCGGGCGCGCGTCTCGCTCCCACGTCCGACGTTGGGAAGCTGCCAGGTAATCTGGACCTCCTGATCCGCATGCAGAAGATCTGGCAGCACGGATATCCGGGGGACGGGCTCAGCGATGTCCTTGATGAGACCGGGCCTGTTGTCAATCTCAATCCCATGTTCGAGAACATCGTCCTCACGACGTGCCCGGAGCACGTGAAAGAGATCCTCGCGACGAATTTCACGGGCTTTGTCAAGGGGGAACGCTTCCAGCTGGGGATGAGCTCCGTGCTCGGGGTCAGTCGCGTGCCATTTCCAGGGTGATTACAGGCTGATGATGTCGGTTCAGACCGGAGTGTTCAATTCCGATGGTATGACATCGAAACAGACTTGCGTGCTGAGATTGATCAATCAGGCGAGATGTGGAAGTTTCACAGGGCGATGACACGGCCGTTCTTCAGTCGGGACCGAATCAGCCACTTCGAGATCTTTGACCGGCACGCCGAAGCAGTCATCTTTCGAATCAAGCAGCGCAACCGCACCGGATATGCTATCGACTTCCAGGTCAGCGGCGCCAGTCTGGTTTCTCGTTCTTGTGATCTCATATGTCTTTGGACCTTCTAGGATCTCATTGGCCGCTTTACTATGGACTCGGCGACCGATTTCTTGTTCGGATCCAGCCTGCACAGCTTGGACGCGAATCTGTCGTTCCCGCACAATGCGATCTTCACGAGACCCGTGTCCGAGTCTGCCAACGCGCAACAGGCGATGCAGTTCTCGTCCGCTTTCAACGCGTCCATGCTCCACATCTCGAACAGGGCTCGGGTCGGCTGGGTCTGGCCGCTGCTGGAGATGTTCCGGGATAGAACGACGGATCCGATGAAACTCGTCAGCGCCTATATCGACCCGATCATTCACCAGGCTGTTCAGCGGAAGCAGCTGTCAACATCTCTTACGCACGAGACAAAGAATCAAGAAGCTCTCTTTGAAGGCAGGACTCTTTTGGATGAATTGTTGGACATGACTTCGGGTATTTGTCTTTGCTTTCGGGATCCAATCTTTAGCCCGTCTCATGCTATACAGACTTCAAGGTGCTCAAGGATGAAACGTAAGCAAAAAGCTCTCCAGATCTCCGTTTATAAAACATGGGCCCTCAGACTGAACATTCTACTCGCTGGAAAGGATACGACACAGTGGACCTTGACTGTGGCAGTGTATTTGTGAGCCAGATGCTCTCAACTCATCCGGCGCTGAGGTTTCTGTAGCCTGGCAACGCATCCCGAGGTGAATGCGCGGCTCCGGGACGAGATCCTCGAGCAGGTGGGACCCAGCCGCCGGCCCACCTACGACGACATCAAAGACATGAAATTCCTGCGCGCTGTCTTGAATGAAACGATGCGGCTCTATCCATCCGTGTATGTCGCTTCGGTGCAGCTTCCGGCAGATCTGACTGACGTCTCGCAGTCCATTCAATGTCAGGTGCATATCTGCCGATCTCGTCCGGGCTTGATTCTGATCCGTGCTGACCTCGCTCGCTCGCAGGGAATCAGTCAACGCGACCGTCTGGCCATCTCCCGATCCCAACGAGAAACCGATTTACATCCCGGCTGGGACGCAAACGCCCTACTCCGTGTTGCTCATGCACCGGCGCAAAGACCTGTGGGGCCCCGACGCTGAAGAATTCGACCCGGATCGGTTCTTGGACCACCGCCTGCAGAAATATCTGCTGAAGAATTCGTTTCAGTTCCTGCCGTGAGCTGCGACTCCCTACGAAACACACCTGTGACGATGTTGACTTTGGCGACGCAGTTTCAACGCCGGGCCCCGCATCTGTCTTGGACAGCAGGTAGGAGATCGGGAATGATTTCTGAATGATCGGCTGACAGATTGCAGTTCGCGTATAACGAGATGTCATTCATCCTCATCCGGCTCTTGCAAAATTTCTCCTCCTTTTCGCTCGACCAGGAGGCGTTCCCTCCGGAATCCCGTCCGCCGGCCGAGTGGGCTGCTTTCCCGGGCCGCAAGGGAATCGAGCTGTTCAAGCCGCGCATGCATCTCACCATGTACTCCGAGGGCGGAATGTGGCTCAAGGCCACCGAGGCACAGTGAAGCTATGTACATCTACTGTACATGTTGTACTCCAATGCAAACGAACTTGTATTTGTGATTATGTTACGCAAAGGAAAGTCAGGATTTCAGGGAGCGACAGAGGGAAAAGAGAGTCAATGCACGCATACAACATATGTACCGGGAGATTATACAGTCCATTCAGAGGAAGTTGGTCAGACAGCAGAGACCGGACGGCTGTTGCCCGTTTGCGAGGTGTTCGGAACGGCAGGGCCGACCCATTGTCCGTGCAGCGGCTCCAGAAGCGCATTATTGGCAACGATGAACGTGAGGCTGACACCCAGATTGAATGTGACAGCCAGCCACGACAGCCAGCAGAAGGCGACGATCGCAGACAGGATTTGGCAGGCTTGGAACTGCGCGCACCAGCCAAGGTTGCCCCAAGATTGCTGGAAACGGAACGAAACGTCTGAGATGGGTGTCGATGACAAGGATCTGGAGATTGACGCACACTGGCAATCGCACCCCCGACAGTCCAAAACATCCAGATCACGAACAACCCAACCAGTTCGCCGCGGAAGGTAGACACGAGGTTGCCCTCTACACGTTGATAAATCGTGCGAATGCTGCAGACGCGTTAGCGCTTGAGAAACCGACGACAGGCAGGCGGGCTGACAGGAAGAGCGCCCATGCGATAGACATCATGCAGGTGATAAGAAGTTCGACGATGTCGGGGTCTGCGAGCGTGTGAGTTAGTCCGACTGGAACGAGCAACTTGTATTAAAGCGGTGCGCGCCATAGAAGTTTTTGCCTGCACGGAGTCAACGAGCAGTCCCAGACGCATGCGAATACAACTCTCACCGCCATTCAGAGTGTCTCCGCGCGGGAGGTTGCTGGTGTAGCTCAGCCGTGCAATCGTGAGGCACCAATTGATGAACGAGAAGACTGCCTGTAGACCGAATTGAGCGCGCCTCGAGAGAACGGCAAGCGAGCACGGACGAGAGCTGCGTAGGAAACGATTCGGAGACTGGGAAGGTCAAACGCCATGTTGGCTCGCGGTCAACGCAGCGAAACAGTCGTGGATAAGAAGCAGAATAGTTTAGGTGATTGGGCGCGGGCGCGAATGAATAAATGTGTATTTACGGTTGTTGAGCAACCGCCATTGTCAATGCGGGTTTCCCACCGGGTCTCCGGAATTTGTTATTCATGAGCCGATGCGGCTCTCAACGTTTCCGGGTCGGCCCGGGCCCCGCGTCTAGCCTGAAATTCGATACATTCGGGTCAGCCTTCGATGAATTTGGTGGGTAGGGTAACGGTGGATGTGGTCGAAGTTGAAGGGCGCAACTCGCAGCTTTGTCGGGCCGGCATATTAACTTTAAGTGGGCCACATAAGCGCTGCAGCGTCAGCATCACCGATCACTCCAAACGCGCAGGCGCGGGTGTGGTCTCATCATCTCTCTCCGCCATGTCGGCGGCTTACCTGCGGCACCCACGTTATGTCGTGCTAATACTAGTGGCTCTTGTCTTCACTCTTTACCTCGTGGGGCCCTTCGATGCGCCTCCACCTCCCGTACACGTCCACGAGCATATCGAGGATCCCGACCTCCCTCGGCGCATTGCCGAGTCGGAGAGGATATACAGCAAGGTCCTGCACGAACGCCAGGCGCTGATTCAGAAATTCGGCCCGCGTCCCAGTGACATATCTCTGTGCGTCCCAATCGCGTGCAAGCGTTCCGAGGATAGGTCGTGACCCTTGAACGGATAGCTTCCCCGCAAACAAGGACCCTTGGCCTGCATACACCGTCTGTGCGGCATTCTCTCGGTTGATCTCAACATGAAGGCCCGTTTACAGTTGGACTAGGGAGCTTCTTTCCCGCCGCATTCAATTGTCCACACGAAATCCAGCGACTGGGCGCGTTGGGCGACGGAGGAAAGTGGGTGTGCGGGATCACCCGGTTGGAGACCAAGCCCAATTGCGTCATATATTCTTTCGGTGCTCAGTTTACGCGGTGTTGGGGCGTCCACTTGCTGAAGATGCACCAGGGAACAATCACGAATCTTCGTTCGAAGCGGACATCCTGGCGAACACGGAACACTGCGAGGTCTGGGGCTACGACTTTTCGGTCAAGTCTTTTGGACCCGAAATCCGCCCGTATGCGAAGCGAGCGCACTTCCGACAGTATGGCCTCGCCGAGAGGAACGCTCATGGACCGGGTGATCACCTCAAGTTGTACACCCTAGAGACTCTGATGGAGTTGAATGGTAGGGGCGATGTGCCATGACTGTGTCTCTGGGCTAAGAGCAAGTGCGATACAGGTCATACTCACATCGACTTTCTGAAGATTGATATTGAACGCTGGGAATTCGATACAATGGCTGCACTGCTAAAGCCATATCTCTCGTCTGGCAAACCTCTGCCGTTTGGACAGCTGTCGATGGAGATACATCTCTGGGGGATGTCGTTTACCGACTTTCTTAGCTGGTGGGAAACACTAGAGCACGCGGGACTCCGGCCTTTCTGGAGCGAGGTAAGCAATGTGTGGACCATGGAGACCCCTCTGAACGTGTGCTTACAGCCTAATCTTATCTACACAAATTACAACCGAGGAAGCAGCAGTGAACTGGCGTCGGTACGTAGTAGTCCTGTATGTCCCCGCTGCGAATACTTGCTAATCGTTGCACATGTAGTACACTTTCCTCAACATCAAAGGTGACAATATCTTCATCACGGATCCATTACCCGTCGCGGGCGATACATAGTCATGTTCAAAATGTAAACAAATTTTGAGCCAAGTCCATGAGGGAGAACCGCACGTGAACTGAATCACGTGCTCACGCACGGACCACCACATCAAACGTATAAGTTCCAGCGCTGAACAAAGTGGATCTTTACCACTCTGGCCTTTTGGCTTAGATCAAGTGTAGTATCTGTTCTTAATAGTTTAACCACTATTAGAGGGACACAGTCCCTTCTATTTGGTTATCTAATTTTTGCCGCCCTTGTCTTTCTGCTCTGCTTGCAACAGAAGGACGCGATGACCTTGCCGCTGCACTACTGGCTTGCGTCGTCGGGGGTCCACTTTTTTTGCGTCCTCCGGTGGGCTAACCCTAACCCTAGCTGATGGATTACACAGCTTTTAGGCAGATTAGATACTGCACAGCTTTGCTACATACATCAATTACATCGTCCATCTCCAGTTCATTGTCGCGATCCTCGCACAGCTATGCCTGGTCGGACGATCACAGTCATGACAACGGTTGCTCTTGAAACTCGTGCTGGAACTCGCGGAGCTATCGAGTCAAACAGCACTCCATGTTCTGCAAACAGCTTTGAGTGCTGTTGACGGGGCTGTGTTGAGCCGACTCGCGTCTTCGCGTGTTCTTGCTATCCGGATAGACGCGCCGATACGGCGACGGACCGTACGGCCTTTGTTGTCCATGTTGGCTCGTACGGGGACGCGGCAAATTCTTGTCACCGGGATCGCAACCCGCGAGTGCAATCCCGCTATCAGCCCCGAGTCAACTCATTCGACTTGACTCGCCAGCACTCCAGCACACGCGTCCACAGTGGACCTCGGGCCGGATCTGCACACGCGTGCGCGCACAGGATGAAGCAAAATAGACTGCCCTCGCTGACGTCGATGACACGGAATAACGTCCGCATCTCGAGACGGGACGATCTTGTCAACTGCGACATGTATCAGTATCAGACAAAGATGGCTCAGGAACTTGGATGAAAATCCGACACTGCCTGCCTGCATCGTCCGTCCTCATCAGCTGCTGTGGCGGATCAGCCATCCATGCAGTGTCTTTTTTCTAACGGAATCGGACCGACAAGGGTGCCCAACTGGAATATAAAACGAGTCACCATTTTGCACTTCCAGTCATCCCAACTCATCTCCCATGGACTCCCAGACCGCCCTCAAAGCCAAACAGTTCTACGCCTCTGCGCACTTTGCCGTGGTCGGCGCCTCAGCCGACAGCTCAAAGTACGGATCGAAGGTCAGAGCTACTGACTCGAGCCCGCTCTTCCAGGTCCTAATCCTCGCGTAGATTGTCGCGTTTCTTGCCGACCGTCAGAAAGATGTGGTGCCCATCAACCCCAACAGAGCAGACGTCCGTGGCCTGAAGTGCCTCAAGAGTCTGTCCGAGCTGCCTGATCCAACCCACACCTCTGTCTGCATCGTCGTCCCCCCTGCAGTAAGCCCAGTCCCCAATCACCGGCTTTTTCTGCGTCTGATGGCCGGTAGGTCACGCTGCAAGTCCTCCAGCAGGCCAAAGCCCTAGGTATCCCCTCGCTGTGGCTGCAGCCCGGCGCAGAAGACGATACGGTCCTCAAATTCATCGAAGCAGACGCTGGCTTCGAGTCGCACTGTCTGTACAGTACGACAGCTTTGCATCAGCATCCCCTGTCGGCAAGCCACACATCGGTGTCCTTCGAAGCCAAGAAGAACCGCTTCTTTGCCGCAAAGAAATTTGCAGTCGTCGGTGCTTCAGCAGACGAGAAAAAATTCGGGACCAAGGTGTGCTGCGGCTTGCAAGTATGGGGTTGACCGACAGCTGACTCGACTCATCTGCAGGCTCTCCAATATCTTATCAAAGTGCACCGAGACGTTGTGCCGATCAACATCACGGCTTCTCACAGCCAGGGTATCCCGTGTCTCAAGTCCCTGGCAGACCTGCCGGATCCGACCAACACCAGCATCTGCATTGTGATCCCACCCAAGGTCGGTCCCAATCACCGCACGATCTTACATCCCAAACTGATTGATGATGATAATCAGGCCACTCTCCAAGTCGTGCAGCAGGCAAAGCAATTGGGGATCTACGCCCTCTGGATCCAGCCTGGGGCAGAGGACGCCGACGTCGTCCGCTTCATCGAGGCGGATCCCGAATTGGAAGCGCGCTCCCTCTTCCGGCAGCACCCACTCCCCACAGTCGAGCCCAACCCGGCCACTGGCATCCATGACCCGATTGACGTATCCCCGCCCCCGGCCCCGCCCCAACCACCCGTGCGTGTGATTGCCACCCCACCAGAGAGCGTCAACACTGTCGTGCTCAAACCGATGGTCAATCTTGTGGCGGCCCCCTTCGATGAGCCGCCGCCCTCCAAGGATCAGCCGTCGCCGTGCATGATCGCCATTCCTCCCGAGAGCGTCAACACTGTCGTGCCCAAACCGATGTTCAATCTTGTGGCGGCCCCCTCCGATGTGCCGTCGCCCTCCGATGATACGGGGCCGCCGTGCATGATCGCCATTCCTCCCGAGTCCGTCGATATTCCGGCCCTGCCGAAAATGATGCCCATCGCGGTCTGATTCCTTCGTCCTATCTATACCTAACTGCTATCTCTTTACACTACATCAGCGAGCTAGTTGCGATAATATATTCTTATTCTGTGCTTATCTACAATGTCCTCATCGTCTTATGCCCCTTTGGGCAACTTCACCTGGAAAGTACCTGGAGGCTGGTTAGATCATGCCTGTGGCTCAGTGAGCTGTGCACCCACATTGAGGTAGTGAAGTGATCTCGGGAGACACAGTCGTTTGATAACCCAGTCTTGACTGTGCACCGCGTATTATACCGGCAGGTAGTGTCACATACTAGGGCGTGGTTTGATCACCGAACGGGAAGGAGTGGCTGGCAGGACGCGACTCACCAATTTCGCTCTCCGTATCGCATCCGCACGCCCCTCCCATGACGAGATGCGGGTCACCGGCTTGAAGCTATTATCCTGTAGAACGTATACACCCTGGAGAGATCAAATCCAGATGATTGCGAGCGAAGCGAGCAATCATCGGCTAAAGGGGTGGAGATTCACACTAAACAAGAACAAATTCTCAGCGCGCATCAGATGGCAAAATGGACGAGTGGTAACCCTCTCAAACTCGTTCATTCTCTCTCCGTTCACCTTCGTATCGTACATGGACCTTCAATTCCACTTGTTAATGGGAATTGTCGAGTTAGGGCGGGATTGGGCAAGAATTGAGGTGTGTACAGACATCCTGAGCAAATCCATTCTTTCTCTTCATTCTTGCGTTCATTTCTCCTCGTTCCTGGTGTATTTCACCTTCTATCCTTCCCTCATACATGTACCACACTTTGGAGTCGGAGCCTGGCATGTGTAAGTACACTGACACGCCCCCGTTACTACTTAGTACTCTCGACTCGGGAAAATTCCATCCCGTTCCGCGATCCGGTCACGTGGTATAGTCGGACTATTTGACCACAGACGTGTCAAGAGTCTGGGAGGAAAGAATTTGCCCTACAATATAGATAATTTTGCCCGTAGATATGCCTCGATATGTACAGAATGATGTCTTCGAAGCGAGCACCTGGCGCTCGTGCGCGATTCCATTTTGAGGATGGCGGTGTCACAGAGAAACAAGCTTCGGAGCGTACGCGATGATTTGTTCGCAGATTGTCGACCTGCTTGTCCCAACATGCTGCCCAGATGTCTTTGCAGATAAATTTGATCGCGTCCAGTGTCTCTCCGAATAACGGGCGGTCCCGACACAACCTCCACGCAACGCCCATTCAGCACTGCGGGCCCGCCAAAGCGACACGGCGACACACACACGCACCTCTCGGTGAAGTTCGCGCCGACATGAATCCCAATAGCCTCGAGCCGCTGGCGCACGGCCTCCTCGCCCTCGTCCGCACCAGAAACACGTCCGCCAGTGCTCGCTCGCGAGTTCACACTAGTGACCGAATCGCGCGCCGTTGCGTCTCGCTTCAGCGAATGCGGGGTCGGCCCGGAGAGCGCGGGCGGTATGAGTCCGGCCTCGACCATCTCTGCCTCGATCTTCTTGGAGCGTTCGGTCGCAACGGCAGCAGAGGCGCGCAGGGCGTTCACGAGCTCGATCATGAAGTAGTCCATGACTGCACCATCGACTTGGCGGGCTGGAGGGTCAGCGAGCGCGAGCAGATTCTGGGGGACGAGACCGTGAGCTGACACTGATGGCGTTATTTGAGTAGAACTGCGTGAAGCCAGATTAGATTGCTCAACATTATTCGTCTTTTCATTCTTTATTGATTATTCAAGTATTGAATTATCCATTAGTGTTAAATTACAAGGATGAAGTACACTGATCCCAGCAACTCAATGACTTCGGGCAGCCAACCATTGCAAGACAATGTCAAGATTATGTTGGCTCTTCATTGAACACTGAATATCCTTGTCAGCAACAATATGTGGTCCTCTTTGTAACATTACTGAATAGCACTGAAGTGGAATGTTAGCTGAGCCGAGGTTTGTTGCAGCCCCGAAACACTCACTGATACAGGTCTGTCGGTGATCTTGTCGAGTTGCCTAACGCAGGGAATCAGGATAAGCACCAACGCCCAAAGAAACCACACACAGATCCTTGATGAGATCTTTGACGGGAACGTGGTTGCCCAAGTCGTTTTTGTTGCCGAGCTAATATCCGATTTAAACACGGCCACGTGTCGAGCGGAATGGAGCAGACCACGAGGAGAGGGACAGCATTCAGCGTCGGTTGACCAAGGAGTTGATGGAGTTCGAAACGAGCGGTGTTGAATTTTTCGGGCTAGTACGTATCTCGTGCGTGAGAAAAGCGTCATGGAGGCACAGGCGCAGCACTTGCATCGGCGGAGTCAACGACGAATCTGGTAGCAATACGTCAGCATCCGCCGTGTCTATGAGCGCACGCCCGTGATACACTCACACTATTGCGTCAACGCCGTGGCAGTAGCGCTCCCACATCGAACGGAATTTGGGTTGCCCAGCACAGAACATGAGTGGATCTGTCGTCGGAGGGGAATGGCAACATACCAGCGACGTCCCAGATCTTGAATGTCACGTTCCCTTTGCGTATCTGCCCGGCGAGCGTCGTGTTATAACGCAAACAGATCGTGGGCGTGCACGAACCTTGCGGAAGATGAATCCCACCGTGGGCACCACATCCTCGCATTGACCCGAGCTGATGACATTCACGAAGGAGGTCTTCCCAGACGCCTCAAATGAACACTCCTTAGTGACAGACCAAGCTAGAGACGCAAGGCCATACTTGGAGACCGACAATTGCTAGAGATCTATATCAGCTTGGTGGATGCAAGTATGGGGGAGTTATGTCTGCACCAATTTCCGCGCTTTTGGAGAAGAACAGGCTATTTGGAATTGGGAATCAGTCTCTTTACACCGCGAACACACAAGACTTGCCTACTGAGCCACTGAAAGAACGTAGTAAAGAAGCTCGCCATGGCGGGAGAGGTTACGGCTGACGGCATTGCCATTAGCACCGACATCATTGATACGTCGCACGTGATACAGTGTCTTTTTACACGGCCATTTCTGGTCGTGTTCACTGTCTGGAACATGGTCATGAGGCGCCGCGCGTTCCAAGCCGCCAGCTCTTTCCCTCGGAGACGAAATCCTAGCACGGTCGCGAAATTCTCTTCCTCCGCTGCAGTCAGGGAAAGCTCACCCGCGAATCTGACCCTTTCGGAGAAGTTAAAGAGCGCAGAAGCATCGATTTCGAGACCCCTCGTTCGCGCTTCAGAGGAAATGATTCGGCGAACAAAACTCGAGGCCGCCAGTGTACTACGTAAAGTACAGGACACGATTTCCGCGTCCGCAACCACGGAGAAGAACAGCGGTTTCAAACCGGAGAACTGGAAGGATGATTGGGGAACGGATAGTACGTCTATGTACTGAATCTTTTGTCCAGAACTTGCCTCAACTTGAGCAGAGCTAGCTCCATCTAAGAAGGACACGAAATCTTCGTCAAAACTTGCTTCACGGCCACCTCCTCCTCACTTCAAGCCTCCCAAGAAAGGGAAGAAGAAGAACCCCTCCGTATCATATCCGAGGAAAATTGAAGGGTTGATCGAACCTCAAGTCGAGCCTGTATTACAGGGTGGGACTGCCTGCCGCTCTCCGTTCCGCTTTGTTTCTGAACCTGGCGCCAGACGTCCCTCCGACCTCCGAGCACAAACCAGTAGCGACGCTGAAACATGGACTCGAGCGTGTTTTGTTCAAGTGAGCCCTCATCTCATGAACTTCCGATGATTCTAACAGACGTGTAGTCCCGGTGTGCACTGGCTGCGAGATCCTCGGTCGCGAGTCTACAACTTGACGCCCTACTTGGAGGAGATACCCGACGTGACTGACTTCGCATTCGAAAGACTCCCGCCTTTTATCAAGAGCTCTCGAGATGAGGTGGAATGAACTTCTCCTCGTGTCTTTTGCAGCCAGCTGAAATGAACGCAGGATCTATACAACCTTGCCAAACGCGAGGGACGCATGTTCGCTGGCTCGACGTCGTCGCTATCTGGGATGCTTTGTCACGCTTATTTTCTGTTGTCGGAGCACAAACACGTGGACACGAGTTCACTGAGTCACAGATTCATTAGAGAAGTGCGTATTCCGGTAGTTCATGTCTCGACCCCATCCCGACGGTCCACAGGAAAAAGATTTCACGCCGGGGCAGCGGATGGCCTCCACCGTCATGTTCAACTACAATGACGGTGTGTATTCCATCGATTCTCAGTCGGAGGATGATGGGAAGAACATTTTGACCTGGCTGGTGCGTCCATTCGACCTTCCTGCACCGTCAGGCTGACGCAAGGAAACAGGGAACACTTCTCGAAAAGTTCCTTACAATGTCAAAGGAGGAATTCGGCACATATCTTCGCTCTTCTCCGACGCCTGCTCTTCCAGATGATGGCATCCGGGAGGCATACCGATATGCCAGCGTGTGTCGCATGACTACCTATTTGCTTCATACAAGCTAACCTTCCAATGCAGTCTGAGAAGTTTGTCATGCGTTCCCAACTGGATGGGGTGGACAAACGCCTTCCGGGGACCGGTGTGTTCGATATCAAGACGCGTGCATCTGTTTCCATTCGCATGGATCGATTGAACTTCCAGGTCAGTCGTCTGTGGGTCGAATGTCGCCAGAAGCTTTACGTGTCTCCAGGAAGGGTCAGGGTACATGATCAAGAGCGCTCAAGGCTTGTATGAAAGTTTCGAACGCGAATACTACGACCTCATCCGCTCCGCCTTTCTGAAATACGGGTGCGATTCTCTGGCGCATTGATCCATCGCTTCTCTGATTTTGCGGCCCAGCTTCCAAGTCCGGATCGGGAACATGGATGGGGTCATCGTCGCCTACCACAACACCAAGCGGTTGTTCGGATTCCAATATGTCTCACTGGACGAGATGGACCAGCGGCTGTTCTCCCCTGAAGCTGGCACAGGAGACCAAGTCTTCCAGAAATGCGTGGGTCTTTTAGAAGGCATCGCGCCTGAAATCGTCAATTGCTTCCCGAAACAAGTACGTTTCTCCTCATTGGTATGCACAAGGCACTGATCAAGGTGCAGTCTGTCATTGCTACTTGGGAATGCCCTGAGGACTCGCGGGAACTCTATGTATTCGTCACACCCGCCAATTTCACGCCCACAGACAAAGAACCCAACCCTCCCATGCGCAAGCTCATCATCCGAGCCCAGAACTTCCTCGACGACTCTCCGGTGAACGGCAGCCGTGCGATTGCGAAATGTCACATCTTGCCATGTAAGAGTCTGAAACATTGCATTGCGCTTCGTCACTCATGGTCACAACAGGGACGGTGCATTGGGCACTGACGCACTCGAGTGAAGATCCTAGTGACATCGCGGACAGCTATAGAGCCGTCATGGACCGGAAATTCCGCGCCAATCTCATCCCGACCGGTGTCAGCATGGAGGAGCTTCCCCAGTTCTGGGCCAGTCTCAACTTCGACAACGGTCCACCCGAGCCGGTGCAGTCTCCGGAGGAGTTTGACTTCGCCAAGTTCCGTGCACCCGGCGGCTCAATCGAGGCCCTGCGGCAACTTTCTCGTGATGGGAAAATGCACCTGAAAGCATTGCAGCAGCAGGACGAAGGGAGGAACAAGGTTGTTCTCGGGGAGCCGTTTGACATCACCGATTCGGAAGTCGAGAGCTATCAGGCGAAGGAAGAGCGTGGGCCGTCCTCTTGGACGGCCGAGGAGGAATCGGCTGCTTTTGAGTCGAAGGAATCAGCCGAGACCAAAAATGAGGGCAAGCCTTGATTGCATGTGCAGTCTTATTGTCGGTCTTAAGTACGTACCCACTTATAATCCCTTTATCGCATCTCTGTAGCATAATATCGTACATATGTATCAATTTACCCCCGCTGTCCCAGGTCCCGTTCAGATCAAACATTTACTTATTTGGTTTCCTCGTCACTTACTGACAACTTCCGCCATGGCTTCACGCAACTCAACACAAATAACGCCGTCAGTCTCAGCCAACGGACTCGTCCCCCAGAATCTGCTCGCGCTCGCCGACCCCCCAGCCCGTCAAGTCGACGGCGCAGTCATGGACTACTTCATGATCGAGCTCGTGAACGCGCTGCGCGCCTCTGCTGCCGTTGCGACCGAACGCTCCAAGAAGATCGAGGCGGAGATGGTCGAGGCCGGCCTCATACCACCCGCGCTCTCCGGGCCGACCCCGCATTCGCTGAAGCGAGACGCAACGGCGCGCGACTCGGTCACGAGTGTGAACTCGCGAACGAGCACCGGCGGACGTGTTTCCGGGGCGGACGAGGGTGAGGAGGCCGTGCGCCAGCGGCTCGAGGCTATCGGGATCCATGTCGGCGCGAACTTCACCGAGAGGTGCGTGTGTGTGTCGCCGTGTCGCTTCGGCGGGCCCGCAGTGCTGAATATGCGTTGCGTGGAGGTTGTGTCGGGACCGCCCGTTATTCGGAGAGACACTGGACGCGATCAAATTTATCTGCAAAGACATCTGGGCAGCATGTTGGGACAAGCAGGTCGACAATCTGCGAACAAATCATCGCGTACGCTCCGAAGCTTGTTTCTCTGTGACACCGCCATCCTCATCATCTGGATTTGATTTCTCCAGGGTGTATACGTTCTACAGGATAATAGCTTCAAGCCGGTGACCCGCATCTCGTCATGGGAGGGGCGTGCGGATGCGATACGGCGAGCGAAATTGGTGAGCCATGCTCCTCCTTCCTGGTCGGTGATCTAACAACGCCCTAGTATGTGACACTACCTGCCGGGATAATACGCGGTGCACTGTCAAGACTGGGTTACCAGACGACTGTGTCTCCCGAGATCACTTCACTACCTCAATGTGGGTGAACAGTTCACTGAGCCGCAGGCGTGCTCTGACCGGCCTGTAGGTACTTTCCAGGTGAAGTTGCCCAAAGGGGCATGAGACGATGAGGACATTCTATTGTAGATAGGCACAGAATAAGAATATAATATCTCAACTAGCTCGCTGATGCGGTATAAAAAGATAGCAGTTAGGTATAGATAGGACGAAGGAATCAGACCGCGATGGGCATCGTTTTCGGCAGGGCCGGGATATCGACGGACGCGGGAGGAATGGCGATCACGCACGGCGACAGCTGATCGGGGGACGGCGTCTGATCGTCGACGGGAGGGGACTGATCGAAGGGGGCCGCCACAAGATTGACCATCGGTTTGGGCACGACAGTGTTGACGCTCTCTGGTGGGATGGCGATCAGACACACGGGTGGTTGAGCTGCGGGTGCTGCAATCAGGACATGGATGCCAGTGGTCGGGTTGGGCTCGACTGTGGGGAGTGGGTGCTCCCGGAAGAGGGAGCGCGCTTCCAATTCGGGATCCGCCTCGATGAAGCGGACGACGTCGGCGTCCTCTGCCCCAGGCTGGATCCAGAGGGCGTAGATCCCCAATTGCTTTGCCTGCTGCACGACTTGGAGAGTGGCCTGATTATCATCATCAATCAGTTTGGGATGTAAGATCGTGCGGTGATTGGGACCGACCTTGGGTGGGATCACAATGCAGATGCTGGTGTTGGTCGGATCCGGCAGGTCTGCCAGGGACTTGAGACACGGGATACCCTGGCTGTGAGAATCCGTGATGTTGATCGGCACAACGTCTCGGTGCACTTTGATAAGATATTGGAGAGCCTGCAGATGAGTCGAGTCAGCTGTCGGTCAACCCCATACTTGCAAGCCGCAGCACACCTTGGTCCCGAATTTTTTCTCGTCTGCTGAAGCACCGACGACTGCAAATTTCTTTGCGGCAAAAAACCGGTTCTTCTTAGTCTCGAAGGACACCGACGTATGGCTTGTCGACAAGGAATGCTGATGCAAAGCTGTCGTGCTGTACAGACAGTGCGACTCGAAGCCAGCGTCTGCTTCGATGAATTTGAGGACCGTATCGTCTTCTGCGCCGGGCTGCAGCCACACCGAAGGAATGCTCAAGGCTTTGGCCTGCTGGAGGACTTGCAGCGTGACCTGCCGGCTATCAGACGCGGAAAAGCCGGTGATTGGGGACTGGGCTTACTGCAGGGGGGACGACGATGCAGACAGAGGTGTGGGTTGGATCAGGCAGCTCAGACAGACTCTTGAGGCACTTCAGGCCACGGACGTCTGCTCTGTTAGGGTTGATGGGCACCACATCTTTCTGGCGGTCGGCAAGAAACGCGACAATCTACGCGAGGATTAGGACCTGGACGAGCGGGCTCGAGTCAGCAGCTCTGACCTTCGATCCGTACTTTGAGCTGTCGGCTGAGGCGCCGACCACGGCAAAGTGCGCAGAGGCGTAGAACTGTTTGGCTTTGAGGGCGGTCTGGGAGTCCATGGGAGATGAGTTGGGATGACTGGAAGTGCAAAATGGTGACTCGTTTTATATTCCAGTTGGGCGCCCTTGTCGGTCCGGTTCCGTTAGAAAAAAGACACTGCATGGATGGCTGATCCGCCACAGCAGGCTGATGAGAATGGACGATGCAGGCAGTGTCGGATTTTCATCCAAGTTCCTGAGCCATCTTTGTCTGATACTGATACATGTCGCAGTTGACAAGATCGTCCCGTTTCGGGATGCGGACGTTATTCCGTGTCATGGACGTCAGCGACGGCAGTCTATTTTGCTTCATCCTGTGCGCGCGCGTGTGCAGATCCGGCCCGCTGTCCACTGGGGACGCATGTGCCGGAGTGCTGGCGAGTCAAGTCGAATGAGTTGACTCGGGGCTGATAGCGGGATCGCACTCGCGGGTTGCGATCCCGGCGACAAGAATTTACCGCGTCCCCGTACGAGCCAACATGGTCAACAAAGGTCGTACGGTCCGTCGCTGTATCGGCGCGTCTATCACAGTGCGATTGAGGTCGCAAGAACACGCGAAGAAGCGAGTCAGCTCAACACAGCCCCGTCAACAGCGCTCAAAGCTGTTTGCAGAACATGGAGTGATGCTTGACTCGATGGTCCCGCGAGTTCCAGAACGAGTTTCAAGAGCAACCGTTGTCATGACTGTGATCGTCGGACCAGGCATAGCTGTGCGAGGATCGCGACAATGAACTGGACAGTGGAGATGGACGATGTAATTGATGTATGTAGCAAAGCTGTGCAGTATCTAATCTGCCTAAAAGCTGTGTAACCCATCGACTAGGGTTAGGGTTAACCCACCGGAGGATGCAAAAAAAAAAGGTGGACCCCCGACGACACAAGCCAGTAGTGCAGCGGCAAGGTCATCGCGTCCTTCTGTTGCAAGCAGAGCAGAAAAACAAGGGCGGCAAAAATTAGATAACCAAATAGAAGGGACTGTGTCCCTCTAATAGTGGTTAAACTATTAAGAACAGATACTACACTTGATCTAAGCCAAAAGGCCAGAGTGGTAAAGATTCATTGCGTTCAGCACTCGGTTTTATACGATTGCAGTGGTGGTCCGTGCGTGAGCACGTGAAGGAGCCATGTGACATGAAATTGCTAGTGATGTGATGCATACATTGAACAATCTTTCCTCTACTCGTCTAAGTACTACAACTTGGCCGTGAACTGAGCCTCCGTGACACCCTTTCCCATGGCCGACGTCGATGAAACACCTCCTGTCACCGTTTTGATCAAGTTGTCCGCATAGTCCGCACCGCTCCACTACGGTCCATCAGAAACGCAACGTGGCGGCGCAAGAATACGACTGACCTTCTGGTGTGTGAGCACGTCTGTGCCCAGATCGCGCTCCTTCCGCTGCACAAGCTCCACGTACGCCTTCATGCCGGTCTTTGCGTAGTTCTTCGCAAACAGATCCGAGATGTACGCGTTCGAGTGCAGGCCTCCGAGCTGTGCCATACCGCAGATCAGTTTCAATCTTCCACGTTCCACGGCATACACGCACCGTGATGAACTGCCACACGAAGCCGAGTGCTCCCAATTGCCAGACGTACGACTCCATGTCCTTGTCTCCCAGTCCAGCCGCATCCCAGTTGAACGATGGACTCAAGTTGTATGCAAGCCAGTGGCCCGGATGTGCTGCGTGCACGCCAGTCGCGAACTGTCGCGCCTGTTCCAAGATAGGCTTTTTCGTCTCCATCCACAACAAATCCGCGTACGGCGCGTACTCGATCGAACGCATGATCGCACACTCCGTCCCGCCTTGGTACCGGTAGTATCCCTCTCGGGTCCGAGGGCTGTCCCAGTTCCAGTACGGCACGCTGCGAAGACCATACTCCCGTTGAGCGATTGCCACCGCCTCTGGGTACGACGATCGTGCGACGCGTGCCACAAAGCGGTCAACCGTTCCCGCCGACACGCCTTGTTGGGAGAGCGCGACGGCAAGCGCCGTTGAGAACAGTTGGAGACCGGCCGCGGCTACCCATTCGTCTTCGATACGCTGGAGCTCGTCGCCGACCTTTCCAGCTCTCTCCGCATCGGTCATCACCTTCTGCAGAGGCTCCTGGCCCTGCTTGGTTGCACCGAGAATGTATGCATGATCGCGATCGTCGATGTTGGAAGTGATGAGCGTAGCGGCCTCGGAGTCTGTCCGGGCGATGGCCAGGTTGTCCACGCCCATGATGTCGAACTGCAACCGGATCGCGACGAGACGGTTGATGTGCTCCTGTATGGGGACCAGAACTTTTCCGGCCATGTGGCCGCATTTCTTGGTTCCCGGGGCTTGATCTTCCACGTGAATTCCGGCAGCGCCCTTCTCCACGAACATCTTAGCGAGCTTCATGACTGCTGTCAGTCCACCGTGTCCAGTGTCTGCATCAGCGACCAGCGGTCGGAGATAGTCGACGGGAGCAGGAGCACTGGCGAGTTCGGCATCGGACATGTTGGCCCTCGCCTCGCGTTGCTTCCGGTCGTGGAACAGCTGGGCCATGAAGAGGTGCTCGACCTTGTTGGGGACCGTGTTAGATGGGTAATCTGGAGGACGTGAGCGCCGAACAGATGCATGGGTAGGGGATGATGGACGTACCAGCGAGATCGGGGCCGGGTTCGTTGGTGCTGGATGCCGTGCTGGATGACTGCCACCCAGAGACATATACCGTCTCGAGGTATTTGGCCATCTGGGTTACCTGGACAGGGTCCAATCTGCAAGCGGTGAGTGTGATGTTGTGGACCACGAGCTCGAAGACTGACGCGCCATAGGTATGTGAGGGCGTGCCCTGTTTAGCATGCTCGCTCAAGAGGGACCACAGTTTCTTCGCCTGGACGTTGGATGGGTACTCGATTGGGAGAGTCCCCCGCTTAGCAACGACGTCGGCAGCTGAGTACGGGCGCTTCACTCGAGCGAAGCGGGGGTTCTGTCGATGAAGGATGAGGCTGATGTGAGCGCAATTCTTTTGCTACGACTTGCCTTCCACCACTGTTCGACCCGGGCAACTTCCTCAGCAAATGCGATGCGTTCTCTGGACATGATAGTTGTGTGGTGGAGAGTTCAAGACCCTGGAATTCACCCCCTGTTTAATAGTCGCGACATGTGATTTTTATCTGCCGATCACCTGTGCTCTACGAATTACCTACCCGGAGCCCCGTCTACCCCCGCATTCGGGAGCGGAGATAAAAAGAAGGTCTCGCTCCGTTCCGTCTGTTTACGGATGGCATCCACCTCGGGCCATCTCATTAGCCGGGTCTTTACCGTCGATTGCCGTCAAACACAAGCCCCGCCAGGCCGTACCGTACGGCAAAGGCAATCACGCTCCCGCAGACCTTACGAACGTTTGGATCAAGGTTCACCCAGCTTGAGAGTCCGCACCTGAGAGTACATCAAGACTTTGACGAGACTTTTCTCGGACATCGGCCCGAGCCGTAATAAAAACCAATTGAGAATGGTCAAGTTGTTGGCTTCGAGAATGTTGCCACTCCCAGGATGCACCGTCAATTCGGTCAGGCCGACTGCAGCAAGGATCTTGAGCACTGCAGTTGACAATGCGCTTGGCGGCTGCAGGAACATGGCTTTCGAGGGGTGCAGCAGGTTCGTCGCATGATCAACCCTGCGCCAAGATATTAGCCTCGGCGGCAAAAACCGACCAGGGCCTACCTTGGAACCCGGTGTCGCGGACAGGGGACAAGTCCAAAGAGCTGCGGGCAAGAGAGCAAGAAGTTGAAGATCTGGGGAATGAAAAACAGCAGCAGTGTCTTCGAAAAGTGGGCTTGGATCCCAACCACTGCAAATGCCATTCCGGTGACATAACACAGCGTGTCGCCAGGAAAGGCACGCGCAGGGTACCAATTGTGGTACAAGAAGCCGGCACAGACCGCTACCAGTGGCAGCATGAAGTATAGACTGAACAGATGGCGCTCGACCAATTCGCGGCTTCCATAAGCCATTCCAGCACTCCAAACACCGCCTATCTCAACCTCAGCACGGCCGCCAAGCAAATGCAGAGGTATTCTGAAGTCCAGCGGCCAGGGAAGAAACAGGAGATCGTTCAGGATGACAGAGACGGCGATGATCAACGCTTGGCTGACTTCCGCGCCATTGATTCCAGCCAAAATATTGAAGCTGTTCGTCGAAAACGTGCTCAAAAGTGACATATACAGATAGTAAAGTGGCCCTTTTGAACATATCATCAGTAGATCTTGACCCTTTTGAGATATTGAGTGTACCGAGGTTGACCAAATTGCCAAATAAGGACCGGAGTGGCAGCGGAACCACGACATGAGTGTTACCCCGCTCAGCGTAGTAAACCATCAGCAACGGAATAGAAGCTATGATCGGAATCGGAATTTTGTGTCTCCAGCGAATGTCGAACACGTCGTCTAGAAAGCCAAGTACTGTGGCGATCATCAAGGACAACAGCGACGAGAGATAGACCGCAAGCTGCTGGCAGTCAGGCCGAAGTACGACGAGATAGTCGGACTCGAACCAACCTGATGATGCGGAAATTCAATGACCGAAAGACCCTCTCGGACCTTCGATGCATTGGCAAGACCGGAGATCGAATCCGAGAACGCGAACGGGATGAATAGGATCAAGAGCAGAATGTATACGGAAGCGCAGACAAGGCCTTGGCTTTCCGGACTGCATGATGCGGCACAACGTCTGGATTAGAACACAGACATTCTTCGGTCGGCAATAAGAGCGTAATTACATAGGAGTTTTGTCGGTCTTCAGAAGGTCTACGCCCTTTAGATTCGCTTTGATGAACGCGGGTCCGACGGCGGGGATTATGTATAGCGTGGAAACAAGCGCAAAGAAAGAGAATCCTATCGACGCGTAGAGGGTGGGCAGTGGTGGCGTCGGGTCTATGAACGGTCGTATGACGAACCATGTCGCGATAGGCACTAGGCCAAAGAGGAGAATATTCGGGAGGGGCCGAGGAGGAGGCATCGACGAGGACTGTAGTGTTGCGTTGGTTCAGAGCCAGGACATAGAGGTCGGAGGCAGCGACGTTCGCGTGTCGAGTTGGGACGTGTCGCGCACGTGCAGCTAATTACATGTGATGGCTGCCTCTTTCCACGCTGCTAACGCCTCGGTGCATCCGATTGCCTATCATCCGTTATGTGTTGTAAAAGATTCTCCTGGAAAGGGACGCGGACTCTTTGGTACGTGGTATTTCCTGATGCGATCTCGAGATACGCGTATCGACTCTCCTCAGCCGCAAGATCTATCCCGCCTCGAACACTGCTGGAGAGTAGTCCCGTCCTTCTGTTTGGCAAAGAAGAATACGAAAATCACGGAAAGTGGGGTGTTTCTAAGTTCAAAAAGTCTCGATCCTCATATAAAACCCAAGACACACCCTCTTGGACCACTACACTTTCAAATGGAGAAACGGTTCCATGGCACTCGCCCTCGGTCTCGGTATGCTGTCCCAATGTTGGCGTCTTCTTTTGCCACTGGATGAAACTCTGTTCCTCAAGGCTCTCTGTTCAACCATTCTGAATCCCCCAACGTGTCGTACACTCTCGATCCTGCGACAGAATCGATACACTACACGTCCACGCGCAATATCTCTGAAGGCGACGAACTATGTATCTACTACGGATCGAATCTCTGGTTTGACGCTACTGGCTCTGATCAATCGCATCACCAGAGTCCGGAACCAGAAGACGGCTGGGGAGGTCTCCTGAAGCTCGATCTTAGCGCGGCAGAGGATGCAGATGAATTAGAGTGGCATGTTCCCGACGGAGACGAGAGCGAGGTGCTTCCAGAAGAGATGCTGCCCTTCCAACGCATCAAACCTCTGCCGGAAGGAGAAACGGCGGATACTGTACGGACGAGTGAATGATCTCGATTCCCCGCCCATTTGCACATGTTCAAATCCAGATCCGCAGTTGAAGCATGGGCTGTAGACGTCCCCGAAGAACGCAACCTCGGTCCTCTCCTCAAGTAGGGCGACAGGCATCCACTCTTCATCTTCTCATTTGTTCCCCAGATGGCTTAAGCAGTCGCAACTCGACCTCGAAGCTCTGTCACATCTGAGGCGCATTCGCAAGCAAAATAACACGTGCACCTTTCTGCTCAGCATCGTCGAAGCGGGTCTTCCCCATCCCAGTCTACCAAAGGATATCGTTCTCCCTGTACCATATCATGTCACTGTGCCTGCGTCAGCTGCCCTGACAACAACATCTCTCGCACTCAAAATGCAGTTATGGCCCACCGTCTTTTCACCCGTGCGCAAAAATCAAGAAGAGGACTGGACACGAGGAAAAGCTCGTTGGGCGTGGACTGCCATGCGGAAAGCGATCGCTGAGGCCAAGAACCAGAGCGACGAGGTGCGTCTCGACAATCGGCTGTGCTTCTGCTTAGCCATTCCCTCCAGCTTCCCATCACAGCTCACGTCCCGGTGCCCTACGAGACAGAGAGCGACGACATTGGCCCTTTCCCCACGGCCGGCTTTCTTGCCCACGACAGGCGACATTCGACAAACCATCCACTGCGTCACGCAGTAATGAACGTTATTCGCGCGATCGGTGAATATCACGCCTCTGGGCAGCATAAAGACGCCAGCGCACGCAGTGGCTATCTTCTGAGCAACCTTACTTTGTTCACCACGCATGAGCCATGTGTTATGTGCACTATGGCGCTGACCCATTCTCGCGTCAAGGAAGTGATCTACCTGGTCCCAATGACAAGAACAGGCGGATGCGGAGGCTCAGTGTGTGTCCCGCTCCTACCCGGGATCAACCACAGGTTTTGGGTGGCGCATTGGAAGAGAGATGCAGAGCAAGTGAAGGGGATCAAATTAGACGACAACGTCGACGCTTGAGGGCAGTTTAGTTTATACTTCATAAAGAGAAGTACACCTCTCCGAGATATATAATCTGTATCTGCATAGTAATTTAGCTTCCAAGTCGACGAGCCTGGAGTATATAAATCACTTACCACCATAGTTCTCTCCGCTTGGTCCTGATCATGTTGGTTAACGTCCTGCGTTCGCTCCACTTCTCTCTCGACTTGGCCGCAATAGCCTCCTGTTCACGCCGCTTTGCCTTCCGGGTACTCTTCTTCAGCGCTGCGATCGACTGCACAAATCCTCGCGTCACTTGAAACTTGCGTGCAAGGACACTAGTGGTATAACGATTCGGGTCTAGATTCCGCAGGCGTTTTATTTCAGACATAGTCTGTCCCGAGGCGCGGGGAAGCTCTTTGTGCGTTTTCAGTAACGGAGGCAAGCGGACCTCGGCCGCGGGTGTGGAGGGTGACGGCGCCTTTGGTCGCAGCAAAGGCGAAACGGGATTCGTAGTCAGTGAGAACGGAGACGGGGCGCTCGGAGGTGGACGGTGAATGAAGGTCATCCCATCCTCCGGAAGCTCTGTTACACGCGCTTTCGGGTTATTGAGTAGAGGATCTGGGGCGCGGTAGGGGGGTCGTTCAGCTGTGCCAGGCTTGGGCCGTGGCCACTTGGACGCCGTGGACCGTCCGAAAGCGAGCTTCGACGAATGACGCACGAATGCTTGCCCGGAAACGCAGGACGACAATGCGCGCAACATTGTTGGTGAGGGAGAAATTTCGCGGTGGTCACGAGTGTCACGAGTCACTGATTGAGGTGGAAGCCTGGGTCAAACCTCCTTCCGTATTTCCTTGATACACAGAGCACTATAGTACACAAACAATAATCCAATAAACGACATGGGAGAAGAAATCAAGAAGGAGTGGATGGTGCGACACCGTATTGTCCGTGCCCGAAAGTGTAGAAATGCAACGAAAGTTTTTGTGTCCATCCAAGATCAACAGTCAGTCATTCATATCGCATCAGTCTTCGGGTGCCTCAGCACAGGCCCCGGCGTCCATGTCTTTCGTCTCCTTGCCAAGGGGCGGTGAATTGACGCCCTTTCCGGGCAAGGGATCCAGGCGACTTGCAGAGAGAGACAAGCGCCGACTGTCGAAAGAAGGCGGAGCAGGGGATCCACTGGTGCTCCCGTCGTCTTCCGCAGGTTGAGGCCATCCGGGCGAAACATTCCTGCGAACAGGCCGGTCCGTATTCTGTCGCGGAGGGAACGTATACGACTCTGTGGGCACCAGACCATTGGCATATTTGTTCTTGGCCCCCTCAGTACTCATTCTTCGTCCGCTTCCCGACGGGATAGCCAGGCCTGCAGAGCGCAGAGCACTCTCGAGCTCATCGATCCGCCTGTACAGCCCCGCTACTTCGACCCGCACTCTCTTGTCGACTGCAGCCTCCACCATGTCTGCCAAACGACTCTCCATTCCCTCCCGTTCCACAGTGAAAGCCTCTCGTTCCTTAGTCAGGGTCTGAGTAAGTGTCCCTGCCCGAGCCAGTTGCTCTCCGAGCCATCCTTTCAGGGTTCGAGCGTCGCTCAGCGCGTCATAGAACATCTCGAACGGTGCCAGGAAAGCTTCCTTGTCCCTATCCGCTGGATGCCGTTGAGACAATGTTGCAGGCGTCCTAGGAACAGCCAACGTCGTTGCTATCGGCACATTGGTTGCAATCGGAACACTGGCTGCCATTGAAGGGGACCGCGTGTTCGACATATTGGTGGTTGGGGTAGCGGCTATATGCGCAATGGAGGGAACGGCATTCGCACTGCTATGCCGTTGCATTGACAAGCGAGTTGGGGTCGGCGGCACGTAACCAGCTATCCGTCGCCCAGGGCCTTGATCTCCACCAAGTCCCATGACACTTGGCAACCTCGGAAGCGCCATCGAGAATCGGCCCGGCACAGGCGGTGCACTTTGAATCGCAGGCTGGAATTCCTCTGGGGTATGCGCTTCACGAGGGCTGATGATGATATCTGCAGGTTTGCGCTTGACATTTCCAAGTTGCTCGGCACGACGACGAGCAAAACTTATTGGAGGCGGTGGAAGAGAATGCGTGGCAACCGGCGGGGCCGCAAGGGAGGGCGAGTGTGTTGGAGGAGAGGGGACACGGACCATAGGAGGGGTGGCGTTTGTATTCATCACCCGTCGCGACGTGTTTCCATTGGCGGGACTACGCCGCTGACGAGGGCCCGAAGATTTGGCGACATCCGTCAATACAGGAGTCGGTGGCGAGGTGGATGCACCGACCAGACTGCCGCGTCGTTGCTCGATCAGGGCCTTCTGCTTCTGCTTGACAGTTATCATGGACCGTACTTGCTCGATCGCGTTTGGATTGTCGCGCATGAGAGAAAAGCCCATGACAACAGGGGAAATAGGGGTGCTGGCAGATGGTTCAGGAGGGGAGGCACGGACATCCGTGTTCAACTGCGGTGCACCCGTAACTGTCATGCGCCGCTTTTTGGATACGGGTGCCCGTGAAGCGGAGGGAGCGGGTGAGCCGACTGCGGGGTCGGGCTGACAGAGATGGCGTGCGTCGGCATCTGGCATGTTGGTGTCGTGTTCCTGCTTGATTCTAACCAGCCGCGGGGGCTCTCGTCTAGCAGCCCAAAGGTTAGTTGAGATACGGATAGAGAGTCATATATGACACACTCGTCTTCGATAGACTCGTCCCTGGTGTGTGACCCGTGGTCTCGAGGTCGTTTTCGTCCGTTGACCTTATCCTCATCCATGTGATGAGAGTGGCGGGATGAGGAGGACATCGGGGGCGAAATGGGGCGTCGAGGATGTGGTGGTGTCGA